GGCCATTGAATCATCTCGAGGATTTGCCCCGTACCAACCAGGCGGAACCGACCTCCTGGGAAGGAATGTACGATGATGTCCCACAGCCAAATATTCCAACTGGTCCACAGGGGGGTGGCAACATGAACAGAGGTGGAGGGGGTATGGGTCGTGGAATGTCACCAAATCACGGTATGCCACCACAACATGGCGGTGCTCGGCCATCATCTGGGAATAACAAGAGCATAACACCACAACCGCAAAGTGCGCCGCCAGCAAATGCACCTACTGGCCCAAGGAATGCGGGGAAGCCAGGGGCGAATTACCGTGGTGGGGGGCGGGGTGCTCATCGGGGATTCCATCCTTACGCTCGCACTTGAAACGAATAGGATAATGAAAACGGATTGGTTGGTTTAAGTAATCAAAGAGATATACGATGATAGAAAAAAAGGCTTTCTTCCCAGCAACTCTGGTTATTTTGATGTTTAATCGCACGATTACTCCATAAAAAGTATGGCGAGATTTCGCTACTTGGCGATCATCCTGCAGTCTGAACGTTTGGTGACCGAATAACTACGAATTTTCAGGCGGCATGTCACTCCAGCCTCCTCTAAATAATTGCGACACGACCTCAACTCGCCCACTGTTTATGTTTGTTCCTTTCTTGTTTATTGTTGTTTACCGATGGCTCCCCAACACTCCCCCTTCGCTTCTGCCCATTTTCCTTCTTTTTTCTATTTCAACTATCATCTTTTCACCCCTGGACCGCCTCGGAGTTATACGTTACGGAATCCTCCAGCAATTGCGGCTCAAGAAAGTTAAATCGAATGCAGCAGTTAGCAGCCCGTATATTACCCTACTCTCTCTGCCTCTCTCGCGGATACCTGGCTCCCAACCAGTTGGATCAAACAAGTGTTATCATGTCAAGCCCCCCACGTTATGTTCCTTCTCACACTTTTCTCTTTTTTGATCTGCTCTCCATTTTCCTTGTTCTCTCTAGGCAAATATCAAATCTTGTGGTTTCTTCTTTTTGCCCTGTTCGAATCTGCGTTGTTCATCTGATTATTTGACCCATTTTTCTCCAATTGTAATTTCATTTCTCATTTCTTCGGCTTTTAACTTTCCCTCCTTCCTTCTCTTTCTTGAGTTGTATTGTAATATATCAATATTTTACCTAAACAAGACGAAAAGCACCATGAAACGAAAAAACGAGGCAACTATGCAGTTTTATTTCCCCCGAAATCAAAATTGACTAGTCACTGAGTAGACGTTCTTATTTGCTAAACGCGGGATTCAAGGAGAAGATATTTAAATTTTTATTTTTGATATACATGATACCTCAAAGTTCCAATTACCTGAGTAGATCACGGTGGGTACATAGAAAGAAAACGAGAATAGAAACTTAAGGATTTTTCTTTCCTTTGGTTATTTTTTAACGGAGAAGAAAAGAAAATGCTTTTATGTCCCTTAGGCGTATGTTATCAAAACAAATGTACAGTACAGAGAGTTACATTAGTACACAATAAAGGGACAAGAATGTTGGTAGTTAAAAAGGATTACGGATGGAGTACGTCGTAGTACATTGTGTGGATATTCTATATATATATATATATATATATCTCTATATATGGCTTGAACCAGAGACTGTGAAAATCGCTAATAGGGAGAATGATCGGGGCCGAAAGCGAGAAGGAAAGAGGAAATGCAGTATATGTAGTATAGCATAAACATTATTAAAACAATGAGGAAAATGAAAAGAAGAAAACCGATTTGCGGCGGTGATGTAAGTGTGTGGTCTAGGTCTGGAGATTTTTTGAGAAGTTATGGCCCAAGTTTGGATATGTTCTTTTCTAGTACGCCTGTCCGATCATAGGCCTCGAAAATTGTCGTTCGGGTGATGGGTCCCTCATATTCATATGGTTTATGTTGTCCGCATTTGCTGGGATTAAATGATCGGTGCTGTTTGTATACATGTGGTGAGATTTTTCGCTAGTGGATGAACCCATGTAAGGATCGTAAGAGGAAGTGCGGTTGTAGTAGCCCGTTGAGCCTCTCCAAGAAGAGTAGTGCGGGGGAACGGTTTCTAGAAGGGAATTTCGAGCGTCCAGGGGAGTGAGGTTATCTAGGTCTCGATCCATGGTTTCTTAAAAATTTTTTGAATGATTTCATTAGCCATACTCGTTTTTCGTCCAATGGAAATAATTACAAGAAACTTACCAGGGTCTTTCCGCCTCCTCGCGGAATGTGGGTTCTTCTTGAACAGAAGTATTATGGCATTGACAACGATCAAAATGGCAAGGATGCAAGTCAGTGCTGATTGAACTGCAATCAGAACGACACCAGTGACGGTTTGCGTTGTCGTTGACAGCCCCAGCTCCTGAACGAAGACTAGAATGCACGCAACAGAGAGGACACGGACTACTTGAATGGATATATTGATCCATTGGCCTGACTTTGCTTCGTAGGGTCTCGACCATAGGAGGAGGATGAACATGATTGCCTCAACGATAAGTTGGCCAGCCGTCTGGACGAGTCCATGGCCATCGCCCCCAGCAATGATGCAACCTCTTGCAAGCATGTAGACGATGGTGGGGACGAAAATCCACCAATATCCCTTTCTGTAGTTGTCGTAGAAAAGGCTGTATTTCCGCCATGTTTCCCGATCTTCGTATAGCGCAGCTGCACTACCTTCCACTTTCTTATATTTTCGAGCCACGCTCCAAATCTTGAACGTAAAATATCCTAGAATCCCGGTAAAAATGGCGAGGGTGACACCTGCAAGGACTTTGGCGGCCCACGAATCGCCTCGGGTGAATTGGAAAACGCAGTAGAGGGTAAAGATGCCGTACAATACGAGAATCAAATTGGTGATTGTCCTCGCTAGTATTCCCCAGTAATCCTTCCGGAAGTTCGTTAATTTTTTCGGAAAAGATGCAAACATAGCCCAGACCTCAAGAATAACCTTGAAGAGCAATATACCAACAGCAATGGCCGCAACGACGATAGCAAATATCAACAGCACTGTCATGAAGGTATTAGATTTCGGAACCGAGAGCATTTCGACGTATGCCTGGATTCCCTTGACAACATGATTAATGCCGCCCTCGTCCTCAGTGCCACCTGCTGTGGATGTCTCATTGATCGACGTGGATATCTCCCGAACCGCAATACCGGCAGAATTGAAAATGGAATTCCATGAACGTTTTACATTACTCGAGGTACCAGACCCTTCGTCAAATATAAGCGTAGCATTTTCAAGGAATTGGACATTGTCGTTTGTCAGATTGCCCCCGGTCTTATTTCTAAAATCGTCAATCGACATCTGCATTTGTTTCCAAGGAATCAGCCCGGTGCTGAACGCAAAGTTTTTGGTGAAGCTGCGGTAGATCGGCGGGTAGTTGACGCTAAGCATGCCGTTGGTTGCCATCGAATGAAACCACCCAACAACCTCACCGAATGTCGGGCTTGATGTAGCAGCACCGGGATGCCCACCTGCCACCAAAGCTGCGGCGCCTGACAATACCAAGGCAGCCCCTACGACTCCAGCCGCGGCGTATGATACCGCGGGTGCCTCTAATGATTTGCCATTGCCTACAGTTGAACTGATACAAGCAAGAGTCTGACCTCCGTCATTCGATTTTAAGAGCATGGTCGCGTGTGCCTGGAGGTCGGGAATTGCAAACGCGATGGATGGGATTTTCTCTGCGAACTTGGAAGGAATTTTTTGACTTCCTTTGGCCATAAATCGTCCCGCAGGAACTGTAGACAGACATGAGTTAATATGAGATATACCAATCAAGTCAATAAATCTAGTTAACGTACCAGGGCATAGTTGATCGACTTTCGTTGCCTCATCACAGGGATTGAAGCTTTGAGTGATTTTCTGGCCATAAGCCTCAACGAGCAACACTGCCGTCACATTTTGGATCTTTGAACTACTCCCTGCAACATCGAAGATGAAGTCATTGGTAGTGCGGTCGAACTCTAGGTTGATCTTTTCGACATTGATCTCGGAGTTATCAAGGCACGATGTGAAGCCATTGTTTTTGAGGACATCTATTCCATCAACGTGATGTGAAAACAGGCTCCAGGCCAAAAGAAGGGAGGTTATTGACCAAGGTCGGATCCACATATTGACTGAATCAGTCGGGAAGCCACCTGGGACGAGTTCTATCCCAGACGATGAAGCTATGAAAAGTTAGACAAGACAAAGATGGTACAGACCTCAAAGAAAAGAGGCACTCCGAGACAAACAGAGACAAGAGAGTAATCCCGATGGCGTGGGCAAAATTATGCACTCACCTGCAAAAAGCAAACACACAGCGGCGAATGTGACGTAAGTTGGCAATCTCCAAAATTGTATAAATAAAGAAAACAAAAATAAAGGATTTGTATATATAGAGTCAGAGACCCGGGAGTCAGGAGAGAATAATAGGGAAGGTTGACATGGAAGGAGGAAACATCTACGCGCTGGGAGTCTTTATGCAAAAACACGAGCAGACATGATTTGCCAGCTCAAGGAAATGTCTTGCAGCTGGTTCCTTTGTGGAGCTGTTATGGACTATCTCCAGGCTGTCCAGAAAAATGGGAAGCAAGAGACAAAGCAGAGGGAGGAGAGGGGAGAGAGAGAATTTTTTTTAGAAAAGATGGAGGAGATGAGAACCCGCTGATTTCCTTTCTAACCTAACTTAACGGCTCTTGTTCCTCAGTCTTCTCGACGAAAGAGCAGGAAAAAGCGAATAGACATCAAAACCATGGCGGGGGAACACAGGACACACGCCCAGCTGTATCACCGTGCATCATGCCAGCAATCTAGGGGGAGAATCCACTCCAGCGATCCAGCCCAACTCCGCCCTCCCATGTGGACGTACATCTTGTTCCCTTCCCGTTTTTCCCTTTGGACCGCATGATGTCTCACGACTGCGTTGACGAAGCAAGGAGAGCTAACTAGCGCGGAAGCCAAATTGGCAGCCGGGACCAGTGAGAGGCATTGTCTGGCGCTGAATGGAAACGGTCGAGTGGATAGCTTCTTGAGATAGTTTCAGCCACAGGATCCACATCGTTTTGCTGGCCGTTGTCCTTGAGCCCGTCATGCTTAGAATGCCGACGAGGTGGCCGATTTTGTCCTTTGAGGAGGAAGTTCAAATGAACGAAGAGCGAGAGCTGTGCCGAGTTCCTCGGGCGGAACTGAACGAGATATCTCCCTTGCAGATTCAGCAGTATGGAGTTCCCTGAAAATAGGGGGGTCAATGCCCGCTGGCAAAAGCAACGCCTCACTATTTGCCAGTATCTGCGTGTCCGTCTCCGTTGTCTTTTTTTTGGGCGTCTTCGTCGACTAGTGAGGTGTTTCATCGCTGGCAAATCAGAAGCCTGGTCAGGGTCCACTGTGGCCAGGCCAGGGGCGGATCTCGATCTGGAAACAAAGCTTGAACGATCAACAGATTCACAGCGAGGGGGAAGCTGAGAAGAATGCTCGACGAGCGAACCCTACTGGTTATGAAGGGGAACCAAACTCATGGCCCAAGGGGCGAAAACTTCTCCACAACCGTTCATCTAATTTTAGAGCCTGAAAAATGTCTCGAAATTCTTGTCGTACCATGCAAGTGGATGAAGCGATTAAAATTAATTAGATATCAACGGGCATTGCGTTTCACAATGAACCCACCACCAACAAGGAATACTGAGTGCAAGTCTTCCAAAAAAAAAAAATAAATAAATAAATAAAAATAAAAATAAAAAATAAAAATATGCCCAGTGTTCGCAGCGGTCAATAGCGGTACCGTTGGTCTTGACAGTATATATTGTTTCCTTCCAAATTAATTAAAACTGAGCTGTTGCTGGGCCCATATCTTGATGGAATATAAAACAAACTCGTCATAACAATATAATATAGATATATACATATATAAGCATGGCTTCATGTCGAGGACGATCTCCTTGCGTCAGATAAAAAATGAAAATTGAGAAATAAATACAAAAGTGCCAGATAGAAAACAAGAAGAATAGGAGCGTCAGGGTACGGACATATATATCTACAATATGCCCTGAAGCCATACATGGCATCCTCCATCTCACTTTCTCCCCCTGATGATAGTAAAATAACAAGACATACGCAACATCATGGTCACTTTTGGGTGGCGGCTTTCTCCCGCATCGCCGCGCGTGCACTCCGACTTCCCCCAAGCTTCGGGCCACGGGGGACATCCCGCTTAGTCGTTTTTGAACTCCTTGTCCGAGCACCACGGCGCCTGGAGTATATGGCATCCAAAAAGTCACGTCGGAACTGCTCCGCAATGCGATCGTCTGCCGCTTGCTCATCGTTTTGCTGGCTAACAACTTCGGGCTCATCGTAGACGTCGACTGTAAAATGAAACGAAGGTAGAAATTAGTTTGTTATGCTTCCCATAAAAGGGGACGTATATATGTGCACATGTTGTAAAGCATATATATGGTAAGTAGATGATAAGAGAGACAACTCACGTTTGCTCTCCCGAAGAACCTCCTCAACAAGCTTATCTCGTCTAATATCTTCACTATTTCTTCTCTTCCGGGCCCGCCAATTTTTGCCATCCTTGGAGCCCGGTCGTGCTTTGTTGGAAGTGGCGCCCTTGTCCTCATCCTCATCCTCATCCGGCACTTGATCGCCTGCGAGCCTTCTTGTCGCTGCTTCAGTCCGTTCGATATTACGGAGTTTTGCGTCGGGTCCCAGGTCGATTTCATGCAACTTGCCTAACGATGCTGGCTGGCGTTGGGGAAGCACGAGATCCGAGGTGGGGCCTCGCACTGCGCCCTGAGATTCTGGCTGGTCATGATGATCCGCGGTGTTGTTGTTCTTGTGTTTTTCATGACGTTTAGCCATCTCTGACTCTATATACGCCATCCTTATCACGTTAGTCCTTCCCCTATTCATCCATGGAAGGATAAAACAGAAGAATATCCTTCATACAAATACAGAAAACAAATAACAATGGATATCGGGGAAAACGTACATATGCTTATCCACATCCACTCTTTGACCAGTATGGGCAACAAAGCGATCCGAAATGCCTCGGATAACCACATTCTCAGGGTCATGAGCCACAGATCCAGCTTGCAATTGAGACTCGCCATGGCCATCATCGACAGGCTTTGGCAAGGCAGTAAACTCAACGCCACCCCTTCGACTCTTGATGGCTTTTCGAAGGCGAAAGATGTCTGTAATACCAGTGCCCGTTTCTTCCGGCTCATCAGAATTTGCTTCTGAGGCTTCTCTATTATGCACCTCTGTGGACCGGCGAGTAGAGGATTCGGGACCCGGAGCGGCTTGCGGTGGTTGTGATTGATCTGACGAAGTTTCCGAGCGCTTTCGGAGGAACTTTCGTCTCTTGACCGGCCTAAAGAGAAGCTCTTCAGTCTCCATGGTTGACATAGCTGTTTAAATTATTAGAGGATAGTTGTTGAATGCTTTTTACACAGCAGGAGAGCGTAGTTTGGAGTTGCGTTGAAGTCAGTTGCTGTTGAAGTCGTGAAGAGGCGAGGGATCAAGCCTGGAGCCAATGGTTGGCCAAAGTCAAAAGTTGGTGATCAACTGCAAACAACTCCTCGGTTCTGCTCCCCACCACTTTTACCACTCCTTGCAGCTATTAATCAACACCACCACCTCATCGAATTATCTATCATACATCCAACACCATTTCCCAATTGCCTATTTACCTGCGACTGCTATTTAAGATTTCTTCTATGGTCAGAGTGCTAGCTCTGTGATATACGCTTGCGTATTTCAGGTTCTTGAAGATTTCAACCTCGCCAATATTCACAACACAGTACGCGAGCGATAGAGATGAGCTCTCTAGTACCTCCAGCAACCGCTGAATACGGTGGCGGTATGTCCCATACATCTTTACTCCTTTAAGCCGCGCGGGTATCCTATCTGCTAACTCCAATTTTCGCAGACGAGGTGTCCGCAATTATCCTCGATCCAGGCTATTCAACTGTACGCGCCGGCTTCGCGGGCGAAGACACACCGAAATCTGTCATTCCAACCTGCTACGGGAAGTACACTACAGATGCCCAGGACAAATACATTTATGGAGACAGCATCTACGTCACGCCACGGCCGGGGCTCTCCATTCACAATCCAATGGGGAGAGAAGGGATAGTAGAGGACTGGGACGCAGCAGAGAAAGTATGGGAATACTCATTCACATCCCGGTTAACGGGGCCCAAGTCCGGGAACCCTCTGTTTAATGGATTAAATGACACTGCCAATGGCGACCTACCGGCGGAGATGGATGTCGTGGAAGCGGAAGAGAAGCCGTTGGCTGATAGCCCGCTACTTATGACAGAGTGCGGTTGGAATCCTGTCAAGGCACGGGAAAAGACTATTGAAATAGCAATGGAGAAATGGGGGACACCTGCCTTCTATCTGGCTCGGAATGGACCATTAGCTGCGTGAGTTCCTCCGCTTCGCCAGCACTTCCCCTTCTCCAGGTGAACCGAAAGGTGATATACAGTACTAATATGTATGTCGTCCAGCTTCGCTTCAGGCAAAGCATCAGCCTTAGTTGTTGATGTTGGCGCATCAGGCGTTTCCATAACTCCCGTCCACGACGGCCTAGTTCTAAAAAGGGGCGTTCAACACTCCCCTCTTGGCGGAGAGTTTATATCCTCACAGATCCGCGCCCTTTTCAGGACGAACTCGCCACAACCCATAACAATCACTCCACACTACCTCGTGTCTTCTAAGACAGCAGTGGATGCTGGTCAACAGGCCCAAGCAACCTACAAAACTATTCCCGCAGACCGGGCCCCAGACCCATCCTTCCGTCGACTCCTGGAAGACCGGACTATATCTGAATTCAAAGAGTGTGTGGTGCAAGTTTGGCCCGGTCCGCATTCCCTATCCAGCACCGGCCCCAATGGCATCCCCAATGAGGAGATCGCCAGGGGGAGTCCAGGCCGCCCCTTCGAGTTCCCGGACGGCTACAACCAGGTATTTGGGGCCGAGCGATACCGCGTAGTTGAATCGCTATTCGACGCTCAAGCGGCGATTCCCGATACAGAACCAGAGTTCCCCGCGCCCACTGCTGCCCAAACAATACCAGAGCTAATCCGAAACTCTCTAAGTCAAGTCGACGTAGATATCCGACCGCACTTGCTCGCCAATGTAGTCGTGACGGGTGCGACTAGTCTGCTGTACGGCTTCAATGATCGACTGAACTTTGAGCTTATGAACATGTTCCCGAGTCCCCGGGTACGTATAACTGCGCCTGGCAACACAGCGGAACGGAAGTTTGGGTCATGGCTTGGGGGGAGTATTGTTGCGAGCCTGGGGACATTTCATCAAATGTGGATATCGAAGAAGGAGTTTGATGAGCATGGACCGAATATCGTGGAAAAAAGATGCAAGTAATAAAACTGCCTACTTCACCTCTCACCTTTTAGTTTCATATTGGTCGTTCGGTGTCATATCTCGGTGGTCTTGCTCTCTTCGGTTTCTCCGTGGTGGGGTTTCCATAAACGATGCGAGTGTTATGGACAACCATATTTTGTGGAGAAACAAATCAATGTAGTTGTAAAAAAGACTTTCGTAGGCTTACAAAAGAAACAGACTTTGACATCACTTCCCCAGAAATTAATTACCTTGTACGGAGTAATTATATCCATCTTCATCCTCATAGGAGACACACGAATTCACGTGACCGTGGTTCGTGACAAAGCGCCTCCACACGCTTGCTTCACGCGTCCATTGGCTTCAGCGCTGCCTATAAGAACTTCAGCCACCAGGCCTTCCCTGCCTGGGCGGACGTTGAGCCGAGCTCCTTTTCTTGTCCTTCTGTCCAGGCACGCCTTTGAACTCACAGAGGCATCAGACAAAAGCGAATAAAATCCTGTATGCTTCGAAGTTTTGTGACTCTCATACCCCAGAGCCATTCCGTTCTTTATACTTACACAGTCTGCCATTCTCACCCGTCTAATACCCTACCTGTTGGCTTAGCAGCCATGTCTACTGTCTCCCGTAAACGGGATGCCAACCACCTAGGGGACAATGGTGGAACCGCTGCTGAAGCAGAGACAAAGAAACCCAAGCCAAATGGAAGCATTACGTCGTTTTTTGGCGCCCCCAAGGCTAGGGATTCCGCAGCGCAGGGCACAACAAAGCTGTCCTTCGCTCCCAGGCCCAAAGTAAGTTTTAACAAGGAGAAATGGGTTGCTGGCCTAACAGCAGAGCAGAAGGAACTGCTCAAACTGGAAATAGACACATTGGACGAGAGCTGGCTGGCTCATTTGAAGGATGAGGTGATCACCCCAGAATTCTTGAATCTGAAAAGGTTTTTGAAACGGGAAATTGTCGGAGGTGCGAAGATATTTCCGCCGCTGGAGGAGGTGTATTCATGGTAAGACAAGAAAGAACAAAGTCCCTCTATAGGAGAAGTCAGAATCTTACTCCTCCGTTCTTTTTCACTATTTAGGTCCCGACACACTCCCCTCCACACAGTCCGCGCCGTAATCATCGGCCAGGATCCATATCACAACCACAACCAAGCCCATGGCCTCTGCTTCTCCGTTCGGCCTCCCATGCCTGCCCCTCCCTCACTAAAAAACATATACATAGCCCTTCAAAACGATTATCCCTCCTTCACCAAACCACCCAACAACGGAGGCTACCTTGCCCCCTGGGCGAACCGTGGTGTCCTCATGTTAAACACATGCCTTACAGTCCGCGCGCATCATGCCAACAGCCACGCAAACCAGGGTTGGGAGAAGTTTACTCAGAAGGTCATTGATGTGGTAGCGAAGACGAGGACGCGTGGGGTTGTGTTTTTAGCTTGGGGTAAGCCGGCAGGAAAGCGTGTGGCCCATATTCTTCGTGACAAGGAGAAGAGGCATTGCGTATTGCAGTCTGTGCATCCCAGTCCGTTGAGTGCGCATGGTGGATTTGTAAGTTTTTCTACTACGATTGCTCATATTACTCCTATTCATCACCATCTCACTTTGGTTATGCAATTTTCCCGACCCTGGCTAATATGAGAATGCGATTTTCTCATCCCCTCTCCCTTACAGTTTAAATGCGGCCACTTTAAGAAGACCAATGAATGGCTTCTGGAACGTTATGGCAAAGATGGGATTATTGACTGGGCTCTCATCGAGGAGAAAACATCATCATCATCATCACCACCACCACCAACAGCACCAAAAACGAATATAGCTGTAGCTACAGCGACCGAAACTAACCTTCAAATCAACTCCACCACTGTCTCCACCACGGCCAAAGCGCAAGCTATCGTACCGAAAGGGGGCGGGATCCCCAGTTCGTCTCTGTTATCGGAAGACGAGGATGATGATGCTGATGCATTGGCTGCTCTAGCGGAGGCCGAGTATGAACTTCCTAACTGATTCAGGAAACTGTATATGAGCGCAACACAGGAGTTTTGTGTGTCTTGAGTGCGTGCGCGTTTGTGTGCATTCTCTTCATATTGCTGGCCAGAAATTATCAACTCTTGGGACCTTAGCCCGTCGATTGTTTTCCTTTTTTTTTTTTTTCTTTTTCCCCCTGATGGCTGGAGGAATGCAAAAGCCCTTTCGATATGCTGTTATTTATTAGATTTGGTAGAGTCTCTTTTAAATTTTTTCTTCCCTCCACCCCCCCCCCCCGGCGAATTCTGTTATTTATCTATTTATTTGATTATTTGATTAATTCCATTCGATTCCATTCAGTTCAATTGGATTTTCCCCCGATCTCCGATCTCTTTTATTTATTTCAAGGTTTTCCTGATTTCAGGTGAAAAGCTTCGAAGCTTTCGGTTGAGTCTTGGAAATTTTTTAAAGTTCGAGATCCATCCATAGCTAGCCCAACGCAATTGAATGTTACTAGCAGGATCCACTAATTATGTGATCTGTCACAATCGGAAACTTTGCACAAGAGATAGAGTTACAGGGTGCGAAACGAGGTTGACAGCCTGCTTGATACAGCCCTTGCAAATCGGAAAAACGCTAAGCTCGTACAGGTAGGTATCTAATCGTGCCGCTGCGCACCCACACCTCGTTGGCTGCGTGCGGCCGCCGTACCAGGCCTCTGTGCCATAGAGCAGTGAGGGAACCACGCAGGTGGTGACCGCCTTCCGCAGAGCGTCTGCTGGGGGCCCGTCTCTGGTCTTTCCCAGACTCCGGATGTGCTGGGCCACGGCCCTTGCCTTCTTTGCCCGGGTGGAGACATGTGGTCTCCAGGTGAGCCTTCTGTCGAAGTGTACACCCAGCCAGCGAAGTGCTGGCTCCTGTCCAGCTGGGGCAGTAACAGGGTGAACAGTGAGATCCTCAGACACAACTACTGCTGGTGCCTCATTGTGTCGCTTTCTTGTAAGATGGATCATCTCAAGTTTCTCTGGTGCGAAGGCCACCTTGTTTATCTCCCCCCACCTCAGAATACTCTGTATATCCTGTCTGAGAAGGGTGGCATTGTTGTCAAGTGAGTGGGTCGCCCGCCAGATGTTCAGATCATCCGCATAGCCAAAGCGCAACTCCGAGTTTTGCCACAGCAGCTCTGCCAGGTACAGAAGGAACAGTATTGGTGACAAAGGAGACCCCTGTGGCGTGCCACATTGCATCTGATGTGCTGCTGTGGTGGTCCCCTCCAGCCGGACCTGAGCTCTGCGTTCAGTGAGGAAACTGTCAATGAGCTGCAGCAGCTCGCGTGGCCACCCCTGCTGCGCCATCCGCTGAAGCAGCCGCCTGCGCAGCACAGCATCAAAGGCACCCTGCACATCCATTGTGACCATGGACACTTCTTTGTTTTGTGCGAAGGCTGCCTCCACCTCATGAGTGAAAGCAGCTACCAGGTCCATTGCAGATCGTCTGGGCAGCGCCCCCCCATGCTGTGGGCTGACTATGCCGTGAATGAGTGCCGTGTACGCCAGTCGCCTTGCAATGATGCGTTCCAGCCCTTTGGAGATTACTGAAAGCAGGGCAATGGGCCTCCAGGAGCGGACTGAGCTTCTATCTCTCTTACCCACCTTGGGTATCATTGCCACCTCTGCCAGTTTCCAGGCTCGTGGGAAGTGGCAGAGCCGGAGGCAGCAGTTGTATAGCTGCTGTATAAAGAGGGACACATGCTGCCAGCATGCTTTGAGCATCCGCACTGTGATTCCATCCGTGCCTGGGGAGGTGCTCTGTACCCCAATGGTGTTGCGCTGCCAGGGACATCACAGTCTATGCAGACAGTACAGATAGCACAACTAGGCTCATCTGTCTCAATTAGCTGTGGTGTAATCAGTACAGTCTACGTGTCTGACTCAGCTGATATGGTTTTGACTGCCGGCATTGTATCTACGCGTGCTCTGCTTTGTTTTCCTCTCGTTTGCCCTTGTCTCTATCGGCTCAAATGCTTCTTCTTCCTTCTTTTCTTTGCTCTCTCTGTCATTCTCTGCTCTTTTCCTGTCACAACCTTCTTCAGTGCTCTCTCCTTCATTATTTATCTTGTCTGTCTTTCTTCTGATGTTAGAAGCACAGACAGCTTTCTGATCAACTGAGAGAGGTATCCCTCTCTGCTCACTATAAAGCCTTCCAGGCACGGCAGCGGCGGTGCCCTCAGGGAACCACACTATAGCCCCACCATGAATGGCCATACGTCGGGCCAGAAGTGGATGCGCAGCTCAGAAAAATCCTTTGCAATGAGCTGAGTCTTCTCAAGAGTTGCCACCTGGATTCTGTTTTCTCTCTCTGTGTACATAGAAATCTCTCCAGCGTAGCACGTCTCCATGCCCTTCGGGAGGCTTCTGAAACACGGGCGCTGCCCGTGTTTTCTCCGGGACGTTAAACCTATACATACATACATACATACCTCGTGTGGGTGCGCCACACCAAAACGATAAAAACACCGAAACGATAAATATCTTGTAATTTCATCATTCTCATCTTCTTAATTAATTAATAACCCACCACAATGTCAAATAAGGATAAAACAATTTAAGAATGCATGCAAAAAGCTGTCACTTATCATCAAAAAAACCCAAATTCCAAAATACTGCCTCTGTTGTGAGAATTTGAGGTCTCTTATCAACATCTCTGAGTGTATATCAATGGAAGAAATCTGAATACTGCAAAGACCCCAGTTAATAAGAGGTTAAATGAGAGTCAGAAGGACACAATTAAACAATGAATCAAGCTGCTAAATAAATTGAATTGCCCCTCCACAACTGAACACATTGAAGATTTTATAAGTTCAATCCTCAGACATCAGCATACAGATCCTACTATCTTCTTCTCAAAAGTCAATAAAATATAAATTTATAGATTTATTGAATGTTTATCTGAATATAAAAGGGTGAAGCAGAAGCCCATGAATTCAAAAAAAGTGACAATTGAAGATATTGATTATATCAATATCTGGTTTGAATATCTCTGAATTCTATTTAAGCAGTATCAATTTCACACCTGTGATGTATACAACTTTGATGAGATTGAATTTCAAAAAGGTTAAGAATATAAAGAATAAGTTATAACTGTTTTTAAAAAAATCAATTTCATTATTCCTTCTTTCTTTTCAAGAGAATTGATTACATTTATTAAATGTATATTTATGAATAATCATATCATTTCATTGTTGATGATCTTGGCCTCAAAAATCCACTTGAAGAATTGATATACACAGATGAATTTATTCAATAATTATAAAATTGCTATATTGAATACTGAATTCATAAATGATAAGATTGATTTTGAATGACTTAAACACTTCAATACTATTATAAAAAAAAATTGTAGAGAATTTATCAATTGCTTTTAATGAATAATTATGAATCTCATATCACAGAGAAGTTTATATAATACACAGATTTTCATAAAATAATTTTATATAGATTTTCTTCACATGTCATTTATTTACTACAATCTCTGAATAGTTTACTATTTCAGCAATATAAGCATTATCATTCAAAAGTAGTCAACAATACTGCATGTCATGATTTTGATAAATATGAAAAACAACAATTTCTATAAGATCTTTCAACTATATGAAACATTATAATATAGCTGGATGTCGATTTGAATTGGGGGTCCGCGCCCTCCCAATTCAAATCACAATAAACAACAGGATTTAACCCGTCCTTCTCTATCTCCTTTCTATATAGGATACCCATCTTCTTCATTTTCTTGACATAGCATAGGATGTGCTTGAACGCCGCCCAGCAATCCTTATTCAGATGAGAATTGAATATTGATAAGTAATTGACTGTGAATGCTAGATCAGATCTGCTACTTGTAATCAAATATTGCAATGAACTCAATTCTTGATAGTATTTTGTATGGGTAAATTCATCATCTAGACCTTCATCTTTGTCAGAGGAGAATTTGAGCTGTATATTTGCTGTCATAGAGGTCTCTGCTGAATTGACCTTATTCATTCCAAAATTTTTGAAGATTTCATTAATATAACAGCTCTGTGTGACCATTAAATCTCTATTCTTTTGATGTTTGACTTCCATTTCTAAATAGAGCTTATCCTCTTCAACATCTTTTGTCTTGAAGATCTTTATAATCTCATTCAAAACTCAATCTATTTCTGCTTCTTGCAGTTCTGTAACCCTGCAATTATTGACATGAAGTGTCAAATATATTTTGTGAATAGAATGATATAGAAATCTGCTGTCATAAAGTAATATCTGAAATTCTAGTGAAGTGAGGTGTTCTGTTGCTAGGAAATACCACATTCTCACTGCCTGCTTCATTCCATACAGAGATTGCTATATGAGTTCTACTAACCTACCCCGGCTGTATTTGATGCTTGAAGAGAGTTGCATATAGATCATCTTGTGTTGCAGAAGCATGCTGTTCAAAAATGTAAATATATAATCAATTGATTTAGTTTTCCATCCTTTGACTGTTGTGATTATAAATATCACTCAGCTTATGAAGCTAGAGACAACTGCTGCATAAGATTTAGTGTAATGAATTCTCTGCTGCTGCAGGAATTCTCTAACCACTCAATGGGCTCTAAAATGAATAGTTTCACTCTTATTGTTGAGCTTGCAGTTGTATACCCACTTATCTGTTAGAACTTCCATCTCAGAGATCTTCTTAATGATGATATATGTCTTCTTGTATTCAAAGATGTTGACCTTCTTTCTCATTGCTTCATGTCAGTAATTTCAATCTGGGCTTCTTTTGACCTCTGTTAGGGTGAGGGGATGGTCATTCAGCACACTTAGAATAGAATCCTCATCACTGATAAAAGTTTCAGACTCATCATCATTGACAAACTCTGTTTCATCATTTAAAAGATAAGAAGATTCAATAGCATCTTTCAAATCACCATCTACAAGCATCTTTAAAATATCAGATTTATCCTTTGCAAGTCTTTTTAGAAGGCAGTGTTACCATCCCTTTGTAATGTCAAGAACATTCAATTCCTCTGACAGTTCGACTGCTTCTCTAATGACATTTGTAGATGTTATCTCTGTTGTTAATCCTTCATCAAAAATGACATCCCTTGCTATCTCAAGCTTATGAGTCGCAGAATTTCAGATATGATATTGATGCAATTCTTGATAATCAATTAATTATCATTTCTTGCTGTCAGTTCTATCTGTAAGCTTATTGATAATTTTCAAATTCTTTTTATACACCTTGCAACCCCATCTGTATATTCAATGAGCAGATGGTTGAACATCCATTCAAACTTCAAAAGAGGATAATGAAGTCCCCCTTTGACACTCATAAATCTTTGTTGACATTGAGAATGTGTTGATTATCATAACTGCAGCTTGGATAGCTTCATCTCAAAGCTCTCTTATGAATTTGTTATTGAATAGCAAGCTCCTGATCTTCTCATCTACAATGCAATTGACACATTCCGCAGGGCTGTTGGACTGCAGTGTGTCAGACATAGTGATCTCATATGCAATTTCTTTTCACTGTCAGTAGGTCTTCAATTCATCACTCTTAAATTCACCTCCACCATTTCAGTGTAAGGTTCCAATCCGATGTTGAGTAGTTGCTTCAATTCCGTCGATAAAGATCATCAAGCATGCAGTGGCCTCACCTTTTGACATCATAAAAATAATCTATCTGTAGCATGTGGTATCATCTGTAATACCCATCCAATAATTAGTTCCCCTCTGAGTAGGGAGATTAGTTTCATCATATAGCATACAGCTGCCACCCGCAAAGTCCATGAAGAATCTCATTGCAGGTTTAACAGTCCTCATCATCGGTGTGAATGTTGGATGTGTCATTTTTGCCTGTACACAGGTCTTGCAGAATGGCAAAGCTCTGCCACTCTTGATCCTCATTTCTAGACATGGATCTACCGCTAATTTAGTGATATCTGTGGGGTTGAGATGGCCAAGCTTTTGATGCCATTGCAACATCATGTGTTCAATAATTTTGATGTTTTTTTTGAGCAATGCTAGCAGGGGATCCTCTTTTCCCTCTGCAGGCCGTAGAATATTCACAGATTCAAATTCGCCATTAGGCATCACAAATCAAATCAAATCTCTAACCATTGATGGTTTTTCAAGAACATAGATATCCTTATCACTCAAATTGACAGTGAAACTGAACATCTTGTCAGGAGAGGTTAGCAAGGTTGAATGAGTGTTTCCATAAATTAGTTGCTTATATATATAGCTCTGATATACAAGCTTTTCAAAACTTATAAGATTAATCTTCAATTTGAGGACATAGTAGATGTTCTGCAGCAGCAGATTTGCTTCTTCTATCAGTATATTCATCTTCTTTATAGTCATTGCAAAAGCTGTTATTATTATTATTATTATTCTTCCATTATAGATGTATGCAGTCAGTGACTATAACATCTACCTGAAATACTCCAGGATTTTTCAACTTAAGAATAAGCTAATATACAAAGTCAATTTAATACATGCAATAGGAAAAAAATTCAATTGGGGTATAATAACTACACTATAATAAATAACTGAGTTCTTTAATATTTAAATCTGGATTATTGTTTATTTTAAATGATCAATCAGATATAATATAAGGGAAAAAAAAAGGTCTTTACTTTTATATAAATACACTGAAAACGATAGCGAACGATAGCCCTGATCGCAGGGAATCTCACGGCACCCAGAAATCCCCAGTTGAGGTGGTGCTCGTGCCATGGTTGTGATGGAGGAAGTCGTGGGACGCGCTGACGGACGCCCGCGAGAAGAAAACTCTGACAAGAGGCAGCAGCCCACCACATGTGGAGCAATATTGACACAGTTGAGCAATGTTCTTTGCAATGGGAGCGAAGATCCTGCCATCAACGGCAAAGGGAAGGAGGTAGTGGAGGAGGCAGCCAGGTTGGTGAGGGAGTTGAAGGTCAAACTGGGGGAGGTGATGCTGGCCAAGGTGGAAGACGCGACCGTGGCGACACGCGCACAACGCCAACCCGAAGGAGTGAAAGAAGCCAAACTGTCATCATGGGCCAAGGTCGCAGGACAGGGAATTCCAGAAAAACCAGTGCCTAACCGAACCCTCCGCGAGATTACTGTCCTACGCCGGGACTGCGAAGCCCTCCCAGCTGAGGAGGCCACCCCCCCAGCGATTGTGGCAGCCGTCAACGCCAGAATTATGGATGTGACAAAGGGAAAGGTGCTTGCAGCAAGATGTCTCCCCAGTGGAGACATCATCCTGACAACCGACGCGAGGGAGACCAGGGAGGCCTTGACTAAGAGCAGCACATGGCTGGAAGTCTTGGGACAAAAGGCGAAGGCAAAGCACACCCTGTACCCAGTCATGGTTAAGGGAGTCCCAATGGGCAACACCAACTGGAAGGAGGAACAGCAAGCCATCAAGGCAATTTACGCACAGAATGAAGGACTCCGAAGAGGGGTACAAATTGAGAGACTGTCTCTACGACGGAATGCCAGCTTGCAGGCAAAGGTTGGGTCTCTTGTACTCAGCGTCACCTCGCCTCAGCAAGCCAACCTACTAGTAGACAATGGATTGATAATAGACAGCATATTTTGTGACGTTGAAATCTTCCACCGGGAAGCGCAGGTCACCCGGTGCTTTAACTGCCATGAGTATGGGCATACGGCCAGATTCTGCAGGCAGGCCAAAAGGTGCGGGTTCTGCGCGGCAAAAGAACATGACGACAAGGAATGCCCAGCACGAAAAGCTGGGGAACAACCGAGGTGCGCAAATTGTAGGGGAACACACCCAGCCTGGGTCTCTAAGTGCCCTGAGAGGGAGAGGGCATCAAGCAGGGCCCGTACAGCATACATGGAAAGACCCCGTAGGTTTATGGAGCCAAAAGCACAAGATGGGTGGCAGGTGGTGCAAACCAGAGGAAATAAAAGGTTACCCACTGGGGAACCAGAGGGCCAAAGAAGAGGACCAGGCCGACCCAAGGGGATTCTGCAAGCAGGCGAAGCCCAGAGAGGAGCTCTAAGTGCCTTTATAGCACCACAGAGCTCACAACCTGGGTCTCAGCTACAGGAGGACCTAATGGACTACACGCAGACCCCAGCCCCCACGCAACAATGAGGGACACACTAAACCTCCTACAATATAACGTGCACAACTCTGCGAGAGTTATGGGTGCGTTATTGGCAGACCCTGCAACAGAAGACAAATACGACGTAATTGCAGTACAAGAGCCCAGCCGGAATCCCCACATGCTAGCAACACACTGCCCCAGAAGCTGCGGCTTCTGGCCAGCATATCACCCGGAAACACACCCAAGAGTATGCTTTCTGGTCAACAAAAGGCTCGTGGAACACACATGGGAATGCCACTACCACTCAGAATACATTGCAGTGCTGACAATCACCACCGACCTGGGTAAGGTGCAAATAGTCAATGTGTATGCACCTCCTCCAGGGGGCTACAGCAGTGAACCGGAGGAATCCCCCATAGGCCAGCTGCAGGAGGTAGCCGGAATGGGCACAGATGCAGAGCTGGTCATATTAGGAGATCTTAATGTCCACCATGAGAGGTGGGGAGGGGTGAGAGTGGAGAGAAACTTCCGCATGGCATGGCAGCTAATAGCACAGGTGGATAGGCTGGGTCTCCAGCTTGCCACACCTGTAGGAGCTACCACATGGCAGGACAGAGGCAGCCCAGGAACGACTATAGACCTCACCTTTCTATCACCACTCCTGCACGACAAGCTCAGGAGGTGTGCAATAGCGGAGGAGGCATGCAAAGGATCTGACCATAAGCCCATAGAAACAACACTGGAACTCACACCCATCCCAAAGGAGGCTGAGAGACGAAACTGGAAGAATGCGGAGCCTGAGGAGGTAGCAAGGGACTGCCAAAAGCTATATGTGCCACAAAGCCTGGACTCCAGGCAAGCAGTCAAGGAGTATGCAGACTACCTGGTAGGATTTGTAGGGACATTAGCGGACAAACACGCCACCGTAAGTAAGGCTGGGTTAAAATCCAAGACATGGTGGTCACCGAGGGTGGCCAAGGCAGTGGAGGAGTACAAGCAGGCTAGGAGGTCCCAGCTCCCAGAAATGGAGCGGCTCAGGGCACGCTGCAAGCGCAACAGAGAAATCCACTTGGCTAAGACAGCAAACTTCAGAGATCTGGTTGACAGGACCCGTGATGACCCCAGATTGATGTGGGGACTGGCAAAATGGGGCAAGGAAAGAAGCCATCTGCCCCCACAGGCACCTACTGTCCCCCCTGAGAACAGGGGAAGGGGCTGACGCGACGGTAGAAACCTCTTTTGAGGGGAAGGCTGAGGCATTACGACAACGGTTCTTCCCACAGCCAGAGCCCGCCGACTTAAGTGACACCAATATGGAGCTGCTGCAAGCTGAAAGGGAAGCGTCAAATGACACCATCAGTGTGGAGGACATGGAAAGCCTGATCCAGAGACTGCCAAACAGGAAGGCACCAGGGAGGAGTGGGATCACCAACGAGTTCCTTAAGATGCTGGGCAGAACATTTGTGGAGGCCATAACAGCTCTCACCAATGCATGCTGGCATTGGGAGACTTACCCAGACACGTTTAAGGAAGCCAAGACAGTGGCCTTGCGCAAGCCAGGGAAGGCTGACTACCAGACTGCAGGAGCGTGGAGACCCATTGCCTTGCTGGACACAATAGGGAAGATTGTGGAGGCAGCAACTGCAAAACGCCTGCGGAAGATCGCGGAGGACCACAACCTGCTACCCTCACAGCAAATGGGGGCAAGAAGGGGCAGGTCCACTGAAACAGCCATAGCACAACTTCTAGCCCAGATAAGGACAGTGTGGCAGCACCCAGGACAGGTGGCATCGGTACTCTCCCTAGACATGACAGGGGCCTATGACAAGGTGCTGCGGGAGCGAATGGTTCACATCCTCCGGCGACTGGGCATCCCCAGGGACCTGGTGGGATGGGTTGCGTCCTTCATGACCAACAGGAAATCCACAATTGCCTTTGAGGGCCAGGAATCAGACACCTTTGACATCCCAGCAGGCATCCCGCAGGGGTCGCCCCTATCACCTATACTATTCCTATTCTACAATGAGGAACTGGTGCGCATCTGCTCAAGACCGGGGCGCCCGGTGGTGTGCATAGCCTTTGTAGACGATGTCAACGTGATGGCCTATGGCCAGTCCACTGAGGACAACTGCAGGGAGCTCCTGCGCATGCATCGGGCATGCGAGGAGTGGGCAGCACGGCACGGGGCGGTCTTTGCCCCCCAGAAGTATGAGCTAATGCACTTCACACGGGCGCGCAACCAATTCAACCTACAGGCTGAGCTGAGACTGCCAGGACAAACTATACAACCGAAACAGGTGATGAGGGTATTGGGTGTATGGTTAGACTCTAGGCTGAGATGGAAGGGCCACCTGGACGCGGTGGCAGGCAAGATGAAGACTCAAGTCAGAGCACTGTCCCAAACCACCCAATCCACATGGGGGCTCCCACTACGACAAGCGAGAATGGTGTATAACATGGTCATCAGGCCGGCCCTGACCTATGGAGCAATAGCATGGCACCAGCCACAGGGGCAGGGGGGCACGGGTCCAGCTAAGTCAGGACTGGCCCTCAAGCTGACCACAGTGCAGAACTCCTGCCTCAGAATAGTGGCAGGGGCATACAAAAGAACCCCAACAAGCACACTGGAAGCGGAAACCCACACAGTACCCTTAGACATCCACCTGGATGGGCGAGTGGCAAAGGCGGTCAACAGGATGAAGGCCTCAGGAATGGCGCAACAAATTGAGAATGCGTGTGCGGCCATAAGGACTAGGCTTCGGCACCGGGGGGTGACAAGGGGGGCACAGAGACACATGGGAGCTGTGGTTCACCCGGCAGCCCTGCCAGTGGACTGGGAACAGCAATGGATTCAGGGTGCTAAGGAGAGAGCCACAGCAGAGATGACACCGGAACAACGAGCCAACCTGGACCAAGCCTCATATAATCACTGGCTGAAGCGCGAGCAGCTCTGGAGGTGGGTGCAGAGGTGGAAAAGACGTGAGCCCCCCTGGGGGGAGCGGCATGGCCGGCCCCCAGACAAGAAAATTCTGAAGTGGCACACCGGCCTGCGCAAGGCTCGCAGCACTATCATCATCCAATTGAGGTCAGGGAAAACCGGACTGGCAGCTTTCCTAAACCGGTGTAAGGTACCTGAATTCCCCACCCCACGGTGCCCCTGTGGGTATGAATGGGAAACAGTCGAACATGTTCTGATACACTGCGAACGCTGGGAGCAGCAGCGTCAGGGCCTTATAAGAAATGGCAGGCTAGACAAGAGGATGCTGCTAGACACCAAGGAAGGCCTGCATCTCCTGTCAAACTGGTGGATGGAGAGCGGGATTCTAGGCCAGTTCACATTAGCACGCGAGCTGACACACTATGTACCATAAGGCCCTGAGCTGCCTTGGACCCCCAGAATCCCCTGAATCCCACATGCACTCACTCCCCTGACTACTTAGCCCCTCCCTCTCCTCCCTCTCCTCCCCATCCCCTCGCCTCTCTCCACCTCATTTGCACCACCTCATTTTCATCCCCTCATCATCTCCTCACCCTGCCGTATAATCTCCTCTATCTACCCCTTCTGTCAATCCCCTCTACCCCCTCCTGTCACTCCCTTCTATCCTAACAGCGCCTACTATCTGTCCCTCCCTTCTTCCTTTCTTTTGTTACTCTACTTTCTCTAATTCCTTTTCCTTTGTTCCCGCTCCCATTGCAAGGAACAGCTCTAGCTGACTTGCCCGGTACCCTGCAGATGAACAGGATAGTTAACACCGCTGTGCGCAAGGTTTTTCACCCCCCTGCGCCAAGGCGCAGTGGGGTTTTCCTAGCTAGACATATGGTAGCAGAACCGCATATCCATTGGATGAAGGCGGAGTATAATAAATAATAATAATAATAATAATAATATGCTAAAGATTGAATAATTCCTTTTTATTAACAGATCATTTACCTGCTTTTTCAAACTTTTTGAAATGATATCACATATCAGAATAAGAAATCAATATTATAAAGATTTTTTTAAAATAATCAACATTTGCAAGAAAATAACAGAATTCCTTTATTGAAAAGTTATTATATTTTTGAATCACATTAAAAACACATATATAATCAGCAGAATCTTTCATTGTATGTCAATTTTATTAATTAGATTGTTGATTAGAAGAAATGAATATTGGAAAATGAGTATTATTTAAATTTCAATACAATTTTTTAAAAACGATCATTGCTTAAAATTGTCATTGAGTGTCACACCCTTGGTTGTGCCAAGGCCCCGTGACGGCTCCACACGGCCCATCGCTTCCCCTCAGATAATCCCATCTATCCCATAACGTCACGCAGGTGTCCGAACCGGTTTCCAACCACCCTATGACATCATTCGGATGCAATAGAAGAGGATCCGATTGATGAGATATGAGAATCCTGTTTCTATACGGGGTCTGGATTCCTTCTGGCAGATCAATGCAGCGCCACTGCGGAGTTGCTTCCGCTACCCTCGCCTTATAGAGTGAGGGGAGGATGGCTGCCCGTTGTCTATATAGAATAGCTAGATGCTGGCTCTCTATTCCAGGAGCCAGCGATTCGTCTTTTATCTTTTGACAATAAGATACCAGAGTTACCACTGTCCTCATACAATATTCTTAGTGTGCCGAGTACCTCTGGTAGTTCAGTATTTGTATAGTATTCTACGAGTTCGCGGTTCAAGCGAGATAATCAAGCCCACCCATAAGGCTTCCCATTATATACCATCCTCCTCTGTGCCGCTGCCGAGTAGCAACCGCCTCGGCGCCGTCACATTACATTGAGCAAGTTTTCACTATATGTCATAAAAGATTCTGACAATTGTACAAACTGACTGTAAAGCATACAGAGTGCTTTCAATATTTCATGAAATATTTTATATAAAATGAGTGAGTATTTTCAAAACAATAAAAATTATATGATGATTATATAAAAAGTTAATTTTTACTTTGAAATTATATCAAATGAATATTCAAATTTTTTCATAATATTTTGATATGAAGATTTTTATGCAATAATATAGAGAAATATTATTATTTTCTTTTTCATCTTTATTGCATCTGTAACATTGAATTCAGATATAATTGTATGTTTTTTGAAAAAAATAATGAATTGCATCAATATTTCTCAATAAAAGCATATGACTAGCCGAAGCAACTCCGCAGTGACGCTGCATTGATCTGCCAGAAGGAATCTACTGACCCCGTATAGAAACAGGATTCTCATATCCCATTAATAGGATCCTCTTCTATTGCATCCGAATGATGTCATAGGGTGGTTGGAAACCGGTTCGGACACCTGCGTGACGTCATGGGATAGATGGGATTATCCGAGGGGAAGCGATGGGCCGTGTGGAGCCGTCACGGGGCCTTGGCACAACCAAGGGTGTGACAGTACTTTTTAAAAAAAGTGGAGATCCGTACAAAAAAAACGAGTACACACAGCCACATCAAACAGACCCGTACTCCGTACGGATCTGTAAATCATAGAGAGTTATTTCTTTCTTAGCTTGGTTAACAGCATGACCCCAAGCACAAAATGCAAGCCCTCACACGCGTCGCGCAGGGGATTATATAAAAAAACAAAATACATTTAAAATAGCAATGCAGAGGCAAAATACATCAAATAAACGCAAATTATTCAAACAGAAAAGTCAACAGAGAAAAAAAAAAAAACAACCATTTAATTCAATTAACTAATAGTACGAAACAAGACAAACAACCAAGAATCCCAGTTTGTCAATTCATGGCATAATCGATATTGCACCAAAAGAATGGCGGCAGAGCTCACAGCTCCTCATGTCGGGTGGCTTCACCGGCCGTCTCCTCCGGTTTACCAGTTGATTCAGCCTTGGTTTCCTTGGCAGCGGCCTCTGTCGACGAAGGACTTTCCTCCGCGGGTTTCTTGGTAACATCACCGCTATCCTCGTCTACTTTCTCCGGATCATATGCGTCAACACTATATTTGCCATTATCCCGCACGAACTGGGCCAGCTCCTTGATGGTGCGCATGCCTCGATACTCAATTGGAGAATCTTTGGCGCCCGCAGGGAAAAGCTTGACGGTTGGGAATCCCTGGATTTCGTCTGGCACATCGTTTGCGGTGGCATCAATCTTGGCGATTATGACCTTCGAGGCAAACTCTGGGTCATCGGCGTAGAGTTTGGCGAGTTGTTCATATTTGGGCGCGAGGCTACAAGATGACGTGTCAGTATAATACAGGCAAAATATGATCAGTGGCTAGTAGGGCTCGAAAGAGAACTCACGCTTTGCAGTGTCCACACCATGGGGCATAGAACTCGAGAAGAACATCCTTGTCGCTGTTTATGACAATCTCTTGGTAGGTGTGGGCAACGACAACGGTTACAGGGCCTTCCTGGCTCGCAGGGACAGGCTCGGACTTTATACTGGCTTCAATCTCACCATTTAGGACGGCTTGAACGAACGCCGCGAGGTCGTCCCGGGTGATTTTCTTCTCCTGATCATAGGGGAACTTTTTGTTTTCGGCAGGGTTGTGGATTGCGAACGCTGGGAACTTCTCGGGTTTAAGGTTCAGGTTGTCAGAGTGAGCTCCGTAAGCCTTGGCATCGATGGTTCCAAGATTGATGCGACCTTTGTATTTTTTGGCAATAGGCTTCAACATGGCTGTGAACTCCTCACGCTCTTCAGGAGTTTCGGCAAACAGGTAGCCGAGTGGAAGGCCACTCTATTAATAGTAACATCAGCATGATTGTTCTCGCAACATTATCCTGTTGAGCTCGAATTATACGAATTCTCGGCAAACTTACACCCATGTAGCTATTGTAGGTATCTGGTCCGATTTCGCCAACGAGAGGCATGCTGTAAACTTTCACAAAGTTGGTGATGTCTTCTTCAGCAAATTTCCCTGAGAAGAGCTCTTTGCCTCCGTCGAAGTCCTTGTACAGAATAACGGCCGGATGCTTTACGTTTGCAGCAGCAGCCATTTCGGGGTCACTTGTTGCGGAGAAGAGGAAGTCATCACGCAGGGCTTCAGCCACCGCATGGAAAGTATTATTCGAGGTCTTGTCATCAGAAGCAAAGTAACCAACAACGACGACCTTGTCCATTGCCTTCACATCTTCGAAGTTTTGCATCGTTACCTGGCTGACTGTTGGAAGAGCTTGTTTGGACATGAAGGATGAGATGCTATGGGAAAAGGGCGCAAGTCAGCTATGAAATTAAATTGGCAATACATGAATTAGGGGCAGAGGAAAACATACGCTTCACTTTTACGAGCGCCATTGTATGGCTTGACATTCTGCAAACCACGGAAGATCTTGATTGTGGGATAACCTTCCACGTCGTACTCCTTGCACAGCTCTCTCTCCGCCGTGCAGTCAATCTTAGCGAGGAGGATGTTTTTCTCCTTGAGATCGGCTGCGGCAGCTTCATATTCAGGGGCAAGAGCCTTGCAATGACCGCACCATGGCGCATAGAACTCCGCCATGACCAGGGGGTGCTGTTCCATGAAATCGTTGAACGTTGCTTTCTCGAGGACATGCACATGTGACTCTGCATCGGAAATGGGAGCTTCAGAAGCAGGAGCTTCAGAAGCAGACGCCAGAGCCGTGAGCCCTAGGGCAGCCAGGCCAAAGGCAAAATCTCTGAACTGCCGCATAGTGACAGGATGGTAGACAGGAAAAAAGGGAGTACAAGGAATGGTGTTGACCCAGGGGCCTCTGGCAAGACTCAATTCAGTGCCAGTAAAGAAGGACAGACGTGCACGCAACCCTATGAACACTTGGCGTGTTGTTGGACTGAAGCGAACGGGTGATGGATGCAGTCCTAGAATGAAGCTGGGTTGTCGCCAAAGTGTCGAGTATATATAGCGCCCTCGCGAGATGAGGCCAGTTTGTTCTTTCCAGCCCCAGTTCAGGATTGCCCGTTTGGGCAGCTTCAGCACGCTAACATCTTGGCATAACTTGGCGACTCCGTTTGCCAGATTAGTCAGGCAACGAGATCCATCTTGGCAGAACGGGTGCAATGCAATTCTGCTCGACACTTTCGCGAGTAAAACCATTAACGCTTGGCTTGATGAGCTTCGGAACTAAGGCGATCTAGAGTTTGATGTAGTTGGGAGCATGCATTCCTAGGCCTCTTAGAAATTGTGTAGCACTCCACCGCCTTGCTTGTGCAAAGACGCCATTTTCACGAGAGTTAAACCAGATTCTAAAAAATAAAGATAGACCAAATCCAGGCACAGCCTCACTCATCTAACCCCAACATTAGGCATCATGAGGATGGCTGTCTCAGTCTGCAAGTGCGGTGTTTTTGTGGGAGGCTTAGAATTAAATTCTGTTTGATTAATAGCAATTGATGGAAAAAGCATTCCGTATTTCATGGTGTTGTATATGTACTCGTTCGGTACACCTGGCTGTTGTCAATGGGCAGTAGCTAGTCACATGCTGCTTTGTCCCTTTGCCACTCAGTAGGAAATGTTAAGATTATGCCAGTTTACGCCGGCTGGCAATTTGCGAACTAAAAGCCTTCATTAGAATGTAATTTACTATGTATTGTTGACAGACTGAAATTCCTTCCAGCAGCACAACAAAAGGTTCGTAAAAATGATAATCCGAAAGAGATTGGTCCCCTGGAAAGGATGACACTCCTGCCCCTTCGTTCTCAGAACCCTCAACAGTTCCTCAACAATCCAAGGCATTGTACCATAACAGATGCCTCACGGCTACAAACCTCTTTCGCCACGCAACTTTTGATGTCCACGCGCTCTGCCAACTAGCAAGCTCATTACGCGGGGGCAGATCCTGCGCTTGTGATGTTACGCAGGTGCCGGCCGATGGGAGCTTGTACTGGGTGGCGTTCTTGGTATTCGATGATGGAGTGGAATGGGTATTTCGATCGCCGCGGCGTGATGGTGCTATTCAGTCTGAGAAGACCATTCAAGCTTTGCTAGCGAGCGAGGCTGCGACGCTGAAATATATCAAGTCTTATTCCTCTATCCCGGTTCCGGTGGTTTATGCATACAGGTAATAATTGGATCTGAACATGTCCTTAGTAGGTTGCTAAATCTCTGAGCAGTTATTCTTCGGAAAATGATATAGGAATTCCGTACATTTTGATGAGCAAGGCTGCTGGATTTCCTCTCAGCAAGAGATGGAGGTCACGGGAATCGACTTTATCATTTAAAGAGAAATTGAAGATTGTATCCCAGCTCGGGGTTATAACAGAGCAGCTCTCACATCTACGGTTTTGAGAGATCAATTCACTCTTTGAGGAGAGTGGGTATCTACAAGTGCATGGCTGTTTGTCCCAGGTGTTGGTGGATTCTGAATGAGATACTTTACTGAAACTATCTCGAGGGTCATTCACTTCTGAGGGGGAATACTTTGATGCCCTGGTGACAGGTCTTTTGCAGCATGTTGACTGTCTTCAGCTTAGTCATCACTGCTTCTTCACACCGTGCCTTATTTGCAATAGATATGACGATGACCAGGAATACCACAGAGCCTGTGATCAGTGGAATAACTTTGTCATCCTTGAGTCTAAAATCAATGGCTTCAACAACTGAGTCAACTATACAGTAGTGGGAGATTGCCTATGTGAAATCATCTCAAAGTGGGTGGAAGAAATGTCAGTGCTGGCTCAGAATATCGGTTCTGAGAGATTTTCTTTGCACCACTCTGATCTAAATGTGAACAATATCTTTGTGGATGACAACTGCAGCATTATGTGCATCATTGACTGGGCATTCTGCTCATCAGTCTCTTTCCCCATCCTTCTCATGGCGCCTGGCCTCCCCCAATCTCAATACTGACTAGAGGAGCTTTTAATTACTGCATTTGAAGGTGGACTGAGGAGGGTCATTCTTACTGATCTCAGAGGAGTCCTGATGAAGAACTTTCTTCACAAGCTGGAAATGCTACAGACTAGCAGATTTGTTTGATTGTTATCTCAATTAATGAGTTTTGATTCTGCAGAAGACTTCTATCTGTTCTGTGATATCTGACAAATGAGTAACCAAAATGATGTGGATTTCTTGACATTTTTCCAGTCGAAACAATCAACCGACTATTACTGACAATTGCATGAGGAAATGAAACAAGAAGATGAGCCTTCAGATCTAGTTAGGCAACAGAAAACAAGCTATTTTCAAAAAGACATGGTCAGTCTAACATTGTCAAGAAAATTGATGCTAGTTTCCGAAGGGATGTGTCGATACTGAAACCATGACCCCAAAGGAATACAACAGAACGGAAATAACTTTTGTTGCTGATGACAGTTGTGGAAATGAGTCTAGCAGACCCACATCACCGGTCTTGTGTGATGTCGAGCTATTGCCTTTCTTGAATATACCTACCTATTGATGTTCTCGGCCTGCCCGGTTGCATCATCTTAATCTGGCCAGTTCACTGGTCAGGATTTCGATAATTTGAACTTTTTTATAGGACAAACATACAACATGAAGTTGGGTGCTGGATGTCTCATTATCAATTGTACTAGTGCGCCACTCGCTCTTTGGTTGCCAGATCAGCTCAGTGGATAGATAGAGACAACAAAGCATACCACCCCTGCGACAGAAGTATACTTTATCTCCAGCTGGATAGTATGCCTTTTTTCGTGAATTTGCGGGAGGTGTTGGGAGTTCGGGGGGAGTTGGTGGCTGTGGTCTCTTTTTTGGCATTTTTAATGTACACTGAGCGAGAGTACGAGTTGCTCTTACGAGAGAGTGTGCTCAAAATATCCTAAGCAAGTAATTATGTCTGGTGAACTGCCTCAGCTGAGCATTAGAAGCCAATATGCATTTTTCCTGTTGATGTCAGGAGTTTCTCTCCCAGTTGAGAGGTTCAGATGGGGCATATTTACCGCGCGGTAATTGGACAAGTGCGACATCCGTCATGCATTAGCCGCCCGAAGGGTTCCATGTGACGATGAATAATGTTAGTGGTACTACGGCTACCCTATCACGTGCCCCCCAACATATTGTGTTGCTCTCGCGTAGTTAGTTTTAGTAATGACAACAACGTTATCCTCCCACAGGTTATGGCCCTTAGAAGCAACAGAACCGCTGAAATAACGTGCTAACAACGTCTCCACGCATCGTTAAAAGCGTGCCTAGACGATTTAAACCCCATGGTTAATTTGAGATCGGGTGGAACGCCTGATTTGACGAAAGAATACGTGACAACGCGTAGAAGAAGAAATCCCCAAACGCCAGAGGCACAACAGGAATCGAACGCAGGTTTACCAACGCCTGCAACCAACAAGGTGACTGCCCCGGGGGCATTTGAACCTGACGACACAATCGAAGAGGAATCGAACGAGTCGAATATCGAATACGAAGACCCGGTTAACGACAACGAAATGTCAGATAACGCGGGTGGCCCTAGTAGCCATGATGTGAGCGAAGAAACTCGCATGAGACTGGAGATCGCGAGACTCCAACATGAAGTCCAACAAATGAGAACTGGTAGGGGTCAGGCCTCTACAAGTGATGAGAACATCAGTGCAGATCTAGCAAACTATCTGCAGAGGAAAGGCAGAACGTCTGCTATCGTGAAAATCCTTAATGAGTTCCGTGATCAAGTGAGACCCATAAGGAAGCCAGTTGTACTGACCGGATCTGGGAACTACCCCATGTGGAAAGAAGAGATCCTCCTCGCAGCGAGGCAATCTGAAACCGATGACATCCTTGATGAGAAGCAAATAGGCCCTGATGATAACGCCAGCACTGATATGCAGCGATTTTGGAAAGAACGCAACATGTGGCTATACAACTACATGTGGTCATCAGTTGCCCCACAGGCAAAATCTCATTTTACTATACCCAAGGATTGCGAATTATCTGCGTATTCTCTATGGTCTATCATAGAGGACAATTTCGCTGAAAGGCCTGCTGTCCTAAGGACAAGGTTATACAAGGAGATGACAAGCATGACAGCCAAGTCAAAAGGCTCTGATCGCGCGTTTATCGAACGCTTGATCGCCATAAGGACTGACTATATCCGCCTAGGATATAGGGTCGAAGATTTCATGTTTTTTGACTGCTTACTTACTGGGGTAAGCAAAGGGTGGGCCTCGTTCATTAAGAACCGTATGGACCAAATTGAGAAAGATAACGCCCAACCCTTAGAGAGTGATTTCATGGCCCTTTGCCGCGATATCCTCTTGCGGCTTCCGACAACTGATGAATCCAATGCTGACACGTCTAGGAACCCTACCAACAACGCGCAGGACTCCAAATCCGACAAGAAGGATAAGAAGGGCAAGGATAAGGATAAGGAGAAGGAGAAGGACCCCAAATCTGACAAGAAGGGCAGTGAGACACGGACCTGCTTCCATTGCCAGAAGACCGGTCATATCCAGAACGATTGCTGGAAGAAATACCCAGAGAAGCGTCCGTCCAATCCCAACAACGCCAATAAGGATAAGGACAAGGGTGATACCAATGCTGGCACTGCTCCTGTCCATAACGTCGTGGAACAAGTATTCTGTATGACGGACAAGGCCTACATGAGCAGCGAAAGACCCACGAGAGATACCTGGATTCTAGACTCGGGTGCGGGTGCCCACGCAACACCTCATAAAGATCTTGTCGTGGCAAAGCCCCAAAAATATACTGTCAAGTTGGAAATGGCAGATGGAACGATAGTGCCTGCCGCAGCGATAGGCGACACGAAGATCACCGTTGAAGGGGCGGACATGCTACTAACTGGCGTCCGCTACGTCCCGAAATTAGAAGTGAACCTCATGAGCATGGGTAAGCTCGTACGCCAGGGCTTTACCTTCAAGCAGTTGGCATATGGAAGCAACCACGCCGTGCTCTTTATGTCCCCAGATAGAACGTTCTCCTTCACGGCGAAGTTGAACGACAATGATATCTACGAGGTGGAGAAGCGGCCTACCTTCAAGGATCTAATTCGATTCGCCCTGTCCAACGGCAAATTTGAACCTGTCAACGCGATGGCGGACGACAGGACTACTGACGCGATACTGGCGCTGCCCAACAACGACATAAAGGTTATAGAACTAACAATGACACAGTGGCACCAAAAATTAGGGCATCTAAATCCCGCGGATATCGCTAGAATGGCAGCAGATCCACGCCTAGGAATGAGAATCATCGGCCAACGAGCTTTACCGTTTTGCAAAGTCTGTGTCCAAGCAAAGATGACACGTCCAACCTTTGCGCCCATGACGCGAGCTACCAAGCCGGCGATGAGACTCTTCATCGACCTAGCAGGGGGTGGAAAAACGCTTTTTGACGGGAACGACCTACCCACTAGGGGGGGTGCTAGCTACTGGCTAGGGATAACAGATGACGCTACGAGATACCGATGGGCAATCTTGATGATGTCGAAGGGTGAGTCTACCGCGAGATTAATGAACTTCATCACAGGCATTGAGGCAACTACGCAACGCCGTGTAGGCACCCTACACTGGGATGGTGGCAGCGAGTTTAAAGGCCAAGATCTGAAGGCCTACTGCCAGAGCAGAGGAATTGCGTATGAAACGACTACGCCTGATACGCCGCAATCGAACGGCCCTGCTGAACGCGCCAACAGGATTGTTGCAGAAAAGACAAGAAGCCTTCTATTTGATAGCGGACTAGCTAAGGAATTGTGGGGTGAGGCGATGCAAGCCGCGATCATGATGATCAACACGTCCCCAACGTCAACTAAGATATACGGATGCAAGCAAGTAGTTCCGCTTACGCCATTTGAGGCATGGACTGGGGTGCAACCTACTGCCCATTGGATACGCAGGTGGGGGTGCAAGGTCTACAAGAAGAACCTAAAGGTTACCAATAAGCTCGCGGATAGGACTGACGGCAAGGAATGGCAGCTAGTTGGCTACCAAGGACTGCACCAATATCGTATCTGGGACCCAATTGGCCGTCGCCTTGAAATCGCGCGAGATGTCGTATTCGACGAAGGACTAGACAAGGGTGAAACCACGCCTGCGAACGTGGTGAGGCAATCGAGCGAATTACCAGAAGAATTGGACGTACTAGATGCTGCTGATGGGTGGCAACACTGCCTCCTGCGACACCTAGCAAAGGTGAAACCTGACGTTTTGAAGATGATTGCCAATGGGGATCTTGAAGGTGCGATAGATCCAACATACCTTCTAGATAATGAGACAGAACTTGTCGAGAATGATGAACCAGAAGACCCTGCCAATGAGGACGATCCTGTCCTGAGCACCCTAACTGACCGCCCAACTACCGTGGCGGAAGCCAAAAGGAGCCCTGAGGACTACTGGTATGAGGCGATGAAGAAAGAGGTCAGCATGTTTGAGAACAAGCAGACATATATTGTCGTTGAGAAGACCCCAGGCATGGATATCTTAACTGGTAAATGGGTGTTTGATCGCAAGTTGAACAATAAGGGAGAAACAATCCGGTTTAGAGCTCGCTGGGTGGTTAGGGGATTCCTCCAACAACAAGGAGTCCACTATACAAAGTCGTACGCCGCGGTGGTATCAGGACCCACGTCACGGAGCTTATTCGCAATCTCAACGGCAAAGGGGTGGAAGGCAAAGGCGATCGACTACGTCTCCGCGTTCTTGAACGGCATACTACCGCAGCACGAGATGGTATATATGCAACTGCCTACAGGGATTAAGCACGGCAGGGGGGGCCTGGTTGGCCTGCTCCGCCAGAGCCTTTACGGGATGAAGCAAGCAGCGAGGGTGTGGTATTTCCTTGCGACGGAACACCTCACCACTCTAGGATTCAAAATCTCGCCGTACGATGGCGGATTCTTATATCACCCTATTCGCAAGATCTACCTGACATTGCACGTCGATGACTGTCGGGTAACGGGACCCCAAGAGCAGCAATTAGACTGGATATTGGCAGAGATTGCTAAAAGGTTTGAGACAAAGGATGTCGAAGAGAACAAGCCCTACCTTGGAATGGAAGTCAAACGTCAAATGAACGGCGACCTAGCGGTTACCCAGAACCGTTATATCGATGAGATCCTTGAGGAATTTGGAATGGACAAGGTCAACCCGGCCATCACGCCGATGGCGGCCGGCATACGCCTAGAATCTCACCAGATGAAGATAGCGGGTTAGATGACGATTTTACTGCTACTAGATATCGTCAAGGCTTAGGATCGCTGCAGTATTTGGTGTCAAGCAGCAGACCAGATCTGGCATTCGCGGTCAACTACCTCTCACGTTTCAACTCGCGTCCGCACAAGGAATGCTGGGCAGCATTAAAACACGTCCTACGCTACGTCAAGAAAACGAAGGATCACGGAATCCTATACAAGAAGGAGATGATTGGGGGACTCAGTCCTGTCGCGTACAGCGACTCAGATTGGGCAGGGGCAGACCCCCAATACAAGTCAACTACAGGTTACATTATCCTGCTAAACGGATCACCAATCTCGTGGCGGTCGCAACGGCAGACCTCAGTTGCAAAATCAACCACTGAGGCGGAGTATATCGCGGCAAGTGAGGCAGCGTGCGAAGTGATCTGGCTGAATGACATGTTATTTGATGCTGGATTAGTAGAAGGGAAAGCGAAGGTATGCTCGCACCTGCGAGTTGACAACAAGGGCGCGATAGATCTAGCAAAAGGGGAGTCCTTGACAAGGAGGTCACGTCACATCGAGATCAGATACCATATCCTTCGCGATCTGGTTGAAAAAGGCGAAATCATGATGGAACACGTTGGTTCTACGGCCAATATAGCTGACGGCCTCACCAAGCCACTGGCAAGGCCTGCCTTCGAAGAATTTGTTAAGAGGATTGGCTTAATGGAAATTGGCAAGAAGGGGTGAAGGTAATGATGATACGGGAGTTTACAGATTTTGCTTGTGTTATCCTGTTTTTTACGGTTATTGCCATACGGGAGCCTATTCCCAAAGAGGAAATCAGGGTCTGATTCTTGTAATTAATTATTATTGCGTTTTTAGAAGAATTGAGCAAGGGGGGGGCCCCCGGGCGGCAGAGCTTTGGCGGCGCCGTAGCACGGGGGGGTGTTAGTGGTACTACGGCTACCCTATCACGTGCCCCCCAACATATTGTGTTGCTCTCGCGTAGTTAGTTTTAGTAATGACAACAACGTTATCCTCCCACAAATAATGACTCTGCGCCAAGATGTTCCCCATGTGGGACGTCTAATTGTATTAGCATGTCGGCAGCTGAGGCATATATGTGCGGTGCGCTAGTCCGTGATAGGCAGCCTAGGGCCAACACCCCAAGCGTTGCGACCCCCTCCCATCTTAGAAAAAGGCAATCGCGTTCAAGTATTTTGCGTGGTGCTCAATCCTGACTCGATCTTGATTCGGTGCGCATAATAGCTTCATGCAGCATGCGCTGGAGCCTGGCACCTAGGCAATATGCCTACAATAATGCTGAGCAAATCAAGTTCGCTCTCCATCCGTGTATCAACGTGGACATGGGCACTGCGCGCCCACTGGGGGATTTTCATCCATTACAAGTGGCATGGGTATGATGGCGTATCTGAGCGGCCAGATATCTAAATCAACGGCTGGTGTTGCAGTTGATAAAATTCATGATATGCCCGTACTGCCCGAAATCTTGGCTGTAGTTATGGAAGCTCAATTAAGTAGCGGAACGGGCCAGAAAATTTTTCGGCAAGAATTATTTAACTATGCTAGGACGGGCGAATGCTAGACTGGGCGACTTGTGCCGTCCCTGGTTACTTCCAGACCCATTGTTCTTCCTGTTCCTGTTTTCCTCATAACAGGATCGGATGTTCCGCTACAAGGAATTTGCCACAAGGCTAATTGCAAGGGAAACTGGCGACAGAATAGGATCACAAGGATGCAGCTGATAGTCAAACAGCTTGACATAGTTGATGAAAGGGATAAATTCAAAAAGCCATGTCAGTGAGAGAAAATGCAGCAGAGGAACCACCTCAGTCATCTTGTGGTAACACCAATCAAGAGAGATCCTGTTATAATTAAAATGGTTAACTGGGTTGAAGTTGTAAGAAACACACGCCTACTCAGACCCAACTCCATACATGAGAACAAATTTCCCCAAGTGGTAAAGCTATATCATACTTCTATATGGTGGCTGCATATATTTTCCTAGAATCAGGTCAGATCTGACTCCATTCAGGTTTTTTCAAAATCAGCTCACATTGAAACTCTTCTTTTAAGAGCCGGCACTTGGTATATATATATAGACTTTAACTGTTAAACAAAATTTCCAGTGCATGAAAGAAGCAATTAACAATCTGAATATGGTTGAAATATATATGATATTATAAGTCAGATTGTGACAGGTTAGCATCTGTTAGTAGTTACATTAATAGTTACTAGTTAGCTTGCATGATCAACCCTCACAATTCTTACAACTACCCACGAACGTAGGGGTACATTTGAATTTTCCACTTTTCCAACTGTTTTTCATATAATTTTAACCCTCCAACCCGTTCAATATCATTGCACGCCCTCTGCAATTTCTCTACATGTGTGTACTGCACAGGTTGAGTGGTCATAGAGCCCTCAACGCCCTCTCGTCCGTTCAAGGACATCGACACAGCCTACACCAGATCACTGGAGCCGGAGTCACTGGTCAATTTTGTCACTGAAAAGACTGGCAAAAGGCAGAGGAAGACTGTCACAATGCTTCCCTCAGTTCTCAAAGAAGTCAGTGACAGCATCCTCACAGCCATTTCTCAACTGCAGAAGCAGTTTGAGAAGGCTCAGCAGCAACAGAATTAGCAGTAAAAGACTTTCATCAGATTGATAAAAACTCTGAACAATTGAATTGAGAAGAAGAAGCAATCAATCAATTAAAACTTTGTCTGAATCTTTTATGAAAGGTTTGTCAAATATGTGACAGCAGATCTGAGTGCATCAATTCTGAGAGAAGATGCTGCTTCAGATATTCATTCACAGTCAAATGTAGAAAAACTCTACCCTCTCTGAGATTACCCCTGTCAAGACTGCGGCTTTCTTAGCAAGCAGGGCTAGTAGAGCTAGTCTGTAGCCTAAAAGCACCAGTCAGTCAAGGGGCCTCATAGAGGGCACAAAACAGCAGAAGAACTTATGAGTTCTCATCATTCTTCAATCAGAGAAACAGATTGCCTGATTACAGCCATATGCTGTGCAGCAGACAATCATTGCAAACATTCAAAGAGTGAGAGATGTGGTCAATGTGCTGAAGATGAAGCCCATCAGAACAGATTGAGTAATCATATTAAGCAACAGAGGTATACATGATACTCTGATCACTGAGAAGGCAGTGACTACTCTCTGTAAAGTTCTTGACATCATAGAGATCCAGCTATCAGAGCAGTGGTACAATTATACTGTTTCAGAAATCTCAGAATTTATTTAGAACTGAGAAGAAGCAAAAATCCCCGTAGACAAAATGATTGAAAGAGAGATTTTAACTCAGATAAAAATAAAGCCAGTGAGCTGTCAACCCTCATATCATGAGGTGAATCTCAAGACAAAGAAGATTACATGGATTGTCTTCTTCTTTGCTTCAATGAAAGACTTCTCACTCTTCAATGCCAGTGAGAGAGTCAGACTGATTGAGAAAAGATCTTTAACAGTGAGATATTACTCAGAATGTCAGAGGTTCTGCCACTCATCAAAGTGTGCACAACTGACAAAATGCTCTAACTGCAGTGAGTCCACAAACCAGCATAAGAGGTCAACAAATGCAGAGTGCAAGAGAGCATCATGATGTATCAACTGCTGTCAACTTTACCCAGCTGAGCATTAACATTGTTCTGCTACACTCAGACATATGAATAACACTCTCAAACATCTAACTCAAAAGAAGCTAGCAGCTGTTCACCACCTTGACAACAGATGCCACAGAGATGCTCAGAAGTTGTGAAGGGTGATGACAGTGTGAAGAGTGAATAGTAGAAGATAGTATATAGTGTAGTGGAAGATAATAATAATTATAGTAGTAGTATAGTTGAAGTTGTAGTTGTAGCTAATCGCTGAAGAGGAAAAGAAAGAGAAAGAAAATGTGCGAAATACATGCATCCATATATATATACATATAGAAATAGTGGTAGCGAGAGTATAATGGAAAGAGGTCAGAATAGACGAAGATATAAACAAAGATAATATAATAATAAGGAAATAATAAACGAGTGTATTACAGTTTTATGTGTGATTGAAGAGTGCACTTAGAATCTAAATGTGGGTTTTAAAAAATTTATTAAAAACAATGCTCAATAACATTCTGTTGTTTGTTGATACTTTCAGATTCAATATAGCTCATAACAATTTGTAGCATGTGTTCAATTTTCATGAAAAGTATTTGCTTTAATAATAGCTTTTAAAGCTGCTGTTGTTGCTGACTTTTGTATTTTCTTCAATTTCTTTGGTCATATTCAACAAAATTGTCTGGCTCAGCTGTCAAAAAGAGATGTTATATGATTGATTCAGAAGTTGTTGAAAGATTTCAGAAGTTGTTAAAAGATTTCAAATATTGTCAGAAATTGATGTGCTGTGTAAAATGATCAAGAATTATATAAAGTTGATAGAAATTGTCAGAAATTGTGGAACATTATTAAAAAAATATTAAAAATCATTGAAAAATACATTCAGTGCTTTGATTAGAGTTACTGATGATCAGATATGCGTTTTGATGGCAAGATTAAAACATTGAATGATTAGATATGATCATGGTTGAAAAATTAGCAAATCATTTCTATGTTCAAAATCAGAGTAGCAGTTTTCAATCTGATCCTTCATACTTACAATATATGTATTTTTGAATAAAAATTAATTCAATTGATAGAAAATTGGAAAATTAATCCTCCAAGGTGGTAGAGAAATGATATATAAGTGAGGTTGTATAGTGATTCTATCTCAAACATTATGGTTGAGTTTGCTGAGGATGTCCCATTTAGGTTTAGTGTAAGCCCCTTGACAGTTGATTGGCTCAGATGTTAGCAGGACTTGGCAGTAGTTCGGATCGGGTTAGCTCGAAGTGGAGTGGCTGAGTTTTACTGAGATAAACCCGCAGCTAACTTATCATAATCCTTCCCTCATCGATCTTCCACCCCAACCCCAACTATCCACCACCGCCAGATGGCCCCCAACTCTCGCGCGTGTCTTTTCTTCGGTATCTCTTCGATCGCCCCAGTCGAGTTTTTAGTTAGGACATATTTCTGGCCCGCTAATCGCCGCGCATCCACCTAATCGGGCCCTCCCAGTGTTGCTCCCCGAGATATCTGCTTTCTCGTGACGCATTCTTACTGCCGAGTCATCGTATTGCTCTTTGCGCATACATACATACGAGTCTCGGGGCTGGCGGGCCGCCGCTGGGGCGCGCCGATTTGTCGTCGCCCGTCTAGAGATGCCGGGAATCATCATGGATGGTACCAGCGCGAATGGACCAGGACGGGGGATCGAACGGCAACATGTTGATGATACGCTCTCAACCACCGCCTCCCTCGCACCATATAATAACGGAAACCATTCAAATGGACCTTCCCATGCGAAAGATGCGGCCTGTCCCTCCAACCCCAAATTTGATGACTTTCTGCCGCCAGAACTGGTGCATATCACCCAGGGGTTTTTCCCTCTGGGTCATCTCATCAACAGGGCCACTCAACAATGCTGGAATGACCTAACTGATCTAATAACAGAGTTGGCGAATCCGCAATCAACCGCGACTCATGCTACTGCTGGCCCCGTAACCACAACCAACGGCAAATACACCCTCAGTCCATCCTCCGCGGAAAATGCACAAAAGAAACTTCGTATCCTCGAATTTGCCCAGGCGAAGCGGGCTGATTTCATCAAGATTCTTGTTCTTTCTCAATGGAGTCGACGGGCAGCCGATGTTAGCAGACTCATAGACATTCAAGCTTTTATTCGCATGCGGTACGATTTCTATAATGGCGCAATTTTGTCCATTGGTGAGATGAAGAGAGATTTGATCAGGGCGCAGACAGCGAACCCTGATCTTGCGATGGCGCTGGAGGTTTTAGCAACTGGGAGGGTGGCTGCTATTCAAGAGGTAATTCTATCTCTCCTGGATCTTTGTTTTCTTTTTTCTTCTTTCTTCTTTCTTTTTTTACGGCGGCTCGATTACTAAATTCAATTTCCTCATTTTTTCAGCGTTCGTTCGTTCCACCAAAACCTTTAACGCCAAAAAAGATGCTTAAAACACTGAAGAAAATCAATAAGACGATTCGGACAAGATTAGTACTGCACGACCAGATACCCAGAGCATTCACAAATTATGTGGTCCATGATGGTAGAGTCACTTTTAAGGTTCCGACCGAGTTTGAGGTTGATCTCTCTATTGCGCAAGAGAGTCATTCCTCGCAATTTTTCTTCGTCGATATTCGATTTTTATTCTCCCCTTCACCTCCAAAACCAGCTGGAAGGCTTTTGGATGAGCTGGATAACAGAGTGAATGCCATTCTCATGCACTCAGGCCTTACAGGATGCTATAACTTGTTGCATAATTTGATCTTATCGAACAAAATCACCATACTGTTTCACCAGGCTGTCGAGCTAGCTCGGGAACACTGGCTTGATACTCTACGTGTGGAGGTTTTGCACCGCACTCTTGTCGTGCAGTATTGGATCAATAGACCCGGACCGAAGAGCTGGATCGAAATCGGTGTAAAAGGCGGTCGTCGCAAGGAGCAAACACATGATGGATCGATTACTGAATCGCCATTTCTTGGCTTGAGGTGGATGAGAGATAACAAGGAAGTGGAGTCTAAAGATATCAAATTGGACCCGGAGCTTCTTTCCATGGAAACTATCCTTTGCAGTGTTACTGCCTTACATATATCTTTCTTGCTTCAATCTACATACACAAAATTATCGCAAGAGCGTCTATACGCCAGCGGAGCTCTTTCCGTTGGCTTGCAAACATCTATTAATGAGCCAGGCAACTGTTTCCTCAATGTTCAGCTTACAAAGGGCAGAAGCCTTAGAGTGATGATTGAACCGGTTTCTGGCGCCATCATCTTCCGCCCTACCCCTCTGCTGCTCAACCGCTATGATATTGATCGAAGCTTTGAAAGACCCATTATTGACGATATACTCTTCCGTATCTCCCGCATTCGGTCGACAGCTGTGATAGAGGAGGTTGAGTCACTTGCCACTGCTCTTGGCTGGGAGACGGTGAACTCACGCGATATCAAAAACGAAGATCTTCGGCGCATTTTCCCCTCGAACATCCTTCGATCAGTTCTGTTCTTTCGCAAATCCTGGGAGTGCAATTATGGTATCGCGTATACCTGCAGCATGGATGGAGATAATTGGTGGGTAGTCGAATTGCGTGCGCCATCGAGGGATAAAGGCCCCTTTTCTCCCCAATCGGCTCGCATGGTTACTGGCCGCTTTGGCGGCTTGCCGGAGCGGTTAAACTACGCCTCCTTCAGCCAACTAGATTATGCTCTCTCGGGGATGCTCGCCATTCACGTCAACGCTTGTTATCTCTCAGAAGTCCATGGAATTCATTACTTCCCTCCCGTACGGAACCTCTCTCTTGGCCCGCATCTCCAGGTACCAAGTATCTTTATACGGTTCCGCAGCGGCTCTCTTCCTTCTGCACTACGAATATCTCCCTCCATTACAGCCGACAAGAACCCCACAGTTAGAGACACAGTTCGTCTCTCGTTCAGGGGAATCCATCCATCCTCACAATGCGCCATACTCCTAGCGCACGGGAATCTTTCAAGAGAAATAAAAGATCTAGCTCTCTTAGCCGTGCATTTAGATCCCACTATAACGTTCCAACCCAATGGTCGGGGTTTTGCCATGCGCTTTCTCACCCCCGTCGGCAAACCTATGATTATCCAACTTCTTGCCCGCCTCCAACAACTGGAGCACGTAATTTCTACCCTCGACACCTTAAAGCAAAAGTCCCTGAAGCTGTTGTCCGTTTCTCTCTCCAAAATAAAATTTTCATACGCCGCAGATGAAGGCGCACGCGCCATTATCAATTTTAACTATCACGAACAATCCATAGAATCTGACATCGATTCTGTCACACTGTTATCAAGACAAGCCCCTCTCATGCTTTTACGCATGAGTATTGATTTCCACCCACAAAACCCTCACCGACGCATCAAAGAATCATTGACATCTACGCTTAATGGCCTGCGTCCGGGAGCTAGAGCAGGAGCCGGGTTAGAGGCCGTCCTAAAGTTGCTCGTCATCACGCGACCAATTCTCCAAGCTCTGGAGCGCATATCTACCGGTTCACGCAGCAATCTTCCTGGAAATTCCGGAGTCCAAATTACCACTCGAAGCTCAAAGATCTTCCATCTCCGCTACCCTTCCCTCCGATACCGCTTCTGCATCCATGCAGGCCTACGAAGAGATCGAGTCGTGTGGGTTCTACGGGACATGACTACCATGTCAGACAAAACCGGTCGAGAGGCCGTGGAACTCAAGTTGAAGGAGCAGATATTTGGTGCCAGTGGAGATGGGTGGCAGGGTCTGGGCAATGGTGCTATCGCCGACTGCGAGAAGATCGGAAACCTCGTCTCCACCCTGCATGGGGTCTTGACGGATTATATCTCATCGGAAACAGGTGGCCGTTTGGGCATGAATCCTCTGGGAAAGCGGAATGGGGGCACTGGTACTGACCTTGACCCTGGCCCTGGTGGAAGTAGCGGTGGCAGTGACGACGTCGGCTTGTGATCGCAGGGGCAGAACGGACCTCAGTCTAATCCCTCTGGTAGAGGGGTGACAGATAATAAAGTAAGGCCAACGTCCGGTCAGGCGGGTATGTGCGTCGGTATGCAGGGGTGGCAGGGAGAATTGGGAGGGACAAAAAGCTTCCCAGCAACCAATAACGGAATTGCCACGAGAGCACAAATGCAAACACAAATACATATGAAAGCAGTGAAGCAGGATACGAAGAGCGCGCAAATAAAGAAGAACATCAATGCCACCTGGACTATGACCAATGGTGGAGACGTGGATTTTATCTATCATGACCAACTAATCAATTGAAAGCGTTTACGCTGAAAATTTTCCAAGGTTTAGGGGATGGGACATCATGAAGGAACTATTCCATCAGCATTGGACACAAATATCTCTCAGAATTTTCAAGTGATATCTATATATTTCCTTTTACTCTTCGTTTCTCGATTTTGATCTTTATTTTAGGCGCTTCCAGTGACCCCTTGTAACTAACCTGGTGCCTGTCTATGTACGTACTACTCTCAGATAGAATTTTTCACTCTCAGTGGTGTCTTCTTGGACTACGAGGGCAGTAATGGATAATGGATAAAGCTATGTCGTGGCTTGGTTTCAATATGATATTTTAACTTATATACATTCCACCTCTATCTCGACTTTCGTAGACGAGACAATTCGGTTTCTTTATGATCAGAAGCGCATATGTGACAAGATGAAAACTTTTGACATGAGAGTTTATCGAACGGAAATCTTAACATACTTTTCTGAACCCCAAAAATGAATCTTGGATAAATCATTGGGTATCTAAGATGCATGCGCGATAAAGAAGAGAGAGAAAAAAAGGGAGGACATAACATTATTCATATGCAAAAATGCTTCAAAAAATGCTAGCGGTAGAGGCCTCCTACCAAATACTTCAAACCGGAAGGCCATACATAATTTTAACAACGCCCGATCCATGATCATCCTAAAACAGCTCTTCTCTTACACTCCCCTTTCGTTTCGCTACATCATATTCAATCCATCTCACCAGGCTCCTACTCCCCTCTGGTATGAGGCGGCCCGGATTCATAACGTGACATCCTTCGTACGTAACTGCAAATGGTTCTGCGCCAGAGTCCGCTAGGATCATAGCAGTTGGTAATGGGTAGAGATGTAGGACGGGCGCATAGTCCCATAGAACTGGCCGAATGTGTTGGGGAAAGGGGGAGAGGTGGCTTTGGTCGAGAATTGTTTTGACGAGTTTTCGAGATGCATGGAGATTTATTTGGGATGCTGTAGTTGAGTTTTGGTGGGGATTATCCTCTATTTGCTGCTGTTGTTTGAGTTCTTCTCCTTCCTCATTACCTCGTTCCGCCGGGCGAGCTTCGTCATCATCTAGCCTTTCTACAACCATATCATTACCCGCGTCGGTGGGTTCGTTTGAGGTGTGTGAAGTGTCTTGTGGGTTCTGTGGTTTGAAAACGATCGAGGTACGCCTCAGGCGCTCTGAGATGTCATCCCTGAACACGACAAGTTCATGCACGGGCCCGAAAAGGCTGAGACGTGTGGGATTGGATGACCAGATGGCTTGACCCGGTATATGTTTGGTACGAGAAGGTAGTTCATTATTAGCATGCGTAAACGCACGTTTGAGTCTGGATGTGAATAATTCAGGGATTGCATCTCGTGGGACCGTCGTAGACGAGCCAGCAGAGTAGGCAGATGCCCAAGGGTCATTGTCTCCCGGAACAAATACAAAAGTTGCGTTTTGCAAGAGACGCGGATAGTTTGAAAGGACGGAAGCAAGAATGTCGAAATATTCCTTGCACTCGATACTACCCCCACTCCCTCCGCCGGAAATGACAGCATGTTGGACGAAATTTCCAATCAAAATGAAGACTAATGGTAACTGTTGTTCCGGGAGTGAAGCGTAACATTCGAAGACATGTGTGAGCGCCCCTTCTGTCTTTGGGACGTCTAGATTGACTTCACTCATGACAACTATTCGCTTTCTTATATCCCGCAACTCGTAGTGCGGGCCCTTGTCAAGGCATATCTTTTCAACTTGTCGCATCCGATAACCTCTGCCTCGTTCACTCCCGACACCTAGAAAGTCAACCCAGCCAAATCCGCCTTCGACGGTCATGGCATCATCCCCGCCCCGATTGCCTGCACCAGTGGAAGTTTCACGCCGCTCACACGGAGGTCCACCAACCGAGGCAACAGTAAACGTTCCACCAATTGTTCCGCCAACCCCGCCTGATCCGTTCAATGTAGATCCGGTTACAACTCCCTCCTCTCTGTAAATCCCGTCGACAAGGACTATCATTCCCGGCGCGAACCATGCTCCGTCTTCTGGAATAGCGCGGGCATGTGTAATATCAAGAGCGATGCTTCCGGTTGGGTCTGTTAGGGAAAGGTCTCCTGCCGGGGACATAGAGAGAAGGCCAAGAAGCAGATGCGACGTACCAGTCCTCCCCAGAAGATTAGCAATCGATGTCAGTTTATAGTAACGAGTTGTGCTGGAATGTGAGGATGTCGATCCTTGGAGCGGAATTCGAAAAGCCTCATTGCGTAATATCCTCTGGTAAATGATATTATATCGATCTCTCAAAATATTGGCTCTCTGATAAGGCGGTGGGAATAAGGAAGGAGGCGAAGTTATTATGTCGAAATTCTTCTTATTTATATTATAGACCGGGCGATGTTGTTCGAATGCGCTGATAATTTTAATCCACCTTCTTGTATCGTTCAGTGAGCTATCTTCTTCTATTTCCAACGATTCCTCGTGAATATTTTGGCCACTTTCGTTTTGGTTGCCAGTTCGACTCAGCTCACTGTCTGCGCCTTCGTGGCCTAATGTCAATGTCGAACCGCTTGCGCCCTTCGCGGGGTCGCGAATAATAACCCTCCCACCACTCATATTGGCTTCCATAGCCCGTAATATCGACTTCAGCAAAGCATTGCCACTTTCGCTATCCTCAAGGATCACTCCGCCTCCACGCTTTTTCCATGCTTTCGCGATTTCGTCTAGGACGAGCTCTGCAAGGCCTTCTTCCCGCCATCCTGAGCCGCAGTTCTTCCCCACAAACGTAGCGAGCGACTGTAAACTAGATGCTGTAATAGTCAAGCTATGTTTTTTAGTAAATACTCTGAACGCAAGAGGACGTAACGTGGGCGGAGGTAACAGGATGGGGAGAATGGAGGCGGCTGTAGAAGCTGGTTCTGACATCCCGTGGAACGTCCGATGGCGATGATAGATTTGCAAATTCGCCGCTATCGTCGCATCCTGCAATAAGGATTAATCATTGAGTCACCGTGCCACAAAAAAGTAATGAGCTACAACTGAGATACTCCCCTGGCCTTTGGGATCTTGTTGAATGCCGTGCGCTATCAAAAACGTTATAGTTGAGGCAAGACGCGACTAAGACGTGTCGTAACATGGGTACATTTGCACGTGATGATAAAAATACTCATTAAAGAGCAAAGAAACGAAGGCAACTTTGATAAACTTTTCAACTTTCACATATCCTCACTGTCATTATTGACTTATCTATTCTATAAGCCAACTACTCTACAGATCATCCATTCACCCTTGGTCGCTGATTTGAAGGGCAGCTCTCTGAATCCAATCTCTCATTCGGTCGTCCAGTATGGCGGAAGCGACACCAGACAGTAGCAGTCTCATACGCGAATTGCAAACTACAACTCCACCGCCCGAATCGAAACAGGCTCAGTTGGCAGATCTTATTGAGCGGGCTTCTGCCAAAGATGCCATTAAAGACTATGACGCTGCTGCAGAGCTATATTCCCGGGCGACAGAGCTCCAAGCGGAGCTGAATGGCGAAATGTCGGTTGAGAACGCCGACCTGCTATACTCTTACGGGAAATCGCTGTACAATCTTGCCGTGAGGAAAAGCGATGTCCTCGGTTCAAAAGTCTCCGGTCAAGCATCCAACCCACCTAGGAGCATGACGGGAGATCCTGCACGGAGATCTGAGATTGGACAACCAAAAGAGTCAATCATCGCCCGTGCGATTGCAGAGGGTTCTACAGTCGATGAGAAAGCTACGAGAAGCATAGCTGACAGTGCAAAACCACAATCATCATCACTTTTCCAGTTTACAGGGGACGAGGACTTTGATTCGGGTTCTGATGAGGAGAATGACGGTGATGCTGGCGATGGAGCTCAGGAAGAGGAACAGGAGGATGAATTTGCGAACGCGTTTGAAATGTTAGACTTGTCACGCATACTCTTACTCCGGAAACTGGAAAATCTGGAGTCGGAGAAGCAGGACGAGGAGCGCAGTGTGAAAGAACGACTTGCAGATATATACGATTTACAAGCAGAAATTTGTTTGGAGGCTGAGAGGTTTGAGGATGCTGTTACCGATTTAAGGGCCTCTTTGGAGTTGAAAACGGAGCTGTTTCCATTAGAAGACGCTAGCGTTGCGGAGTGTCATTACAAGCTCTCCCTGGCTTTAGAGTTCTCATCCATAACTCCTGAAAAGGAGGAGAATGGTCAAGGTACTACCGGCGAGCAGGTCACAAAAGTTGACAAGGAAAAGAGAAACGAGGCAGCAAACCACATGGAGACCGCGATTCGGAGTTGCAAATTAAGGATATCAAAAGAACTACAGAAACTTGATAACATGGAGGAAGATACCGTCAACAAAATCAAATCGAATATTGAAGATGTTAAGGAAATTGTTTCTGATATGGAGCAACGAGTGAGTTACATATATTGCATCTTTGCCGCATCTTATTGCATCAAAACGCATACTAACACGATTATCCTCTGTACAGCTTATTGAGCTTCGTCGACCTCCAGTGTCTATAAATGATCGCAAAAACGGTTTCTCAGATTCTAATGCTCTCAACGGAATCCTGAGTCAAGTCCTAAGCCAATCTTCAGATACTGATAAAGCCACTATGCTACAGGAGGCCATGAAAGGCGCAAACGACCTTTCGTTGTTAGTCAGGAAGAAGAAACGGACTCCGACAACGGCGGAAACTTCAGATGAAGTAGAGCCCTCCGGAAAGCGTCAATTAGAGCCAGAGGCCGGGACCGCAGACGAGCCGAGCCCAGGCAAAAGAGTTAGACTGGATCATGGAAGTTCAGACGAGTAATAAGTTTTGTGTGTTCTCTTTTCACGACGCCGGAGGGTCCCTTGTACTTGTACAATCAAATTCCGATACGCATCTCTGCATGTCATCCACCTTGGCTTTGAAAACTCGAAATAAGTGGTTATAACGATACCCGAAAATTTTTGCTGGCGACAATTTTTTGTGGGTGATGGATATTATCAATTTTTGCGGAGTCAAAGGTGTATTATTTAGTTTTTTTTTTTCTTTTTCTGTTAACATCGGGGGAAATATGGATGGGATAGGTAAATTTTCCCATGCAAAATGGGAATGAGCAACAATTTCGAAGAATTGAACAAACTAGGACTTCGCTTAATTATATTAATTTTGACATCAAGATTATGGGTATCGTTCCGTTAACTCCGGAATTTGACAAAAACGGACAAAGCTTCGACTGGCTTGGGGACTCCAACGGAATCAAATGCAAAACACGCTCGAAGGTAGACAAGTAAAGTTCCAGCAAACCCGAAATGCCACATGCAAACCATGAATCCCCCCTCCTTCACCATTTCCCTCCCATACTAACCAAACGAGTGCCGTTCAACCGCCCGATTCCTCTTCCTCCGCGCCGCCAACCAGGGGCTCCACATTCCTGAAAACAAATCCTCACATTCCTCCTCATCCTGGCTATCGAACTCCACATCATTGTCATTGTCATCCTCCGACTGCTTTTGTGAGCAGGAATAAGCATAATTATTCCCTCGACCATCCTCATCACAATTCTCCCATGAAGAGAATACAGTAATCCTCTTCGTCTCCAAAATGAATTTCCCAACTTTATATTTCTGCAACTCCTCCTCCGCAGCCACATACTTCCAGCCCAGCAGACTTCCGCAGAAACGACAGGTGATGTCGCTAACCGTATGGGTGCCTGTGACGAGCTGTCTTGTTATTGGTTGCTGCGTAACCGTATTGGGGAGTGAGGAGCGCTGCATCAATGGTGTCGGGGCTATGGAGGTACCATCTGTAGATGGGTTCGCAGCTACGAGATAGGCACGTCCGTGCCGGCCCGTAAAGCCCTTGCTGATGATCTGGGAAGTTAGGCATAGATCTGCTGAGCAGCGAGCGCAGCGGAGGTAGGATTTATGACCCTGCAGGAAGCCAGGGGTCTTAATAACTGCAGCATTATCACCATCGTTCTCATTCCCATGATAGCTGCTTTGAGAAGGAGGATTTGCTGTGTCTTTTGGTGTTGTTTGATTTGTCTTCCAGAGGAGCCTGCGGAATGGGATGGAGGGGAGGAGATATGTTGGGAAGATCGATGATGACATCATGTGAATGAGAATGTATTCTCGTGATCTTAGAACCTTGCAGATCCGAATTGTCGCCTGACCGTGGGCATGCCACATGCGAGAAGGATTGCCCTTGGTCATCTAGGAGTCAAGGAAACCTTTAGTCGGTCCTAGCATCGAGCAGAGCTGATTCCATACTCGGTCCCAAGCTCCAAGATTTGGGTTTCCAAGGTAGCAATCGCGGGGTGAGTAAGCAACTAAACAAGTCACGTGCTATACACGACCCCAGGCCAGCAAGAAGCAACAAGATCAAAAAACTGTTGGACGTCTGAGTTGTATTAGCATGCACCTGAGGCATGTGCGGAGCACTAGTCCACAATAGGGATGACAACAAAAAACATGCTTGTTCGATTTAACCCATAGTGTAGCTAACTGAAACTTCGTATCTGACATGAAATTTAGTAGAGACAACCAGACAGCAAGAACAGGTGCAGTCCAGGACGATATAACATCAGATTTCAACTGTCATAAACAGCCATTTGTTACTGATAAATTGGCCCTTCGCAGGAGGCACCACCCAATCACGTAAAGTACTCAATTCAAACCCAACCCAGCCCAGATTTCGCATTACAGCATCGAGCTCCACCGCGTCCATCGATCGATCAACGCAAGCAACCATTTCTGAGCAGCCGAGATCCGTCATACTGCCAATTTCAAACAATGCCATCAATCTACCATGAAATTCTGGTTAGTCACTGGTACCAGCACGAGGTATAGAAGCAACAGGAGGAAAAAGGAGTCATGGACGAACCCAGATTTCAACCCTTGCCCAGCACAGATATGGTTGTCAAAGAACACAACAGCGTTCTTCGGTTGCCATCAGCAGCAACAAAACCCCTGTATATCGTGTGCCGTAAACAGTCAGTGGCTCTTCTACACTACTTCAATAAAGTTCTGAATTCGCCCAACCGCCCTTTTCCTCAATATTTCGGATACGTTTACCCCTTTGTTATTGTTGTTATTGTCATTGTGAGTCGCACCTATCACCAGCGACTGTTGTGGAGCAAGTTGCCTCTCACCAAGGAACATTGACCACAATGTGTCGCAGAAGAGCCTCTCACACTCTTCCGTGATAGTTTGCACTGCCTCCCCATCACATCCCGGTGCTTTTGGTGACGGCCGGAATTGGTCGGCCACCACTGCTGATGCTGCCGCAGTGGCCGACACATTTGTGGGAGGACTTATCGGGGGGAATTTATGCCCAGTGGGGACCTCAGGGATACCACTGGGCTCCTAGAGTGTTGAATAAAATTTTGTCAGCCAGAAATTGCCCATTATTGCAATTCACGGCTATGGAAGGGGATGAGGAAGGTGAACTTAAGATATGGAACTCACCGGTGCCAACTGTAGTGCAATAATGGAAACTGTTGAGGGTCGCGCTTCGAGTGTTGACGGAGTAACAGCTGGCGAGGACCTTGGTTTCCGGGCTCCATTCGAACATCTGCTGACGACTTGGATTGTTATTTTGATTACTACTTGAGATTCCCGCCATAATTACTTGCGTAGCTTCTCTTTCCTCGGGGAGAAATGAAGGGTAAAGGAGTGGAGAAAGGAGTTTAAGTGTGGTAGTAGAAGTCCGGGGCGCCCGGTATAGCGTGAAATGCTGGCTGTGATAGCTAGACCGCTGATTGAAAGATAATGATTTCTCGATAGCGGGATAGATACCTGGGTGGCTGTGATGTGATGTTGGGATGTAAAGATTCGCCCGGAAGCCGTGAGACAAATTGAACCCTGGAAGGCAGGGGCGCTAACTAATTTTGGTATTTCCACGTGACTCAGATTATGTGGTTTGACATCAACTATCAAATATACTCATTAATTCTGAGAAGTAGATAATTATATTATATATTCTCAAGGTACTCTGGTTAAGTTAAGTAGCGTTATTATATAGCACTTAGACCTGTGGGCGTAGCGGTTTGGCCCGGCCAACAGCGGCCGTGGCTCACCCATCCCACCTCCTCTACACTGCGGCTGTAGTGTAGTGTGAAAACAACATACACAAGCTAGCATGAAGAGCGGGGTTTACGGCGTGTGCTGTCAAATTCTAGATTGTGGGCTTCATTACTACATCATACTAAAAGAGGGACTCATTTCATATAAGGAATATTACAAAATCCACCCCGCAATCCCTTCTTGGAACGGGCATCAAATCACGAATGGACGATTTTTACGCGGGCATCAACCCCATCTTCTTAACAAGCCTCTCCTCAGCGATTTCCCTTAGCCTTGACATTCGAAGACTCAGCACAGTACCCGCATCAGGATGCCCTATTGCTGCTGCTCCGAAGAGCTGACCCTTGGTAAATTCGATGTGCTCATTGAGAACAGGGGTACTTGGTACAGGGAAAATTGTCTAAGCTTTCATTAGCTTCGGATCATGGACTCTCCCAATAGAGGAATACAGACCATTTCTGTGGCGACAAGGTTTCCAGCCCCATTACGTCTCCAAATTTCCGCACTCCCCTTTACTCGTCCTCCGGGGACCTTATGCCAATTTAGCAAGATGACAAGCTGCACGAAATTGTTTCCCTTCATCCAAAGATCCTTATCTGCCCGCAGATAAGGCAATGACTCAGACCAACCGGATTCTATAACAATGGAAGGAAAATCGTCGGTATCAGCTCTAAAGGAAAAATCTGGTTCTTTGTGAGAGCCTTGATAAACACCGGTAAATCCATCAAAGGCTGGAATCTATTGTTAGCATATCAAATTCACCAGAAAGTGGAAAGAACTTACTCATTCCAACACCAGCGTCCAGGCCCCTCTGCTCCTCACGACTCACTAGACCATCCTGAGTCCATTCTACTAACGCGCCAATAGCCCACCGTTGATAGGCATCGTGTAATTCTGTCGGCATTATCCTGATTCGAAGTATTCTTGTAAAAGCGTTAAAGTTGACTCTGAATTATCAGCTCATATCAGATGTCAGCAGGAATATCTGATGTTTAACTATTCATTCAAAGGGTGGCTGCCAGACCTGATATTTCGCCTTTCGACGTGTTCTGAAGCTTCCAGTGACCGACAAATCAAAGCACCATCACTGGGGCTAATGTTCTCATATATGATTTCAGTGAATTTCTGGATTGTGGGTATTTTATGAATGATTTCATTAAATATCTTCTGGGGACTAGGCTGTGAGGGGTCACTACCAACACCAAGGCTTCGCGGGTGGTGTGGGATTGCGGGAGATTGGGGAGCGCCTGCCGACGAGGCCATCATGGAGGCAGAAGCGATTCTACTGTGAAGAGGTATAGTTTTCAATATATCATAGCAGATGAAGAAGCAGCAAGTTGTGGTGGATTGTGCTATGCATTTGAAGAATTTGCTACACCATCCACATAGTTAACCAAAGGCTAGTTAGCAGAAAACACCACCAACAAATTGTGGCCTTTGCAGCCAACCCTAATCAGACTCCCCCTTCAATACTAGTTACTGATATCATCATTGATATTATTCTCTGAATTCAATCCAATGAGTCTGCTTATCTCTATTATAAGTAAAACATTGATAAAATGAAAGAAAAAGGTTAAAAATTCAACCATTTTTGGTGAAAAACTAATCAAATTATACTAGTATTTATGTTGATGATTCTATGAACAACCAGGCCTATTTGATCACTATTATAGAAGATAAACTCATCCTCTCAGACTACAAAAAGAATCAAAGTATCGTGCCGGTTAGTAGAGTGCGAAGTTCACTACACCATATGCTATTATTAATTATCAGAGATGTGTGCCAGATCTGTTCTGGCAAGAGCATTGCCACTTTGAACATCACGTCTCCTTGCTTTCTCATTCTTTTTTCTTTGATTCTATCTTCGGCACTGGAGAGTGCGCAGCCCTCTCTCTCTCTGTGCAGAAGTGAGATCACGTTATACAGAATTTCGTCTCTTTTCACACTGTGCCGGTAGACTAATACCTCAGTATACGTTGAAGTTAATGGTAGGGAGTAAAACAGCTAACCGCCCCCATTCGGTTTTTAGCGCTGGTGTTGCATTACAACCTCTGCCTTGCGCGCTCAGTCCCCCGCTACTGGACGTATGAAGCCCCGCTAGAGGGATGATTGGATGTATCCCTCCCAGAACGTACTTCAACCCTGGACGTTGGTTTCTCATATGCATAAACCCATGCTTGGGCGTGGTCTCCGAGAGTGTGCTGTTCTATTCTTGTACGACGACAGCTTCCCTCGCATCCTGCTTTTACCGCCTTGCTGATGATCTTTTATTGTTCCTGAGCGTCCACTCTGCCCTTCCAATTGAACAGGACAAAAGACAAGGAGCTCACTTTCAATCAAACGTTTTTACTATCAATGTCTATGGTTCCCTGCTAACATGGAGTTCCCCGTTCGTACATTCAAGGTGGTAGTGGTTGGAGATGGAGGTGTAGGGAAAGTAAGGCACATCATCTATCAGATCCACTGTTTGATTCCACTCTACTAAGCATGCAAATACAGACAACTTTCGTGAAGAGGCATCTTTGTGGCGAGTTTGACGAGAAAAGCATTCCAACTCTTGGAGTAGAGGTCCATCCACTACGTCTTATGACAGTCAGTGAATTCTCCAACCCTGAAAGAAAGCAAATGCTAAAATATTTCAGAGACCTGGTCCCATTGTGTTTGATGTATGGGATTGTGGTGGGAAACAATAATACAGAGGCCTTTCTGATGGATATTATATGAACAGCGATGCAGGCATCATTATGTTTGATGTTACAAGTCGAACTACATATAAAAGTGTTCTTACCTGGTATGGTATGTGTTAGCATTCTCCTTTCTTGCCCTTCCTGCTTTATCTCGTCAGAGTTTAACCCCTGACCTGTCCTTGAGCGACCTTGAACTCATGCTAGACTAGGAGAGTTGAGGAAAGCGGCTGGCGATGAGATCCCGATTGTATTGTGTAGTAACAAAGTTGACGTGAAAGGGGCGTAAGGTGCGATACAGCGACATCACCTCGGGTCTCGAGGCGGGCCTTCAGTATTACGATATATCTGTAAAGCGTGATTTCAACATTAAGGAACCCTTCCTCTGGCTAGCTCGCAAGCTAGTCGAAAACGCAGGCTTGGTAAGGCAACCCATGCCTCCCTCGTCAACGCCTCCGAATACTGCCGAGAAGTCATGTGGCCAAGAAATGGGCCCAAACGAAGATGATGATCTAGACAGAGAATCTGAGAACGGCCATCAAGAGGACCTAACCGAGAACCTAGGTTAGTACTTCTGTTGTCGGATGGTGCATCATGTCTCAGGATATTGACCATTACCCATCTAGACGAGCCCAACGTGACCGACGTGGATGCTGATACTGCCACGGGCATATGCTGCACGAGGATGATATTAATTCGGTCAAACTTGAATTCTATTATTGCGAAACTGAGCCCATCATCGACTGCAAAGTTTTCACTGGTTGTAACGTCATGTCGGCATTGTCTGAAATCGCTGGCCTGGTCTAAGACCAGCGAGCTGTCGCGAAGCATGCTTGAGAAGTCTCGAATATATGAGTGTGCGCGCAAGGTAGCCGGGGAAGAAACGGTTGTAACCCTGGGAAAAACTCTGGGAAATAGCACAGTATCGTATGTCCCAGCTCAGACTTTTAAGCATACTAAGTCCTCGAATGCCGTGTCTGCGGAATCCAGACGAGTGGCACAGTGCTGCAGAGATTAGGCGAGGTAGACGGCGAGAGTTTGATTTTGCCCCATTTGCCTGGAGCTTTTTTTTAATGAATTTTGGGGCTTGATAGTAAGCCGGCATTGGAATTAAGCGAAAACGAATATAACATCCAGAACTCCAGAGAGGTGGCATGATTGGGAGAGCTCAGGGGCAGGTGGCGATGAAGAGAGGGTTGGGAGCAAGTACTTGTATTCAGAGCTGTTCTCCCGAACGGAGTTTGTCCGCACCACTGCGAAGGTGGCCTTGTGACAAAGTATACAAGCCCCATATCCGTTTAGGAGAGCTGGTGAGATATGATGCCCGCGATAAGAAGATATACGCGATAGATCAGATTGATTGGATTGTTAGTCGGGTATAAGCTCCGTTCCAGTGTTTTTTTTTTCCCTTTGTTTTATATTGATATATAGTTATATATATTGAAAGCTGAAGACGAAGTCGCCGTTGGCTCTGAGTACTAACCCTGGGCTCAACATTCCTTTTTGACTTTAGGGAGACCCAACTCCACCAAGAGGTATATCAAAGCAATTTCGCAAAAAGATCGATCCAGAAAGAATACATGAACCATAGCAAGTTGAAATAGTCATGTCGGCACTGGCCCCCGAACTATTTCCCCAGAGCATGGCTCACGAGGGGGCTGAGCGATTATGGAAAATAATCATATACACAGAAGGTGTGTGAAAGAAAAGGAAAAATCACCGCTGGTACCACTTTTGACCTTCTTTCTACATAGTCAAGCTGGAGATCAGAGCGGTCATCTCTAGTTTCAACTCTGGGATGCGAACGGGTGCAGGATACGGACAAGTGGACACGATCCAAATTGCCGTGAAAAGGGAGCCTGTCAAAGTTGATGCGGATGGTGAAAATAGTCAAAATGGCCACATAATTAATAACAATTGCTCCCCGTTAGAACTTGAACATCTGGAAAAAGAGAGTGCGGCGGTGGCTTCAAGTTTTACCCCATCACGTGTGACTGCTCACATTCCATTCTCAGAAATGAAGCGGTTGTTTCATTCAAACAATTTGAGCATAAGGTAGCTAAATCTTCTGAACAGGGCGTGCATGGCATGGCATTGGCTTATGAAATAGTGACAAGATTACTTCTATCCACGAGCAGGAGCGCCCAAGAATACAAGATTTTGGACGCGGATCCAGAATTTTGCTGCCGACATGGAATAATGTCAGAAGGATAATGGAACAAGAATAACAATCGAGTAAAGCCTCTGGAGATAAATTTAGGTCACCTCTTCGACCTGCAAGCGCCATCCAGGGATCAAGGCTATTCCTCGCATTGACGCATCAATAGCGGGATGGATAATGCATATCCTTCTAGTTAGTTATCTAGTTATGTATATTATAAAATAGAACATTATGGGGAGGAGTTATATATCCGGTTCCCAACCTAGCTTCTTCACAGTGAGTGGATCTAAATCCATGCCACGTTCAGCGCCAAAATCCAAAAATATCGTGTGGCGGCTGCGCAGGGGAGGTTGAGGATCGGGCGCTTGCGCTGGAAAACGGGGCGTAGTGCCGATTATGAAAAGCCACGCGCCTCTAGTTTGATGTAATTCTGGGATAGTCCTTATTGTCCCTGTTAGACCTGGTCCATGGTATTGGTTTTGCGATGTTAGTTTGTTTGTGTTGCCATATTCAATATCAAGCACAGGAGCCAAAGAGCCAAAGGCGTTGAAGTATTTTTGTCTGGTTTTGTTGGTTTTCAGCAGCTCATAATGGAAACTCTTCGATTTTACAGAGGCGTCATTGGGCATTGCGGATTGTTTTGGAAGCTTTGACAATCATGCCTCACTCTCTGGACGAGAAAGCTGAAATGACAAGGTTCATTTCAGGCCACGACAGGGCTGAATCCGGCGAGTGCGTGCCTGACTCCGAAATACGCTCCTTACCAATGCGCGACTTACACCGTGTAATCCTTGGATGTCGGCATCTTGTTGTAGGGCGGCGGCGGCGTTGGAGCTGTAATATCCAATCAAAGAAACTTCGCCAATGATAGGTGAGGCATCAGAAAGAAATCAAAACAACACAGAAGTTCGAAACAATGGAGAGGGGAGCCGCAAGATTCCGATGGCAGGCGCGAAAATTTCAATAATCATCGTAATCACAACTCGCTGCCTCGAATGCCAACTCACTCTTCTGGTTCGAGGTTGTTGACTGGCTAGCAAGATCCACAATATAATCATGCAAATTAAAGAATCATTTATTGAGCAGGGAGTCGAGTCAATAGGGGCTGGCGACTACTCGCGGAGTTGCATGCCTAAAATTAACCCATGCAAGTCTTCAGCGAGCCACCAATGCCCAAAACAGATGATGAGTCTGTTTTGAATTCGCAGACGCACCCAAAGGAGGACAAACAACGCATCAATTGAGGCACTCTTGCTGCATGTGGCAGATGGAGCGGATGCATAGACGTAGTACGGTGGAAATTCGCGAAACAAATCCATAGTTTGCGGATGTACTCCGTACGTACAGACATGAAGACAGATATATATTGTTCTTTTGCAGAGAGTCGTCTGGTGGTCAATTAGGGTTTATCGCCTATTCTGGCAAGCTAGCCCTAGTTGGGTCCCGTGCAACAACAAGCTTACGATGTCGAGAAGCCGATGTTCAATGTGAATTGTATCCGCAACAAATCTGAGAAAGTTCTCGAGATAACGGGCGCGGGTTATAATAAATCGTTGGGCCAGTGATACGAGGTTAATTAGTAGCGTTCAATCCTGCCAATCACTGGCGCTGGGCGCGACGAGACAAGACAGCGGTTTGTTACATGATCCTGAATCTTTTCGAGAACACACTCGGTCATTGGCTCTAACAGTTATACCATGGCCACAAGAAATCCTCTGGAAGCGGCGTCCCGGCTGGAATCGCCCAGGTTTCGGTAGCAAGGGTTCGGCAGTCAGAGCCAGCACCAGCGCTCCAAGCTTCAAGCGTGATCTTCAGAGGTCCCAGCGTTCCCCAGGCCCGAGTCCAGCGCTAAACTCGAGACAAAACGGGGCATGCCTGAAACTGGTTCGGCCTCCTGCCAAACCTTACAGCGAATAGGACGTCAGGTTTTGCCCCTCTCTTACCAAGATTCCCGTCATGCTGTCTGGGTGCATAGAAGCTTGACTCGCTCACCAGACTCGCGGTTCTGACCTTCAAACACGTCTAACTTTTCCCCCCGTGGATACTGTTGCATCCAAGGATTCTGCTGCTTCCTGCGTTGGTCATGTCCTTGCTAAGCTCGAACGCTGTCTGTCGTCTCCGCTTCATGCCCAACATTGGCTCAAACGCCAACTCTCCTGTGTTCGGTCAACCTGACCCTATGGACCATTCGACCCTCACCAGCCGCCCGCCCCCGAAACGCATGTACCATGTTAGGGTTTGCTAAATCTGGACGTCTCCGTTATTTCCCTCGCATCCCTGCGGATCGAGCCGACACGCCCGTGTATATATTCGAATGATGTCGTCCAGTTCCGTCCGATCCTTTCACAAGACTTAGCCACATGTTCACGGCCTTTTCCCGTTCCATTTGATTCCTCTGTTGGCCGTTTTTTTCTTTTTTTTATCTTTTCCGCTTTAATTATAATTAGAGGCTATTATCCTTCATCATTCTTGATTTATTAGATTTCCGTTTTTGTTTTCTACTCGTCTATAAAAAGCTGTGACGAAAAAAAAACTTGGCCTTCTGGGGAGACACGATCCGCATGCTCCCTGCTGTGTCTTGTCGTTTTGTCAATAGTAGCTTCACCCAACTTTAGCTTGGTTCTTCTTGTGCACAAGCAAGGAATTGTTGGAAAATCCTTGTTAGTACACCAGCTCTGCGTGAGCCTCCTGTTTGAACCTGGGTAGAGCCCCGATAGTTGAGTTTGTGGCTGACATTTCCATGTACCTAGGTCTACCATTGTTCTCCATCTTCCACAAACAGCTGCAGCTCCCAGGCAGGTCCAGAAGACGACAACGGTATCAACTGAGGGTGCCAGAAAACTCCTTTTCCGATCGAAATCCTCTGCCGGACAGGGATTTGAAGATACTGTCTACTTCGCAATTAATTCACTCCCTTGCTTTTACACATCTAACCAGGCTCTACCCAGTTATTGCACAATAACATTTTAATATTTGTTTAAATAATTTCTGCTTTCTTATGAGAGTTTCCGGAAAAGGAGCCCTATTTATTTGCGCAATCACTCCGTTATAGACATTTCGTTCGACGCTTTTACCACGCTGGTGTATACTTGACTCAAACCACATTCTCAGGACATACGATCTAGTCCTTCACCGTACAGAACAGAAATGGCGCGACCAGCAACCTATTACAACAAAGCCGCTCTGAATGAGTTTGTGACGCTTCCAGTCTCCCGTGAGATGATTCTATACCTTGCCCAGCAAGCTGCACTGGTCATCCGATGCGAGGAACATGTTACCCCGATGAGCTTGTCACAACCTAAACCTCTAACACCTCCGACAACCCCCCCTCTCGATGCCTCGGAGAAGTCGGTGCCTCAGTCATCACCTCTCCCATCGCTGGCTGAGTTTATCTGCTCGATTGTGAACCGATCCCACGTCGAAGTTCCGACCTTGATGTCTTCCCTGGTATATCTAGGCCGTCTACGCGCTAAGCTTCCTCCCATGTCCAAGGGAATGCGCTGTACAGCCCACCGCATCTTCCTGGCGTCCCTAATCCTTGCGGCTAAAAATCTGAACGATTCAAGCCCGAAGAATAAACACTGGGCTCGCTATTCGGTTGTGAAGGACTTCAATGACTTCGGATTCTCTCTGCCCGAGGTCAACTTAATGGAGCGCCAGATGCTCTATTTGTTGAATTGGGAAACTCGTGTCACCGAACAGGATCTCTTGGAATACCTCGAGCCGTTCCTCGCGCCGATCCGCGCGCGTCTTCAGCTCGAAGGTGAAAAGGAAATGCTTCAACTTAATGAATTCGATATGGATGAACAAAGCGACGACTTCTCAACCGACCCTAGCGAAGACTTGATGACTCGGCTTAACACGTCCATGCTCGAGGGCCATCGCACTGGCCAAAAGAGAAACCCTTCACCTTACCGATCAGGCCGATCAATCTCACCTCCATCAATCAAAGATCTGCCTCCACTGTCCCGTGGCGAATCCAGGGCGCCCAGTTCATCGTCTCGCTCGTCTAGCTTGGCTCCAAGCTCTCGGGGCACACCTGCCAGCATCGGCCAACTCGCTTACGCCAGTGACGATGTTCTAGTAGCAGAAGCTCATGCCAGTCCGGCCTCAATGGCCTACAGCTACGTTAACATAAATGCAGTTCACCCGAAGCCCAAACCACAACAGCGACATCCCCTCAGCTCGATGTCCGGCTACCAACAGCCTGCCAAAAAGATGAAAACGGCTAGCGGATCCAGTAGCGGCGGCGGCGGCTTCATATCGAGATTTTTCAACTCCGCTGCGAGCAATTACAAGGGCGGACGGATGTCGCGACCCCCCGGACGGATTTAAACTTTATAGAAAGTCACTGAGGAGTGAACAAAACTCAGTTCGAGCCGCGTGCCTCGCATTCATGGCGATTTCCCTTCTTCTTTCATTCCCACTCTCTTCTTTCCTTTCCATGATCAAGAACAAACGAATTGCCATGACGATTGCCATAACGATTTTCATACTTCTTTCCTTGGACCTTTTGTTAGGCGAATGGCGCTGCGAAAAATGAGCAGGTCTCCAATACTTGGTTTCTCGTTACGCTTTACTGCCGCTCTCTCTGATTTCCCCGCACTCTCCCTGTTTAATCTCTTGAAACAAAAACTTTACACTCATTGAACATTATTACCTGATGATATTTTGGATATGCCCATGTTGTGGCAGTACGCCCAGTCGTATCCACATTTGCCCCTTTCAAAAGGTCAACCCTGTATCACTTCATTGTTTACTTTGTTATTTGTCCTTGCTGGACGGTTTCGTTTGATTTCCTTGTACTACTCTCCATATTGTATGTTATCCTAGAGCATAGCATTGTCAAGGGCGTTCTGTGGGATACAATAAATTTCAAGCAATCGGCACTTTGTATTCAAATATTGAAACTGTATAGGATGACTTGTGACTTCGTTCATTGTCTGTGTATTTCTTTATTTTTTATTCCTTGATTATTGTTTGTTTCTTCATTGGTGATAAATACCGAAAGGGGAGCTCAAGTATTCAAGTGTCTGAATTTATAATTCTTTGCGAAGCGCTTTGTTTACAGCTCTGTTTCTATTTTTCTTTGGAAAGTAGAAATCTATATTTATATACACATACTCATTATCCGTTTGCGCCTTGCAGTCAGTGGCATTCTATTCAATATTGGATATATAGTCTAGTAGTATACAGGCATTCCTCCGTGTAAAAATACAATAGTCCACCAACCAAAGAAAAGTTCCCATCACTCCCAAGCTTGGAAAAGATGATCATACTAACCCTCGTCATAAATGAGCAACTATATAACCAAACCAAAAAAAAAAAAAAAAAAAAGGTCGCCAATCCATCCTCTTCCAAATCCGGCGCAGTGAGGTAAAAGACCCATCCCGTCTCTGACCGGAAAGAGCTTCCGCACATAAGACTTTAGCCTTTGCTTTTTCCAAACAAAAGAAAGAATGCTGTCCAGGTTTGACATCACATTAATTTATATAACGAGCATTGGATATACTGTGGAACATTGTCGTTCCTGAGGGATGTGGGAGGTTTTCGGGATACATTATGAAGAGAAAGGCCCGTTTGGCAACCTGTATCTGACAATCGGGGCAAAAAAAAAAAAAAAAAAAAACGATTATTAGATGGTTGTGTAATTCGCAAAGTGTTCGCGGAAGGTAGATATCGCACTGCTCGTCGCGGAGCAGAATCAGGATAGCGATCGTCGAGATCACGTTTGCTGTATCTCAGTAGGATCGCCGAGACCAGAATCTCTCTATTCCCCCCTTGGAAACAAAAGGTATCCATGAGAATCGGCAGGAGAGCAAATTCATTTCACAGACTAAACGAATCCTCAATGCTCATAGCCATCCTCATAGCTTCTCTTCCACCCTCTATCAGTTCCATTTCCGTCCACTCCTATTCGCTCTTCTCAATACTCTCCGCCTCAATGGGTAATTCCATCCCCACCCTTCTCGCGGTCAACCTCACCCGCTCCTCCTCATCCATATTGGCGCCTGGGTTATAACGCTCCAGCAACGTGACGTATTGTCTTTGAGCCCTCAAATACTGCATAATTTGCTCCGCTTCGTCCATCTGTGCCTGTGCCATCTGCCTTCGCCTGGTGTTGTTGTTTTCTGGCGACGGCTGCGAGGCGAGGTGAATGCGGATTCGGGCTGCGAGGGGTGATGGTGATGAGAGCGGGCGCTGGGGTAGTTCCCGTAGGATAGATCGGTAAAGAGAACGGGCTTGAGAGGGAAATTGGGATGCCATGTTGGAGCTTTGAGTGGTAAATTTTATGTGGCTTGTGGGATGGTGGTTGAAGATGCGGAGGAAGGTTTGAAGCTCAGGAAATTGGTGATTATATAATCACCATTTTACTCCATCGTTGAACTAGTATCGCAACATACAAAGAATGAAGCCTGGGACTTGAAGCTGTCGGAAGAAGTAGCGGGCTAACTTGGGAGAGGGATCATCTAATCCATTTACATTATCTCGCTCCTATTCTAAATGCGTTGAAATTTAATTTTATTCAAGAAGCTTCTCATGGCGCTCTGCGCTGTTTGCTCAACCGAGCCGTCCAAGTATCGTTGTCCCACATGTAATGTGCAGAGGTAAGAGGACTTATGGTTTCCTCATCCCTGACATATGTGGATTTGTTTCAGCTTCAGGAATACTGACAAGACCGAACCACATGCGCAGCTGCTCTCTCGCTTGCACCCAATCCCACAAGTCATACTGTTCCCCTAGCGCTCCTGAACAGGACCACGAGTCAGAGAAGTCGGGGCTACTTGAGAACGCTCAAAAAATCGGTACATATGAAACTGCGCCTGCCGACGTTTGTGAAGGTACAATAAACCCCGTCCTGCAACCTCACGCCAACCCTGCGAACAACACACTCGTAACTTCCAACATCCCGAATGCAGCCCTTCACTTCCAAAACCTAGAATCGTCCCAGGCGCTGAAGGACTTGTTTACCAAATTCCCCGCTCTCCGATCTCAGCTACGAGAAATATACAAACTAACTCTCGAAGAAGAGTGGGTGGAGATGAAACATAGCAATTACGGGCGTGGCCGGGGACGTGGGCGGGGGGGATTCTCTGGGAGAGGCGGTAGGAGTAGAGGGCCCTGGAATGAGGAGAAAGGTTTCAACCGAGGGCTGGGAAAAGTTAGACGGTTGCGGGAGACCTTAGAGAGTAATAATGGACCTGCCAACGGTGCTGAGATTGAAGGGTTCAGGCAGTTTGCCGCCTTGGTTCTGGCCGGCAACAACACACCGAGGGATAGTATGCAGCCACAACCCGAAGGCTGAAGATCCTCATTATCACCACCATCGGCTCAAGGTACGGGAGGTACTTATTTCCGGGAAATGGTCACTCTTATTTGGGATTGGTGATGGGTGGTTGGTTATTGGAACCGGACTATAATGGGAACCATTTTCCCCTTGATGCGGAATGAATAATGGGATGATTTCATTCTGCTATCGCGTGCTGTTAAGATACATTTTGCGCACATAGGCTAGTCACCTTATCTTCCTTAACAAATCGACCGCGCGGAATCCGTATGCTGCACATTCGTAGACGCACGCATGCAGCGGCTTCGAGTTCAGGGTCGCGCATTTGATGATTTTTGGGGCATGTATGCCCTCCACAGTTTCGGGCTGGCGTGTGCATATGCAACGACAATTTCTGACTCATCTCCGGAGATTGTACGATGCTGCTAAACGTGCCTAGGCATCCCTATTATCTGCTGCTAAGCTGGTTTCACCTGGCTAGGTCAGAGAGTAGGTCAAACAGTCACAGCCTGGGAGGGAGGAGTCTTGGATATTTATTGCCTAGATACACAGTATATATACCACATTTACGAGATTGTTTTCTTCCACGTAATATGAGCATCTTCCCGGGAAAACCAACTCAGGAACAGATCTTGGGGAAACAATTCAGCTTCATCCAAAACCTAACCTCGGTTTACCATGTGGCCCACTTCCTGGTTGGATGTCAACCGACGTACTTCGTGAGACAACAGGCTGTAAACGTTGTGAAAACCGAACTGTTGCAGAATGCCGATCGATGTACTCCAGGGCTCCAAGCATGGAGCAAAACAGAGGAATGTAGATGTACCTAGGTACTGTCCCTTTGGCCACGATCGAATCGTCTCTGGATAAGAGGATCCAGTAAATGCTCACTCCAACCCCGGCTTACCATGAGTTCTTCCCCCCAATTTCCTGATCGCCCCCGCATCCAGACTAGGAAAATAAGAGCTGGGCTGGGTGGAAATAGGTCATGTATGATAGCAGTCATTCCGTCGAAAACGTCGCCCGCATGACACACGAAGGGAAGGGCAGCTCCATATCCAAGCCCCATGTCGACCCTTAGTTGATCGACCGGAGCTTTTTGTTTGGCGGCGATTGGATTGCCACTCAGCGCTGACACTGGCTCTAGATCTCAAAGACGGCCGAGCAGGTGAACACATCCAAGATTGCTTGAGACAAGGCAGATGGATCCTTGTCCGATCACCACATCCAGAGCCGTCAACCACAGCAGATCGGTGGGGAGCTGAATGGCCCCAGGCGCCTTCAGAATCGCCTCGAAATATATCCCTTGAACACCGTGAATATTTAATTAACGGTTGTGTTCATTATCACCGTCGTCGTCGTCATCGTCATCACCATCATCCCCTCATCGCGCTGGCCAAGGTAAAACTGTCTGTAATTTATGGTGCTGAGTTGGGCTGTATATACGTAGTATTTATATCGCTGAGTCGTTGGATATGGATTTACTATGGAAGTTAAAAGTTAGTTAGGGCATGTCGTTAAGATTCAACTGTAGGTTTACGCCTACGAAGACGCTATCGCCAGCCAACATGAAGCCCTTCGCCAAACATTAAACCGCTATCCTCGGAGCCCTGGTATGTGGGTGAGACACCTTGGTCTTTTCTACCTCGATTGCTCTTTTTTATGCCCTCTGCATAGGTCTCCGGGCTGGGCTGGCTGCACTCTGCCGACGTGCGCACTCTCCGCCCCACATATCTTATCGTCTATACCTTCAAGTTCGCCCATGCCCTGATATAGGACCACTCTTCTGCTTATCAGCCATGCTCTGAACCCGGTCCCTCCCTCACATATAGCAAAACAAAATAAATCAAAAAGCCTTCGCCATCCAGATATTCAACACCACTCGCGGTTTTCGCATAGCTGCTCCCCACACGTAACCTGCTCCGTTCCTTCAATTCCCTGATCGATATTATTCGAAGCTTTTTCTTCCTTGGAGTATAAGGCAATGGCACAGCCTTCCTGGCTGATGGTGTTATAGCTTCAGGATCTGGGATATGATCTGCCGTCTTGTTTTTCTCCTCCGGCTGTCTCCCGCACAATTCCCTTCCGTACCGTCTAGGTGTCTGAGCCCTTCCACGGGCTCCACTCCTGTATATAATGACCTCTCCACGCCCTCCGAGAACACGCTCAACAAGTGAGGTCTCCCCTCGGCTACCTGTCCCTCAGCAGCCTCGTCGCCCGCCTCTACAAAATCGCTCCTATTCCGCGCCGTCGTGGGACGCCTACCCCGGGAATCGCGCCAAGGGCCATGACCTAGAAGGACCCGTTATTGAAGAGAACGAGATGGCGCCAGCCAGTGTAGACAAAACAGATTATCATGGCTCATCGAATGGCTCGAGTGAGGTATGTACTATGTCAAGCAAAGGCACGGCATCATAACTTGATTTCGGTCCCCCTCCATCTCCCCCGCCCTGGCCCTCGGAAAAGAAGAATAAGGGAAAAGGGAAAAAAAAGGGGGAAAACAGGATCCTGGGAACAAGATTGCGATCAATGTCAATTCTAATATGTGCTGACGATTGTTATGGGATATTGACGATGAAACAAAGTCTGTTGCTACAGCTAAACCCCGTCTTCCCCAAGTCAATTTGGCCATTGTAGGTGCACAAGGCGTGGGAAAGTCCACGTTTGTGCAGCGGGCATTGGATCTTAAACAACCGCCCATATCACGCTCTTCGGTGAAGAAAATGTCACTAGATGGAACCATCTATCTCGTGCGACTGCTGGAAATCGCGAGCCACAAAATATCGTTTGACGAAACTGGTCGAATCGTATGGCCCAAATTCATCGGAGAACAGGAATTGCCCGTCATTGACGGTATTCTCGTCCTTTTTGATTCACACGATCCCAGGAGTGTGGCCCAGTTTCCTCGAATATTTAGTACGTGGACAATTTTTTTATCAAAAATCCCCGCCTGCAGTAGCTTTGTTACATCTTGGCTGTGGCCAACTGCCAGACGATACTCCGTATATCATGTTTCTTTAGTTATGACTTCAGCCCATTCAGCCCAGAAACAGCTTTCCTGGCCAGCCCCTCCCACCACCTCTTTCCCCAGCCAGGCAGCAGTGGACTCTTGCGGGCTGCGGGCAACTAATGATTGAACCCTTGATAGGTGCATTGCCCAAGGCCACAATACCATTTATTGTCGTGGCCTGTAGATGGGCCTGTAGATGCGAGGGACAAATCCCATCTTCCCGGATCGACTCAGCTACTTATGACCAAGCACGTCGAGTGCTCGGCGGCATCGAGGTTCATCACACATATCCAGACGCCCCAGACTCGCAAAAGAAATGCATTTCCAACATTCTCAGGGCTATCATAGCTCGAACGGCCGGTAAGGCTTTTCCTGGTGGCTCCATTCCCCACCTTGGCTTGCCGGAATCCACAATAGCAGGAATTCCTACCTGTCCAGGACACCCATGCCCACATTTTTTCTTTTCTTTTTTTCTCCCGACCGTTTTCGCCCGTGATAGCATGTTTTCTTTTTTATCGTTCCCTAGTTACTTTTGTCTTATTTTTATTTATATCATTTTAATTTTTGGCCCGTGAAATCCCCTCTCGGCATGATTCCTTTTTCCCCCTGTCAAGACCAGACACGTCACTGGTTGGCTGTTTGATTCGAAAAAGTTTCGCACCAAGACGATTTTCCCTCTGCTATGACGCTAGTGTCCTTCCCGTTTTCCCCACCGTCCTTTAGTCCTTAGTCCTCTCCTATTTTGCGGTCTGAGACTCGCGTTTCTGCTAGCCGGGACTCTCACAACGCACACTGCTCTGCCTATCACCACCACCGATGGGTTTGCCGTGCTCGTGATCTCGTTTTCAGTCTTATTTTGACGACTTCCCCTTCTTCCTTTGATTGTCAGACCACTCAGACCACTCAGACCACTCCATCGCACCAACCATACCGTTCTGATTGCGACTTCGAAACTCGCTCTCTCTGCTGGTGATGCTAACCTTCATTCTATAGATGTAGCTGCTTTACAACCTTCACCAATTCCGCTGTCACACCCCACCTCGTCAAGTCGAACTTCCTCCCGACGCCCCATTCCTCTGCAAACTCGCCAGCATATTCGTGCGAGTTCCGAAAACCCCAAATCCACGTTAGCCAGTCCACCCTCCGCTGATCCCAACAATTTTCGGACCCAGAACCGTACAACCGATTCAACCCTGGCGTCCAATGCACAAGGATCGAGAAATGTTCGAAGCAATTCGCAGCCCGTGCCTCCTAGAACTCCTCCTGGGAACCGGTTGAACCGAGGGGAAACTCTAGGCACAAGCACCGTCCCCGAGGAGATAACATCCCATAAGGGTCCGTATCAGCGATTGCAGAATTCCTGGAGACACAGTGGTGGTTCCGACGCTTTCAGCAGCTTCTTGGATATGGAGGATGACGGTGACGATCCAAAGGGCTCTGGTCCTCTTTCCAGCCCCGATATTGGCAAGGACAAACCGGCCGATCCAGGCATGACTTTCGATGAGCTGGTGGATCGCCTTTTAAGGCCTCCTATGTCAAAACAAGACGCCAAATTTGCCAGCATATTCCTATGTCTGTATCGAAAATTCGCCACTCCGACAAGGCTCCTTTCGGCCTTACTCTCACGCTTCGAAAATATTGGGTCAGCACCGTCCCCGTTGTTGATGCAGCATGCAGACCATCTACGAGTGCTGAATATCCTGTCACAATGGGTGTCGGAGTATCCCGGCGATTTCGCCGGCTCAAAAATCCGAAAGCGCTTGACGGATTTTATCGTCTCGCTAGAGAAGCACTTTGTTTTCGCCTTCGCGGCAAAGGAGATGAACTCTTTTCTCGAAAAATTCGTGGAGGATGATGATTTAGGGTGGGCCTATGATGATGATGACAATGGTTCTGAAAGTGTTGAAACGTTTCTAGACACGTCCGTCCAAAGTTCGCCAGCAACTTTTGTTGCGCGGTCCTCCGACGAGAACATACACAATATGAGCGCATTGGATCTAAGTGACGAAAATCAGGAACTCGGTTCGAATTTTTCCAATCTTTCAACTGCATCAAGCGTTTATAGATCGGGCAGCATATCAAGTCAATCGTTCTTAACCCTCTTAAGTGTTGAATCTGCCCAACAAGAAGCACAGCGGCTAGAGTTGACTCCGAAATATGTTCTCTCAAAGGATCAATGGAAAGCCTTCATGGATATATCTGAAGATGAATTTGCGCGCGAGATAACACGCATCGACTGGGTCATGTTTAGCTCATTTAGGCCGCGGGAACTCGTCCGGCACGTGAGTGTATCTGCAGACGACAGGGCTTCATCGAAAGGTTTGTGTAACGTCAACAGGATGATTGACCAGTTCAACCATCTAGCGTTGTTCGTCGCAAGCATGGTCTTGTTGCGAGACAAACCCAAACACCGGGCTGAGGCATTGGAAAAATTCATGAATATCGCGATGGTTAGTACTATGAGTATACCCTACAACTATTTTATATATATATACATTTTCACGTTAGCTGACATCCCCCCCTAATCGCTAAGAAATTACGCCAATTGAATAATTACAACTCTCTCGGGGCCGTTATTGCAGGGCTTAACGGGACGCCTGTCTTCCGACTTTCGCAAACTAGGGAGCTAGTGTCGCCAATGGTTCAGAAACAGTTCATGAGCCTAGTGATCCTGATGGGCACACAAAAGAGCCATTTCGCCTACCGCTTAGCTTGGGATAACTCGTTTGCGGAAAAAATCCCATTCCTGCCTCTTCATCGACGTGACCTTGTATCAGCTGAAGAAGGCAACAAGACATTTATAGGCCCCAATAATGATCGTATAAACTGGCGCAAATTTGAGATCATGGGCGAGGTTGTTTTGGGAATTCACAATAGCCAAAGGACCCCTTTTCCATGTTACCCGAAAAATGAAGACGTGCAACGCCTTATTCTCGATACCAAATTTCCGGGAGATCAGGATGTAAGGCTTACTCTCCACTTTTAATCCAGAATAGATATAATCGCCCCCCGTTTTCCGTCCACAGTCTACATCTGAAGCTAACTTGACCATCTTATAGGAACTTTATAACCGGAGTATGCAAGTTGAGCCATCCTCAGGAGCTGAACCACCTCGCAAACGATTCGGGTGGCGTCGAGCTTGAATATCCAGCAGCCTGGAATCCTTCGTTCGTGAACATTTACGATCCGTCATTTCGATAATGCCTCTCCCCGAAAAACAGATACAGATGCTAAACAGAGCATTAAACGCACGAAAAAGGAAGAACGGAAACGAAGAATGGAGGCGGATGCCACTCTGGACCTCAATTCTCCAGTTTTTTCCTTTCCTCTTCCACACTACGTACGAGCCATGACCCCCTGTGGCAATTTTTGTCAGAGGCTGGGGCGAATACACAAACCTATATCATTTGATATTTCGCGAGACAAGAAAACGAACGGAAAGGGTCCCAAAGAGATGTTTCTCTTCTCCCCTCTCCCCCAGGCCCCGTCCATGGAACTCGCCACACAGGAGTTGAGAGGATTTTGATCTGAGATCCATTTTTCAAAACAAAAAGGAAATTTTTTTTATAATTCCCAACATCTCATATTGTGTCAGGAAACATATAGTGACATATTCCCCAACCTAAATCCGACTCCTGCTTTTTTTGTTTTCTCAATCAGTATATACCCGCATAGGTATAAATCGATTTATTGCTTTCCCTTTTGCCTTGTTCGTTTCCTGCTTCCTTTTTCTTTCCTGGATGGGTGGGTGCTGTTCTATCCCCTCCCTCCCAACCTTCCACATACATATTTACAATTCGAATTGCCCATATTGTCTAGCGTTTATATTTGCTGGCCGGTTGGCTAAGGTTTATGATGCGTTCTATATTTACTACAGCCACCAAAACGTCGGAATGGGTGGGGCTCTTTTTTCCTCTATTTCTTCTTCAGGATATATGCAGGAAGGTAAAAAAAAGAGTTTTATTTTTCTTTGGTACTAATCGTGTCTGCAGGTGTTAGGGATGAAGGCACAGTTATGATGTTACGAACAGTTTGCGTTTTGATGATTCTCCCCTGTACTCCGTTGGGATGGGTGTTCTCTGTGATTCTGTTTCAATTTTCTTGTTTCGTTTAAGCTTCCTTTCTATCATACCATCTCCTATATTGTTGATCCTGTTTTTGTTCCTTATCGTACCTAGAAGCAGGATAGATTTATTGGTCATATATGTGTGTGATTGACACCTTTGATTCAATTCAGGCGAAAACCACTTTCCGGCTATTTTTATTGTTTAGATTTCAAAAGAGATGTAAACCCCGCATTCAAGACATTCAAGACACGCATATTGCATATCATCGTCACGCTGAAACTAGGCGGATGATGGTCGAGTTCGCCCACTGGATCAAACGCCAGCTGCGTAGACTTTCTCATTTTTTTTTGGTCGATGAAACTTGATTACTAATATCAAGTTACGTCATCCGGAAGTCGGCTGTATTTGGCCAGATGAAAATGAACTCCAAGTTTTCTATCTCACATACAACAACCATTCGATATATATTGATATGCAACCCGCCTGCGTAGAGATATATATACACAATGGCGACAAATACACTCTCCAGGGTCATTTATAAGGTCGATCTTACGGTCACGGCCCGGCCGCGGCGTTTCCTTGGGTGGCTGCGGCCCCGTCTGTGTCTCTGGCATGCATAGCCAAGCAGCACAGATCCCAGTCCTTACCTCGTCGACCTCACGCCATAGACCAACTCTGGATCCGCGACATCAACCCGCGAGGCGGGCGCCACAGATAAATGGGGCCACGGGAAACAGGACGATCTTTATTCAGACCGAAACCACTCCGAATGCTGATGTAAGTGAGCAAAAAAGGCAGCTTGAGATTGTAATCTGTGCTGCAATGGATATTGAGTTCCGGAGGGGCTAGAGAGAGAACGCAAGCATGGAGAGAGAAATTTCATGGAAACATCTAGCTGATTGATCCTCCTTTCCTGTTATTCGTCCAGGCACTAAAATTTAACCCCAATCACCCCGTCCTCCCTGAAAACTTCCCGACCTCATTCGTAGAATACCTCTCGCCACGCTCAACCCTCACACCCCCTTACCCGTCTCCGTTGGCCGCCAAGCTCCTCAATGTCGATGGAGTCTCCGCTGTCTTCTATGGCCCGGATTTCATCACCATCACCAAAGCCGGCGACGCGAATTGGGCGCATATCAAACCCGAGGTCTTCAGCCTAATCACCGAAGCAGTAACCACGGGCGAGCCGATCATCAATGTCGCGGAGGCTGGGGCTGGAGCTGGCCCTGCTGAAGAAGATTCACTGAGCTATAATGAGGACGATGATGAGGTTGTCGGCATGATTAAGGAGTTGCTGGAGACGAGGATCCGCCCTGCGATCCAGGAGGATGGAGGCGATATCGAGTTCCGTGGCTTTGAGGATGGGATTGTGTCTTTGAAGCTGCGTGGTGCGTGTCGGACGTGTGATTCGAGTACAGTGACGTTGAAGAATGGGATTGAGTCTATGTTGATGCATTATGTGAGCGGCCTGTCTTTTATCTTACCCCCCCTCCCCTCCCCTTTTTTTTTCCTGGGTTATGTTTTCCACCCCAACTCTACTCAGACCCGCAGGCTCTCTTTGAAGTTCTGTGTTTGGATATTGAAGTTGACCTGTATTTATTTGTAGATCGAGGAAGTTAAAGGGGTCAACCATGTCCTGGATCAGGAAGAAGAGGTCGGTTTGCATGAATTTGCGAAATTCGAGGAGAAATTACGGCAACAGAAAGGTCCCCAAGCGACTGCATCGAGCAGCCTCGACGCAGCTGAGTAACTGGAATATCTTTTCCGTTCTCTCGCCTGACGCATACTCGGTGGGCTGCTTCTTATCTAAAATAAAAAGGTTTTTGTCTATTATATTTTCTCACTATCCCCCTCTCCGCTACTCCCTCAGGATCTTGTTTTCTGTTTCCACATACCCTGGCATACTCGTATGGCATATTCATACACCTATATCCCTGTCGCCCCAGGTTTGCATGTCTTTTATCTGACCATGGTTTTTGCTCAAATGATATTCACTTTCTCCATTTGTGTACAATAAATGAAGCTGCGTCGCGGCGGATAGGACGAGATTGTCTTTTCGATATTTATGAATAACTTGTCTTTTCTTCATGTTACTCATATTATCGCTATTCCCCCCACATTCGCAGCCTCCTGGTGATACTGATTAAGAAAACCATTGATTGATTGTATTCGTGTTATTGGGATACACCATACGCCTACCGAGTCAAAACAAGGCCCACACATTTTCTTTCTTTCTTTCTTTCTTTTTTTTTTCATCTCCAGATTAAATGAGAGCGACAAGGTATCTGTTACAACTTGCCTACGATATCATCAGGGGAAGCGGGGAAGAGGCGATGGAACAGATGTACGTCTCTCATAACGACCATCCACTCCGGGATTTCGGGCGCGCCCCCCGCCGCCCCCCCCCAATGAGCAACAACAACACGGACAACACGGAGTCGAATTTGGATCTGATGGTGTGCTGGTCTTTTTTCTTTCGGCTAACCTATCCACTAACGAGATACAGATATTCGTCAGCTCATATGTCCTCATCGTCTGCCTGGCAAAAAAAGGACCGGCGCGTCCTCGCCATTCGCGGTAGAGCGAGCAAGATACATATTTTGGTACGCACGTCAAGGGCAATGTGCGCGGGCATATTTGGCGTTGAGACGGGAGAATGTGTGTGATATGAGATGGGTTCACACACAGCTCATGCCTCGCGGGCTGTCGCTGCTGGTTGTATATAAAGCATATGGGGAGAGGAGAGCCTTGGCTGTGGAGCCACTCGTATGAGATTTCAAATTTATGAAGAGCCTTGTTTGGTTTAAACTGCGGGAGTTTTGTCCGATAGACATGCGTGTCCCGTGAAGCTACAAGAAAAGGTATGGATGGGCAAGTCAACCGTCAACCGTCAACCGAATGGGTTGAGACGTTGATAGATATGCGATGTTAATTGTTGGAGCAGAGATGGACGTCTCCCCCTTAACTATGCCTTCCAAGGGGCTTCATGTGGATGGTCAACTAGTTCCATATTTCAATCAATGCATATATATACATGTACATGTACATGTACATATGTCTATATCTTTACACCATTCAAAAAACAAATGAGGCTACCAAATAACAATAAATTTGCCAGAAATTATCAACCAAACTTTGCTTCTTTGAAACATACAATGCACCTAACCTTCCAAAAAGGTGATATCAGGCAGACCACGGCGAGACAAGGATCTCTCCCCCGAAGTCATTAGCAGCAGCAGCTTGAGGTGATGGCCGGCCATCTTTCCCACAAGGAAACCTTTGGACTTGACGAGCACACATATACATACTATCTATATGTATAAAGGTGGATAGATCCCAGCATGCTACACCAAGAACGAACATGTAGCAAACCTCTCCACCGGTTTCATCCAGCCGGATGAAAGAATGAAAAATCAAGGAAAGGAGGGCAATCCCTGAAGCCTGGGCAACGTATACAAGGAGCGCAACACAGCATATAACTCAGGACACCTGAAATGGTTTTTTTTTTTTTTTTTTTTTTTTTTTTTTTTTTTTTCCTGCTATTCGTTGTAGCGGAAAATTGTTTTCCGTTCGAGCTGTTGGTTATACACGATACCGTCGAAGAAAGATAGGAAGGTGGAGGGGCAGGGTGAGAAAAATTACAAAACAGCGCAGATCAGGCTTTGGGGGAGGTGTGAATTGAATTGATTTGAATGACCAAAGTTTGCGGAGTACAGAGGGAACAGGAGGAGCAAGGGGCGCCCGCCTAGACCCATCATGATATAAGGCCTAGTTCCCGAGCTGGGTGGTGGCGGGAGCAAAGGCGGAACTGGGAGCGGGGCTTGACTCAGGCAGGCGAGGTGGGAGGAAGGGTTTAACGAAGCGTTTGTGTGCCGATTTTGATGCCGATGTCTTGGTAGTAGCTATATGTTAAGCTAAGTGATTGGCCGGTCGATGTAAGGAGGAAGGATGCGATGCAATCATACAAGGTTGAAAAAGAGATGGCGAAAAAGCAGTTCTAGATAGTTCTATCAGGTGTTGGCATTTCTTTTTCTTTTTCTTTTTTTTTTTTTTTTCTTTTTTTTACTTCGTTGTTGCACAGGTGGGCTGCGCATGTCCCGTACGTAGCATGTGAATTCTTTTTTTCTTGTTGAGTCGAAATTATTATCATTATCATCCATTGTCTTTTGACTGTTCGTCTTGCCCCTAATTCGAGTCATTTAAGGGGCTTGCGTGGGAGCTGTGCACTGAATTGTATATACACATTCTCCTCAGTCTGCTTCATCAGTGGCGAAGAACAGATTAGAGTAAAACTATCATCAGCCACAAAAACAACATCAACAAGTTCAATCGAAACCCCTGTGCTGCTAGCGAAATTCTACCAGAGAATGCAGGAATGCAGGAAAGACAAAGACGGAAAAGGGAGGGCCGAGAAATTCCCATGAGCCAGGGATATGCCCTTGATAGCGTGGATACTACATAGTAGCGTGCAGAAATAACCCCCCTCCTCCACATGGATCACTATGTGCCGCGGCAGGCCCCTATCGAATAGCAAGCAAAGGGAATGCAAGGGGAGCCCCCCTCCATGCAGCGAGTGAGCTGATAAGAGAGAGCCAAGAGCCCTGTAGACGTCAGCAAATGGACTGCACATATAGCTCGTGGCTACGGCGTACATACGCTGCGTACTAATGGATCATATGGGAAAAAGGAATTGAGGCTACTGCGTAGTCCATATATTGGTGCAGGACCTGATGGTTTCAAAAATGCGGGGTGCAGGAGATTTCGCGCTTCCTGAATCCTGAGTCTGTGTTGACGCTTTTTCTCTTTTCCTGTTTTTCCTGCGTGTGTGCGCCCTGTCCCCTTGTCAATCCGTTAAGCATTTCCTGGACACCTTCAAGACGATCCCCATCCGCCTTGTTTTTTGAGTTTCCTTTCATTCATTTCCGTATTTCCTGATAGGTTGGCGGTGCTGTCGTTCGTTCAGCAGTCATCAATAAAAAAAGCTGTTCATTGGCCTCTTCCTTTCTGGACTTGCTGCTCGTTAGTTCTTCGTCTGGTGCGATCTTTTGGTAGGAATATTGATTTGTCAATGGTTAGATGACAACGAGTTTTAAAAAATATTCGCCAGAATCTGGATTTTGAATGTAAATCGGTTTCATCCACTTCTGTGACCCCCCCCCTTTTTTTTTTTTTTTTTTTTTTTTTTTTCAGGGAAGTGGACTATATAAATGGAGTGCCAACGACAGTGTGGGGTCTTCTCCAAAGCATTGGCTGCCCCAATTGCGAGGACTCCGAGTACGCATTGATTCCACAACAAACTGGTAGGCGGACGTTTGGGAAAGGGGAATATTCAGGTGCAGGGAGGTTGTTATCGGATTCCTGGACGCATCATCTTATTTTTACCATAGTTTGTACTCCGTACTGCGAAATAGCATGTAGAAGAAGCAACTTTCACGTAATTTTGCGAGCCAGTGATACCAGGCATATACTGCATGGTTCGATGACATTCGCCAACCCCATGACAGGTCCAATCTTTTTCTCTGCAAGGGGTGGGTTGGAGATTGTCCAGTCAGTTAATAGCGGAGGCGCTGGGGGGAAGCACCACGGAAAGATCCGCGATCACCATTCTGGGCCCGTTTGCCATCTGTGTGTATCTTTTCTTTTCTTTTCCTTCTCCGATGTTATTGCCATGTGTTGTTCTTTGAAGCTTGCGGTGCCCGTGCATCTGATCAGGAAAGCTGGAGTGTAATGTGCAATACAGGTATAATACGCAGTTACGGACTGCTTGTTGCAAACGCTAGTAAGGAGGACTGGGGGTTTGCACTCTAGTGTATTCTGTACAGAATACTTGTGTCGTCGACTGTGCTGTGGAGATTTCTGGGCCCTCATTGTCGCACCTAACGAGTCCCCGTGCTGGACCGCCATGGTTGTTCATTTCTCCCCTCTGCTTCCCTACACTCGTTGATTTGCCTTTGATATTTGTATGTACAGTACATTACTGTATATTACGTGCGTCTCGAATTGCTGCAGTGTATGTATGTACAGTACAAGGTACTGTGCGTGTATACGGACATACAGTATGCTGATGCTTTTGATGCATTTGGGGCATGTAGTTTTACCTCCGGGCAGAAACAGCTCAACCATGGATGGCTAGACCTTGAAAGCATCACGCGATCCTTCATCCTAATTACAGAGCAAGGTGCTGAAACTTAGGGATGCCTTTTAACCATGGGAAGAAAAGGGATGTCCCTTCCGGAAAACCGTCTCTCCAGCAGCCTTTTTGGCGATGACGTCTTACCTCATTTGAACCAAGATCCAGGCAAGGCACCGTGATGAACCTACAAGAATTGCTTGGGCCGTCGTCATTTTGCGGGGAAGAACGAATGCATGCGTATAGTTACGTACTATGTATACATAGTATACGGGGGACGGAAGTATACTACACTCCATATCTCGCAGCCAGCGATTTAATTGCACTTGCAGATAATAAAAGGCCCCTTTTCTCCCCCTTAGCAGCTATATTCAGCCTACTTAAGAAGCCAGGATAATTGTCCTTGATGACTCGGCGAGACTGCACGCCGTCCCCTCTGCCTCGCTGGTGCCACCCAGCGTCTAGACAGGCCACAGAGACCATCCCATCAACTCAACGAAGAGGGTGGCCCCGCCTGTTCCGTCTGTTGTTTCTCCATCGCTCTCTAAGTCCGGAGGCAAGCACATGTTCTTTGAGAAGAAAGAGCTGCAGGAAAATTAATTGTAGAGCAAGCGACCGAGATACGGACTTTATACATTTATGCTTTGATTTGGGAGGATCCAAGCCACGCCTTTCTCCGCATTCTTCCCACCCATTCATCCAACCCCGAGAGGCGTTCGCCTCTTACTTTTCGGCTGTTTCTTTTGGCTTTTGTGGCTCCCCGCCTCGTCTTTGCCCTCGCCCCTCGGGCCCCCTCTACAGGCAAATTTCTTAATCCAGGAGAACAAGACTTGGGGGAACGTAGATATAAGGAAGTAAAAATTCGCCATAGAGCCGATCTTCTTCGATCCTTGCGACGGCTGGGAGGACCCTGAGCCCTTTGGTCTGGACGCTGGGTGGGTACGGTTAGCGGTACAAAGGAGGCCTGATAGTTATATAGTTAACGAAAAAGATTTCATAGATAGATCCAGCAAGCTTCCACGGCCCAAAGCTAACATTCCATCCGGTCAACCTACGGTGGATATATGGAGTATCATTGCAAGGGCTCTGACGGATAAGTTAATATACATAGTATACACATTCTCATTTGACTGCGTCGTACTCCGTACTTGTTGTGGAGGCGACAGGACGACGACGGGAAAATAAATGGTGCCAAACTCCCTTGTTGCTAGCTTTTAAGAGGAACTGCACAAGCTCCTGCATGGTGGTTCCCGCCATTACTGATTCAGTCATGGATGGATACTCTGTTCATCGAAGAGAAACCGAGTGGACAGGGAAATTGTAGAACTTCGCAATCCCACCTAGGTATACCGAGCAGTGTATTTCCGGTTGTTTATTCGGTTGATCCATAGATAGAGAGATAGGGAGATAGGTTAACTAGGCGAAAAGCTGCCCAAATCGGCCTCAAACCCTGTTCTCCAGCAACCCAACTTAATTTTAGCCTTTTGGCCTGCTTCATCTCCATCCATCTACGGAGTACTATGGTATCTGCCAGTGCCAGACGCTCCTCCAGCGCGCGTGTTTAGCCACTTTCTGCGCCGGTCTCCCCAGTCGCTGTCGCCCAGCTCTCCTTTCTCCGCAACTCTAGCCCCAAGATCCGCGCTTCCCCATTCGAGCACCGAAGGAAATACCGAAGAGGTGTAGCTTGTGTTCAGACCATCACCGCGCCCGTCACTGTGGACTCTATCCAAACTTTCCAAGGTTTCCTCTGCCTTGCCTGAGTCCCGCCCGAGTTCCGCCACCCAGCGTTTCTTTTTTCTCCCCCAAATGTCCCCGTCCTCCTCCTCCATCGTCATCAATTGTTTCTGCGACCGATCGATCAACCGATCATCCAAGCGCTGTCAGATTCGATCTTGAGGATGCGTCTGGGCCTGATACCGGTTGAATGGCTTGTTCGCAGCAGTTATTACTCCTGATCCCATAGACATCCATCCTACCTATCCTGTACCGAGTATATCGCTCCATATTCCTGCATCGCAACGCAAACATCTTCATCCCTGCCCGGCCCCCACCACCAGAAGCGGAAGCTTTTTCTTCTCCCTCTTCGCTATATCCGACCGCACACGACTTACTTCCTCCTCTACTTCGTATACTTGCACCACTACGAATAGACAGACCGTACCCAGAAAACTACAGAGGATAGGATTATACGGAAGAGTTCTTTGCGCACCAAGAGAAAAAACAAAACGATAAATACCATAAAAATAACCAGTCGCCAGTGAGATAGCCCTTGTCCTGGATATACCTTCAGAATTGCCACCCGAACCTCTTCTGGCCGACTCCCTGAAGCCTCGTCGCTTCAACTTGGGCTTGACGTATTTTGTTTCTCGAGGGACTTGATTGACAGTTGCATTCTTCCCTTGACGTTTTCTCTCCTTTTCTTCTGTTTTCTTCTATTTTCTTTCCTTCACATTCTTCCTTTTTTTTTTTTTTTTTTTTTTTTTTTTTTTTTCTTCTTTACCTCCCCCCCGGGGCAGTCGCCTACAATAAATCGCAGCCAATATCATAGAGTGGTGAGTAATGACAGCCTTCTTTGCTTGTTCTCCTTCTTTCCCCTCGAAGATGTCCTTTACATCAAATCACCGCGCAACGGACACTGACCGTTGATAGTTTTTTTTTCATATATTATTGTTGCGCGACTGCATCCAAGAGCCATCCCTTCCCGAAATCCCTTTCTTCGTTCCTTCGTTCGACTGTCGCATAACTTTAGGGAATTGCCTTGTTCGACGGTAAGATCTGGGCCTTTCCTTTACACTCTTTGTTGTCGGATTCAAGTGAAATCCCTTTGGGCCCCACGACAGATCCGCTGGAGTTGCAATCTTTTTGCTGGCTGCCCGCGTGTTCCCTCCGTCGAAAAGGCTCACATTTTCTGGACTACGTCATTGGGAATTCATTCGACTCTCCAGCGTTCTTTCTTGAAGACCCTTTAGCTCCTCACGGCGATTCGGGAGAGTCTTCAATTGGGTCGTCGTACTTCGCACACGTTTTTGAGACCCGGCTGTTACCTCCAATCACGGGTGTAGATCTTGATTCGCTACGCGTTTGTTGCACGATGTTGATTACCGTTCCCACCTCCGGTCCAACGTGCTTCATACAATAAGAAAATATCCTTGTTCAATTGTTCAGGCTATAAAATTGTCCGGTTCAATGGAGATGCGCAGCTTTCTTTTGGTTGGCAATCATTCCTTCTGCTAACTCAGTCGACTCAGTCGGGGGATTTCACTTTGAGCCTGCTCGTTTTACCACCGATGGCAGCCTTGAGAGATGCCTTCTTGGGGCTATAATGTGAATACGATGGCTAATTTTTATCTTGACGATTCTAGGATTCCTTGTTTGTTTGATCTACGGGCCACGAGTCATTCACCTCTTTTGTTCCTCCTTTTACGATTTACAACACTCCGCAATATATCAGGCGACGCTCGACCGATGCGCATGCCTCTACACATTTAAAGTCTTTGATTGCGTGTTCGCGCATTGTTACCTCCGGTTTTCTCTAGCAGCGCAAGCTGCGATTACAGGCCATCCATTAAGTTGACAAGTTGTAAGTATTCTTTCTCTTTCACTCTCGGCATATACCGCGTGGATGACATCGACCTGGATTCGCGGACGGCGGAGCACACCGCTTGTGAACTTCGTCACTTTCGTTGGGTCTCCCTGATGTCACCTACCACCTACCGAGGGACATTAGGGGCTTCTGTCATTCACAAACCAACTGTCACCTTTTCTTCACACTCATTATAATCTTTATAATCCATAGTTTCTTCAGCAGCTAATCGTGACTTAAAGAGGACTTTCAGATTTTGACCCTATACCTCTACCTTGATCCCGAAGTCGTACCGCGATCATGGCGTCGTCGAGCAGGAGTACATCGAGCAAAAACACGACACCTGCAGCAAAGAGCCCTCATCCCTCATACCCACCACCTGGCAATAATGCTTCAATCTTGATTGAGAAAACCCACCCTGGAGTTCGAAGATCCACCCCTGATTCGGAGGCTTTGGCTTCGTCTGAGGATGAAGATCACCAACAAAACCAACTCCCAGCTGCCCCCGTAGTTAAACCCATGCGGCGCATATCATGGATCAACGATGTCCCAACCACGTTGGCTCGGAAGACGTCCCTGCCAACAAGCTCCTCTTTTTCATCAGCAAATTCTAATCCTACTACTCCGGTCGCCGATCAAACTTCATGGGGAGGTGCGACTAGCCCTGGGCTTAACGCCCCACTTAGCTGGGGATCCACCGGGACTGGGCCTTTTCCCTGGGGAACAGCAATATGGAACTCAGATGCGCGTAAAGAACCCCCATCGAGGTTGACAGGAGTTCTTCAGTCACCAACCTCCACTATGATGCCATCTTCATCAACTATAAATAGCGGTGATGATATCCTTAGCCCGCTAGCCAAAAAGATATCTGGGGACTCCAATATTCCATTTTCGATCCCACTCCATCCTACCCGGAAGAACATATCGCTCCCAGTCGTATTCTGTTGGCCAGCTTAGATACAGAACAACAAGCTACTCTGCCACTTAATAACGGCGCGATTGCTACTCCAACCACACGCAGAGGTACGGTTGCGCCATTATCTTCAATACAGCGTCGCTCTTCCAGGCCAAGCATGCTTGGAGAACTTGGGCATGATGCGGCCACTCTTGGGCGTGTTCGTGAGGATGAAGACGATGGCAACGTAAATGGTGCTGAAGGTGGATATAATTGGTCTTCTTTGAACCAGGCACGTCGGATAGAACAGCTTTCGTTGGAAAACGCCCTTTTGCGGCAAGCCGCATCAGGACAACTCGATAATTCTCGATTCCGTGACCGTGCTATGTCTTCCGCTTCTGCAACAAGTGGATTCTCTCTTGCTCAGAGTCATAACCTGCACCGTCTTCCTGGAAGTGTTCCAGAGGAGGGCGATTTGGCAGTCGAGGATTTGGATGAACTGGGAGAGATTCATCCGGGTTATAATAGTACCAGGAGCAACGGTCGGAGAAGGCTCAGTGAACATTCAACTAATCTTGATAAGCCATTCCCGAACTTTAATTCTTTGGAGAATCGTACGCTTGAAAATATTAAAAAGGCCCACTGGCAAACCTCGCTTGGCTTTGGTGGCATGCCTGAAGGACCTCAGAGTCGCCGCCATTCTTTTGCCGATATCCCCATGAGACAGCAATCTCTTGGTTCGCCTGCTGATTCCCATCAGCCCGTTATTGGCCCAGCTGCTTCGATGGGTAACCGAGAAGATGGCTTTACCAATTTTGCCAATGGGGGAGTTAGTGCTTCCCCTGCAGATAACAATCGTGAGTATTTTCAATTTCTTTCGGATCACTGTTACTATTCATGTCATGCAACGGAACACCAACGTTTACAAGCCCCATTACATATAGCTTCTTACTTCCCTGGACACGACAAGTCCCTCCGTGTCTCCGATAATATTCCTACTTCTGGGATATCCACGTCGCTCCACCAGGCATATGTCATGCCCAACGCCTTTGGCCGTCAACACTCAAATCTGGCGCATGTCCACCAGAACCAACAGCTTTTTATTGTCACGTTCAAGTGCGGCAGGGCCGACGTCTTCTATATCCAAGAGAATACTGGGTTGCAGGTCAAAACTGGTGATCTCGTCATTGTTGAAGCAGATCGGGGTACCGATCTTGGCACGGTTGCTCATGCAAACGTCAGCTGGGCAAGAGCGCGCGAGCTTAAAGAACACTATGCAGAGGAGCATTACAAGTGGCTTATGATATTCTCCCGCCAAAGCCAGTCAGGTGTCCCAAATGCCGTGAATCCAAACAGTGTCTCTTCAAATATGAACGGAGCCCCTGGCAGCGCGGTGGGTGGTATGGGACCACAGGGCCAGCATGGAATGCAAGAACCTCAAGGCGGAGATATTAAGCCCAAACTGATCAAGAGGCTTGCCCAAAGCCACGAAATCCAGACCCTTCGTGAAAAGGAAGGGAATGAAGCTAAAGCTAAGCGTGTTTGCCAGCAGAAGGTAGCTGAGCACCGGCTGAATATGGAAATCCTTGATGCAGAGTTCCAAATGTAGGTTCAATTCAGGCACGCTTTCGAGGAGAATGCCAGTAATGAGAAGAAGATTCAGTTGGCTAATGGCACTGTTTAATATAGGGACTGGAAAAAGCTTACTTTTTATTATTTCGCTGATACTTATATCAATTTCAACTCGCTCGTCACGGATCTATTTAAAATCTACAAAACCAGAATTTGGATGTCGGCTATTAATCCAGCATCGTTTGTTACACCCACGGCCGGACTGCAGCCCCCTAGCAGTATAGGGTTCACTCAAGAAGGTCACCCAGATCGACGGCGACCGCATGACTTCAAGCCCTTTGTCCCCAGTGCCGGTCAGGGAGTTGCGTCCATGCGAGGTTTTGCAGACGCTGCTGCGAGAGATACCACAGGAAACCTTAGAAGTCAGTATGTGGACCCGTACCAGGCATTTGCGAGCGGCAGGCAACCGGATGCGGCAATGCCTGGCTTTTCACAAGGCGTGCAACCCCAAACAGATCCATTTTCTTCCTTTCAGCCATCGAGCTACGGGGTTGGGGATCCGAACTTACCTGACCTTCATAACGCGGCTGGTTTAGGGCCAGTGGCCCGCCAAGCACATCCCACCCAGGGCGACTGGATGAATCGTTTCCAAGGTCTTTCACTCGGTTCTTGATATGCTTGTTTATACCCGGACACCTTTTTCTATATGGCATATATTATCTTGCATTCGTTGTTAAATGTCACATGCTATATCGCGATAATAAAATACCCCCGATCGCTTCAGTTCACACTTTTCTCTTTCTTTCTTTCTTTCTTTCTTTCTTTTTTTTTTTTCTTTTCTACTATTATATGTTTTCTTTTGGTTCGTCGATTCCACTTATGTTCTAAAGCTGGGCATTTGGTTTTTATTGCGTTTGAATTCAATTCGTACTAGATATTTCTTTACGCCAAAAACTGATCAAGAGATTTAAGGATGATGATGAATTTTCTTTTGCTTTTTCCTTATTCCTTTTTTTTTTTTTTTTTTTTTTTCATATGTCGGTTTGAAACCTCTCCCATCCGCCTCCCCTCAGACAAACTTTTTCTCAAGAAACCTGCGTTTCTTAAAAATAGACTACCCCCTGGCCACGGATAGTGGATCGCCTCCGTTCGTTTTGCAGTGGTTGCTCGAGAATCGTCATATATATTTTAGTGCGGGGAGTTTCATCGTCGTGCTTCTTGGGATTTATGAGCGAGCAGGCCTCTTTTTGTGATTGTCTTCGTCATTTTTTTTCCTACCCGCTTCCCCTTTTTTACTTCTCTTTTTGCTTATAATTTGACAGCTTTTGTTCTTTTTTCTTTTTCCTTTTCTTTCGATTTTGCCCAGCATATGGTATACAAGAAAGGCGAAGGTCCATATAATAAGTATTTCACGAGCGTTGCGACGAGCGGGCAGAAAGACGCAGTATATTCAATGTATCAGGTATCAGGAGACCAAAAGCGCACTTCAATCTAGAAGCAGATTATCCAGCCACTCTTCGCCCCCTCTCCGGATCTTTGGACCCATTTTCAAACTCGTTGCATGCTTCTTTTACTTGTTTCTATTTTTCAGTTCACTCAGCAATATCTTCTTTCCTGCGTATAGTTTCTCTTTTTAATTTTCCTTTCCTTCCCCTTCCCCTTTTTCAAAGGAGAGACAAAAAAGATTCCCATTTTTACTTTTCATTGCCAGCGCTACTATTTCCCCTTCGTCGTTGTTGTTATTATTATCCGGACGGGGTTTCAAATCCTGAAAAATACATGGAAGATCGGTGCGGAAAACCTAAGATTATATAAGGGTAGATATTGGAGAATATTGGGAATTTAGGGAGGACTTTTGTGCGTTTATTTTTCATTTCCCACTTTTTCCTTTCTTTTAACTACTTATCCCGTTTATGTAATTTGTTTACTTTTGCTTTCTCCTTTTTCTCCTTCCTTGTCCTTTATCTTTTTCCTTGCCCGCTATATACAAACCCACCCCCTCTCTCCCGGCGTGAGATCCGTGACAGATTGAAGGACGGAACCATTGTACCCCTCTGATGACTCTGATCGTTCTAACCACCAGAACACCACCGTTAACTTATGTCCACCACCTATCCTTTGCCTGGATGTAAGTCATCACTTACTTTTCATGTAATATCTATTGATTTCCCTGTTATATCTTCCGTGACCCGTGAGCCTTTTACACGCCCTTAACTCTTCCATTCTCTCCCCTTCTCCACGGTTTGTTTTCAAGCCGATGTGGGACTTCTACCAGGTTGTCCGTAGCCTCTTCTCTTCCTGATTTCCCTTTTTGCTTTCTCCTTCCCGTCTGAGCTTGTTCGATGTCCTTTGCGTGTGAAAATAGGTTGCATTATGATCGTTTGCTGTGCCGTTTGTCATAGCTCTCCGGTGCATTGTGGAGTGAAAGAAACAAGAGAGGGAAACTGTTTTGAGTTTGATTTCTTTTTATTTATCCCTTCTTCTTTTTAATGTTTATTTCACGCAGATTGCTAGCCTTTATATATATATATATATATATATATATATATTTTCCTCCCCAGATCGTGTGCGTGTTTTGAAAACTGGGGGATCGGTGCGTGTTGGGGAACTCGGATATATCGTTAATTCAACTGTGTCTGCTTCGTTTTGTATATGTCACATCACCCTCCTTCCTTCCTTCCTACCTCCCTTCATTAGATCTTGCACGGATATTGCAATTGTTGATTTCGGTTTCAATTTCTCAATTCTTTTCTTTTCCTCTTTATTATTACTGCAACTCAAGTTGAGAGGGTCATATAAAAATTTAATATTTTTTCCACTACATTTTCGATTCCTTGGGAGTTTTTTTTTATTCCTCTCCTCTCCCTTCCCTCTCCCTTTCCCCCCCCCCCCCTCTCTATTCCAGTTACAGGAATATTGTTTATTTTTTGTCCTACTGATGTAGTTGACTGAAGGAAGAATGCCCATGTCCAGGGAGGAGGCAGATCAGGAGTTGCTTTAAGAACGATAGAAATGAAACTGGGATATTAGGTATAGGCTTATTGATGAATATATGCATTTATTTCTTCAAATGGCATTCGTTTTATTCTCCATATGTATCTGCTATTCAAAATATGCTGTCCGGAATTCCCAAATATCACATGATCTCACACCCCCTTCCAAAGGTTATCTGTACGTCATAGCGTGTATCCTCTTTCGGATCTCTATCTCCATCTCGCGTCCCCATCATATGGCCTGTGGGAAGCTGATTGATTGAACCTCGCTAGACACCGTAAATGTATCCTAGGCGCCAAAAAGAAACGCCAGAGTGACCAAAGAGCCAACCACCTCGTGGACAAAAATGCCTCGCGGTAGAAAGAGAACTGGTGAGATAAAACTGCAACCGTCCATACTCTCCCTACTACCCATCCCATCGCTTTTGTCATCAGCAATGCGTTGTGGGTGTACCACTTAACTTTTAGAGCGGCAGCCCCGGCAGCTCCAGCAAGGGCTGTGACTAGTCAGAGGAAGAATAAGAGGGTACGGGTTGGGCCTGCGACTCCAGGGGGGACGAAAACACACTCATCCTCGAGAGAACGCGAAGAAAGTTCGGGCTATGCTGGTGATAATACCGATCACACTGACGAGGATACGAATGGGGGTTTGGACCTAGGCGTAACCGAGGTTGATGATGATGACGATGAATTTGGCAATGACGATGACGACGACGACGATGATGATGACAGGGAAGCGGAGCTGACCAGGTGAGACATCAAATATACGATACATGGAGACCTTTTATGGGGTTCTTGGGTTTAGCAAACCCCACTTTGATTTGCCCAGAATGCTAACTGGGTCAATAGAGCGGCCTTGAGAGGCCTCCAGGAGGCAATGGAGAGGACTGAGAAGAGGGACAATTATGCCAAAGAGTTAGAGAAATGCATTGATGAGGAGGAAAGGAGGCTTGAAGGGCTTCTGGAGGCGGTAGTGAGGGAAAGGTTTGTTTTGAATCCCTATATGTTTCCCATTACACATTCCCGTTTCCCGTTTCCTGTTTCCCTCCCTTTATGAATAGTTTGCTTCACACCGTTTGGGTCGCAGTTTCTGTTTCATGCTTAGCTGTATTCTAACCGTTGTCTGCGGGTTAAAGGGAATCCGAAGCTGAAGAGTTCCGCTCCAGATTCAGCTTGTTAATTGGCACCGCTCTGGCTCCGACTGGGACAAAGACATCAGGATCAGCGGCTGGCTGTTTGTCGGATACTCAAAAACTTTGTCTTGAAGATGTATCATCTGACAGACATCCGTTGTACAACAAATGTCAAGTCCTACTTCAGTGTACCAAATCACTGCTTCAGGAATATGACAATCTCGCAGCGTACATCTCCAAGCTTGAAGTGCCGCCAGACCCCGCAGAAATGTGGGAAGAAGATTGCGCAGAGACTCGCCGGGTGATTGGGATTGGTGCGGAAGCATCTCAGGCTGAAATTAACAAGCTTTTGGCTTGTAAGGATGATGCTCAAAAAAGAGGCGATAAGGGGGAATCTGCACCATCCAAGGGGAGAAAAAGGGGAAGAAGGGCTAGGGCGAAAGTTTTTGAGAAAGATGAGCATCTTCAGGCCATGCTGAAGATTGGGAAGGAAAAGGATCCATTCCCAACGAAAGAACCATATGGCTGGGGTAAAACGGCATTCCAGATGGTGAAAGGGATGAAGACACTTGCCAAGGCTTTGCCTGTTGAGAGAAAATGATGGGAAAATGGGAATCTCTGTAGCCAGAAGGGGAAAAGGTATAATGAGGTTATTATATAGTTTTATTTGTTTGTGATACGGAAACATGAGCTATACTACGGAGTATAGTTAGTAGTATTGAAGGAATGTTCCTCTGTTAGCATACCAGATTGATGCCAAGAATACGAACATGATGACTAATAATGCAATTACACGTGACAATGCCAAGAAGTTCGTTTCGGCTCGCTTAAGTGTGTTAGCGCTTCACACATTTGCTGGCTGTGGATAGTTTGATCAAGACAGCGCTTGCTGTGTGAAGAAGCGACAACGACCACGACAACCACCAGCAACGATCCCACGACGACAAGGTATGTGATTTCTGATCCTTATGTTTCCTTAGATGCTGAGATACTTCTTCTATTCGGCGTTGAGCGATCTACCTTAGTATCCGAAAAGCTTACAATTGTCTCGCACAGATGGGTGCTCTTAAATACGTGGAGGAGCTTCAAAAGAAGAAGCAATCCGATGTGATCCGCTTCCTCTTGCGTGTCCGATGCTGGGAGGTGAGACCCCTCGAATGTCCAAGATGAGAACCTCGCTGGGGAATAGAAGAAAGAAAAACATCACCTGGAATTGGAATTGGAATGCGTCCAACCCAATCGCCACTCCATCCTCTGGCGAGAGATTGTTCATCACTGTGACACAAAAAATATGTTTTTTTGTGTCTTGCTATACACTCGTTGAACCTTGCTGAGAGTGCATTAATATAGCTTCGTCAACTTAACGTTATCCATCGTGCCTCCCGCCCCTCGCGCCCTGATAAGGCCCGTCGTCTCGGTTACAAGGCCAAGCAGGGCTACGTTATCTACCGTGTCCGTGTCCGACGTGGAGGTCGAAAGCGGCAAGCCCCCAAGGGTGCCACCTACGGTATGTGCTTCATCTCATCTTGAAGTTCAATAATGAATGACACAATCGAAAAGATGAACACATCTAACACCGGCGTTTCTAAATGCAAACAGGCAAACCCACCAACCATGGTGTTAACCAACTCAAATACCAACGTTCGCTGAGATGCACTGCCGAAGAGCGTGTTGGGAGACGCTGCGCCAACTTGCGCGTCCTCAACTCCTACTGGATCAACGAAGACTCCACTTATAAGTACTTTGAGGTCATCCTCGTCGATCCCCAGCACAAGGCCATCCGCCGCGATCCTCGTATCAACTGGATCGTCAAGCCAGTGCACAAGGTACGTCTTTTTTTTTTGTCCATTTATACATGGACTCGAAAGAACCATTCCGGTAAAAAAAAAAAAATAAATCCTAACTTTGTCTTCCTCCGATAGCACCGCGAATCCCGCGGCTTGACCGCAGCTGGCAAGAAGTCCCGTGGTCTTGGACGGGGCCACAGTTACAACAAGACCAGTGCTGGCAGACGGAAAACTTGGAAACGCCTCAATACTCAAAGCTACTGGAGATACCGTTAAATGGGCCAATTGGCAGTGGCAGTGGCGATGGTTACGGATATGGGATGTACGATGGTGTCGGTGTCGATGTCGGTGTTGGAATGTGCTTTTTCCTTTGGTCTCTGGCCTCACCTGGCGTAGCCGGCGTTGTGGAACCATTCCATCCTAGGACAGAAGGAAAAGAAAATTTTTATCCCATCACCGCACCGGCACCAGCTATGTGCATGGTTTGCTACGACTTAATCGATTCGGTAATGCATATAGCGAAAAGAAAAACGAGAATAAACCGCAAAATTCTTTATTACACACCTTTGTGTGGTTTTTTTTTTCATGATTCGGCTGAATTGTTTGCTGCGTAGTTTATGGGGAATAGTTTTTTAACGTCATGTTGAATACTTGTATGACTTGCAGTGATTTAAGTAGTCACACGAATATAAACTTTGACTGACGACATCACTTCTTATGTTATCGTCTCTATTTCAAAACAAGAAGGCAAGGAAAGGGGAGGAAACAATGAAAATGTAGACAAGGGAGAGCTACATAACCGATCCCATCCACGCTTCGGGCCCACGAGAATGTCCATGGCTTTCAAACTATGTGGGCAAGGGTAATAAGGCTTTAAATATGAACAAGTAAAATCCTGACGTGGAACTCAACTGGAGGGATTCTCCATTGAAACTTTCAGTTCTGTTTAATGAATGGTGCTGGACCAAGGGTGGGTAGTATTATTTGAACCTGAGAAACCTGATAGTTTCAATGCAAATCAAATACCCCGTACATGTATAGGTCAATCTGCAAATTGGTATGAAAGGAGGAAAAATCATTGACCGCAAACATCATATTCCATTGTGGCCATTCAGATAATGGCATAATACTAGATCGATACGCTTATGACTAGATGATCTGATTATATATCCCACTTCAAATTGGTTTCGTTTCCATCCACAAAATTACATGATAGAGAGATAAAAACGAGAGTCTCAATACAGTATTGACTAACCCCATACACACTTCATCACAACGATCTCTACCTGATATAGTGGCGCGATAGAATAGCAGCAGAGGCGCAAGCATCCAAGCTACAAGCTACTAGTTGTTGCACTTCTGCCACCTGAAATGGACAATCTGTCTGAAACTCGCGTCGATAGAGTCTGTGGTCAATACACCACGAGCGTTGCGATTATTGCTGGTTAGGCGAATCTGGGAATTGACATTGAGGGCTCCATTGGCACCACATGGGGACCAGACAGTGGAGGCATGGTCTGTTTCGTCATGGAGAAGATAGTCTTTTTCAATTGGACCGTTCCATTCGGTCATGGTGGAAGCCTATAAGGAACAGGTTTAGGGAGAGTCTCTTGACACAAGAAGAGAGCGGTGCATGGTAACATATCATACCTGTCGTGTCTGACCAGAGAAATAGTAGGTACTCTTTTGAACACCCTTAACACCCCTATCTAGGTTTGCATACCCACGATAGTCGGCTGAGAATATTGAGTATTGGAAGCCACCGGGATACCGCAGATTGATGTTCAACTGGCAGTTCTTGCGGCTCTCGGTGATCGGAACATCGGGGCCAATCGACGCAACATATTTGTCGAAAATGAGAGTCATAACGGTCCTGTCATCCGAGAGGATATGCCTGACTGAATTTGAGGGGCATCCCGTTCCGCCATGTGTCACGCCAATGATTTGCACTTTGTCGGGGTCGGGCCCCTCCGCTGTGGCAGGGGGTAGAGGGGGCAGCGGGAACGACCGAGGGCTGGCATCATCACCAGCCCCTGGATCGCGGCTAACAACAGCCGTGAGAACCTGCACCACAAAGGTAAGAATGATTATAGCTTTCATCGTATTCGCCAAGGTACAAATGGGGGGATAATATAAATGAGGAAGCCAAAGTTGTGCTGCAATGTTTTGAGAATTGTGTTTTCCTTTCAAGAACCAGGAAAGCCGAAAGATGAGAGGAAACAGGTGGCTTTATGTGCTAGAGACGTAGATCGAGATGGCTGGGGTGTAAAGAAAGGAGTGTCAACAACACTGACAATTATACAGAGTCCATCGCTTCTCAATTTCTGCATGCAGCCCAAACCAAACCATCCTCAACCAAGTATTATTTCCGTGCCGATGAGGAAGTATCCCTAACGGACAGGGTTCCGAAAGGATTCGAGATGGGGTTCTCTTCGTTAAAAAAACAAGAAATAAAGAAATGAGGGGCTCAGAAGCGAGAGGTAGAAAAATATAAAACAGCTAGCGTCAACCCGGGAGTCAAATTTGTCATATTGTCATTGAAATGGAACATTTGTGGGCGGAGTTATGCGTATCCTGCCAAAATATCCCAGTTGGCATTCCCCAGATCGAACTAGCTCTTCACCCTTGTAAAAGCATTGTTTTTGGAATCCATGAACATATATTGTCACATGCTGTTGTAAGGAAAGTTATCTGCACAGCTGAAGCCTATATCATGGATATAGGGGCCATATAGCTGTCAGTTGCAGAATCCTGGAGCCACCCTGGCTCTTAAGAGTCCCTGCAAACGGCTTCACACGGAAAGGTTTGGCCCTACCTTCCAAACCACCAGAGCAACCACCAGAATTGTCCAAGAGGAATATCGATGATACGCTGCCATTTCTGGCATAGGAATTTGAGGAGTCATAATGGGACAGTCGTTGTGGTAGGCAGTGGTGTCTCCAGGACTAATGATTAGAATGCGCGGTTAGGAGACTGCGGTTCGATGGCTGAGGTCGACTTAACGGCTTTTACGTAGCAGAGAAATTCCTGGCCTGCGGTGGGGAGATGTTTGAGGGAGACGGATGGCGCTGGTGGTGCATACTGCCTCTCACCGTCCAAAACACGGGAGCCCAAAAAATTTAAGCTAGCGACGATCAAATGGTCCCTGATTTTCCGGACAAATACTTATTCCGGCACGCAAACCCCGAGATTCTTGTTGAGCGATATTCTCCACGTTTCATCAGCTCTCCTTGTCGTTGACAACATACACCTCCGAGTTCTCTGGATGACGATATTCACCTTTCCCACTGCCTGCGATTTTAGCTTGCTGGTGCATTTTCGTGCCGACCTGCATTGCTTTCGTATTAATTTATCTTGAAAACTACACCCACACCCTCCCCGTAGTATCGCCTACGGTGTCATTTCACTTGACCCATCGCCACTGAAGGGCACTGAGGAATAGCGAGGCAACTCTTTGTCCAAGCCTCCGGATCTTTGGTTCATTCCGTTGCGGCTGGTGTGCTCGTATTCGTCCAGGATACTGCTTACCTACATGGACGGAGATGTATTTTCACCAAGGATCTTCTCAGCCTATCCACATGACTCACCCTTGTTACCTAGGTAGCACGCACAGCACAGCGCGCAATCCCACTCCTGTCAAATTTAGTATCCCACGGAAATCTCAGTGTCCACGCACGGGCCCTTCGGTGGACAGTGAACTCTTGCTATGACCATATATCTTCGGTTTTTAAGCTAACACCACGCCGTATTTTGTTGCCTTGGCGAAAGGCAATAACTTTTCCTTATTCCTTAGGCGCGATGAACACGTTGCATCAGATTTTGCATAAGTTGGGCTTCAGTCGTTGAGCCAAACTAACGTGAAGAAACAGGGCATATGTTTCCTGGCTGATGAACAAGGTTTGATGGGTTTGTGCTATGGTCTTCTTCCCCACACTGGATGTTTTTATCCTTGCATTCCCAATGAGCCGGTGTCGAACGCATGCTGGATGAAGCTACGGAAATCGACCAGTTTCTGCGATACCTGTCATAATGATATCCAATTAGACCTCGACAGTATGAGGTAAGCACACACATGGTACTAATCCTAGCGTCTTGTTAGATCCGGCGAGGTCTCTGGGCCAAGTCGGAGAGACCGAATACTTCTTGGGTAACAAAGTATGCGAATTCAGGTAGAATACTGAGTTACGAAAACTGAATTTCACGACTGTCACTCCATAAATGCCGCAGGCTGTGAGTTTCACGTTGTAAGCTCCCTTTTGCGAAAAGAGGACGTGACGATTTATCCCTTTAACATTTGTGATTTACGGCTCGATCTCATCGCTATGCCTTATGAGAGTTGAGGACTGCTGAACTAACAGGACCATTATCGGGGAGCTACCTTTTGTTTACTGCATATGGGAATACTTATTCTATCATAATTACTTGATGCTGATTTCGGAGAAACAAAGTGTTGTTTTAGAGTCGCGCTCCTTTTCCTTTTCGAATTTGGTTTCCCCCGCGTCAGGTATTGATCTTTTAAGTGAGGTTGGAAAATAGACGCTCATCATTCATTGGCCAATGCATGCAGGGGAATTGAATTCAACCGCGCCTGCAGGCATTTCGTCTGAATAATGTTAGCATATTTTGCAAACCCTATTGGGATTTACACTCTAGGTTGTTCCGCTAAACTTTTCAAATAACTCTAATTTTAAGCAACACGTTAACCTCGGACTCTTTATGACTACCTGTGTGTCCGGAGGTAGGGTGTGATCGTCCGTGAAAGACTCCCTCTCCAATACCTAAGACTGCTTTTTCTCTCGGAATCCAAGCCAAAGAGCTAATAGGTCCACTCGACACAAGTGCCGCAGCCCGAGATGTGCGAAGGACATTATATAGCATTTGGTGGCTGATTTTTACTTCTCAGCTTGTCATTTTCTCACGATTGACAGTTTGCAAGGCCGTCTCAGCATTCGATATTAGCTTGGGGTACATGCCCAGGGTCTAATGCTACCCAACCCATGCCCACCGCAGCAGATCTTGGCCTTCCCTCCTGCATAATAGGATTCTTGAGTTAAATACATGATGTGTGAAGGCGCCGCTATTGCGTGTGCGCTTTTTGGTGGTGGGGAAATTGCCAGGAAGCCGGCTTTTGCCACATAACCTTGCAATAGAAACTATAAGGAGATCGAAGTGGAATTCATAGACTGGCTTCAATACACCCGCGGAAAGGCGAGATGATATCTGCTCTCAAGGCAGCAGCTTGCTAACTTTGGATTATCCCGGATTTGCCCTAAGAGCCTTGACAACCATAGGGCTTATGATCTGTTCTTTCCCGGTTGGCTCTAGTCTTTAGTTGACATTGATGCAGTGATTCAATGGACTAAACGGAGATGAGATTGAATCACTTGGGAGTTGCAGGTGAACATGGGATCACATTTTCTTTTCAGCAATGCCAAGTTCTGAGCAATTACTGCATTGGGAGCAAAAAAGCAACCCAACCTCGGGTCTGTTTGTTTCTAAGGCTCAAGAGATGGACTGGACGGCCTATTTTCTCCCACCTTCCTGTTTAACCTTCGTCTTAAATTTCATCGCGATTGTGAGTATGAGCCATTTATTTATCCAATGATCTGGGAGCCCAAGTAAGTCCTATTCTTTAAATACTAAATGTGGTGGAAGTCAACTTATCATACTTTATTTTCCAGCCGTTTCTAAGTATCACCTTTGCCGTGTTTACAGGCGAAGTATTTTGATGTGATTTCAGCACTGAAAGATAGGCACAAATAAAACCGAGATGTTAGCTATAAATAATGAAACGTGTGTAAATACATAAATTACCAAATGAAGCATACCTTGAAAGCCTTTTCAATTTATTTTGTACCATTATTGTTTTCCCTATTGCTGCTATTTAATTACCTAATATGTCTTCACCCTATAACTATCATTGCGGCTATCTCTATAGCGTCTGCTGTTTCTGGTATTCGCTTTAAAACTTAAGCACTCCCAACATGCATGATTCATGTGCAACGTGGATGCAATTCGGCGGCCTCTCATTCTCTACTCGCGTGTCTCCCGTTGATGACGATTTCGATCCTGTTAACTTGTATGATAATGCACCTGCATATTGCTACTACTTAGAGATGTGAGCACACAGTTGCTAAAGTTGCTAAAGTTCGATGCCAAGACGGGATCGACACAAAGGTACCAAAAACCTTTATTTATTGGATACTAACTGTGCCCAGCGCTTCTGACAGAACCACTCTCACATACAACCTCTAACTCAAACTGTTGCTGGATCTCTCCAGGCCAGCCATTTACAGCAATGAACGTCAGATCTGTTCACAGTTTGAACAAATAAACATGCAGAGAATGTATAAAAGTTGGTGAAGAGTCATATAAGGGCTTCAAGATTCCCTCAAGTTCTGAGGCAATGAAGCAAGCTACATTACAGTTGACCCAACCTGAACTGTTGACACTCTCCAAAGATATGATGAATGATCTGCTCTACTTCAGCCATCTACTGTGTCAAGAAGGATCTGGACAATGAAGATATGGGCCATGTCGGGGTTGTTTGCCAGCAATGGAATTCTGGCAGCAGGAGCCCTTGAAAGCCTGCTATATGAATCTGAGAATGGCCTGGAGAAGGGAAACCAACTGCCAGCACTTGCGTGCAATTCCTGGGGAAACTAGGTTAGCCATGCCGTTTACGGGCATTCCATTGGCTGAGGGCATGTTATACTTTTTGCAGAGTGGTCAGCTTTCTTGGGGCATTCTATTCACTCAGGGCACGCGACATTTTTTGCACAATAATTAATTTTCCTGGGGCATTATTATCCTCGGGATTCTATCCTCGGGAATGCCTCATATATCAACTAAAATAAGTGAATCCCAGGGCAGAATTTCAGTCTTGGGGCAAAATTTGGCCCAGGGCGTGCGATCCTTCAAAAATTAAAATTTCCTAGGGAGTTTGCAGATGACCATGATTTTGTTCTAATATCCACGTTTTCCATCCCTTGTCTCGGGGAATTCAACTTCCCAGGGACAATCACATATTTCGAAGAAAATACCCAGTGCCCCAGGGACAGTCACAAGCAATTTTCTCGAGGTTGCCTTGACCAGGGATGGCCATGCATTCTACGGATGACCACGTAAAGTACCTGTACCGCATCCACAAAAAGGTCAAGATATGTGAATGAGCCAGGGCAACCCGTATATGAATCCTGTGACAAAAGGAATCAGTTCGACCCCAGGTCCTCCTCTTACATGCACACGTACAGATAGCTAATTTTCACTCAGGAGGATCACTGGCCTTATCGACCGAAAAATTGATCTGGATAAATTGCAGATCACAAAAGGTGCAGCATTTGATTCTTATGGGATTCAGCATGACGAATGCCTCCAAGGAACTCGTAAAGAGCTGCTTCAGGAAATCGACCACTGGGTGGAATCACCGAACGGAAAATGCATATTCTGGCTGAATGACATAGCAGGGACCGGAAAGTCAACGATCTCACGAACAGTTGAAAAGCATCTTAAAAAAGAAAGGTTCACTTGGTGCAAGTTTCTTTAAACTGGGTGAAGCAGACCGAGGGAGCACTAGGAAACTTTTCCCAACACTCGCTGAGCAATTAGTAACCAGCCTACCTGTATTGACCCCTTATATCCAAAAAGCAATTGAGGCCGACCCCTATATTTTCAAACAAAGCACTCAGAGCACAGTTCGAAAAGCTTGTTCGTCAGTCACTGCATGAGATGGAACAGGGCCACGCTGTGTGCATGGTGATTGTTATCGACGCACTGGATGAATGCGAGTGTGAAGATGATGTATGAGATATTCTTCAACTCTTACCATGGGTCCAGGAGTCAAACTCAGTACAAGTGTGGTGTTTTTTTTTTTTTTTTAACGAGCACACCTGATTTGCCAATCAGGCTTAGATTTAAGGACATTGGAGATGATCACCAGGACTTTATTACATGAGATCCCTGACTCTGTTATCAAATGTGACATATCCTTGTTCCTGGAGCACAGGTTTTCAGAAATCTGGCAAGAGGAATCAAAAAGAGGAATCAAGCTTTCCTTTGACTGGCCAGGAGGTAATAATATTTGTGTCTCTAGTTACAATGTCGGTTCTGTTGTTTATATTTGCAGCCACTATGTGCTGCATATTTGAAGATCCTCAATGGCACCCTGCGGAGAATCTAAAGAGAGATCCTCTTACACCGGTGTGGCAATTCCGGCCTTGATGGGACGAACACTTTTGATCAAGCAGAGTGGGGTGAAGAGAAACAAATTGATTGAAGCACATCGAGGGGTAATTGGGACAATCATCATTCATGAGTCTCCACTTCCAGTTGCTTCACTGTCGAGGCTCACTGGTATTTCCAAAGAATCGATTCATGTCAGGCTAGAGTTATTCCATTCGATTCTTTCTATACCCAATGACAAGACTAAACCGATCAGACCGTTTCATCTATCATTCCGAGACTTTCTACTTCATCCGGACACGCCTGAGAAGACCCCATTATGGATAGATGAGAAAGAGATCCACCAAACCCTCGCTGTACAATGTCTAAAGGTCATGCAGCACAAGTTAAGGAAGAACATCTGCAACTTACCAGGCGATGGTACGGAACGTGGTGAGGTCGGCTTAAATTCTGTTAGCCATCACCTATCTCTAGAGCTGCACTACGCCTGTCGTTACTGGGCACAGCACCTAATACAAAGCCAGGACCCAATCACTGAGATGGTTAATGCTTTCTCATTTCTTAAATTGCATTTCCTTCACTGGGTGGAAGCTACGGGTATCCTGGGTATAATATCTGAAGTTGTCAAAATCATCAATATATTGTAGTCAGTCATGTAGGTAGGTTTTGCCGAAAGCTCTCATCAAGCATAAATGCTAATAAAAATAGGATAATAAATATCCTGGAATCTTGAAAATTTTCCACGATGCAAAACGATTCATTCTTAAAAATAGACATATTATTGATATTGCACCCCTTCAGCTTTATTCTTCAGGACTTGCATTTGCTCCCAGGATCTCGAAAATCAGAAATTTATTTGAAAAGGAAAGACCTAACTGGCTTGGCCAATTAACTAAAGTTGAAGAATATTGGGGCGCAGAGATACAGACGCTCGAGGGCCATTATGATTGAATTAAATCGGTGGCTTTCTCACCGGATGGTCGGCTGCTGGCATCCGGTTCTAGGGATAACACTGTCAAGCTCTTGGATCCCGCCACGGGAGAGTTGTGCCAGACCCTCGAGGGCCATTCCTCCTGTTTGTCTTCAAAATTTTGGCTCTAAACATGTTGCCTAATGGACGTTCTCAATCTCGCACCTCACGTACCCAACAGGAGGATACAAGCTGACTTCCAGGCCCAGAGAATGGGGAATGCAAAGAGGTTGCCTTCGTCAAGCCTGTCTCGATGAAATGGGGGAATAACAGCATGGAGTTGCTCCTGATTATTCGGGGTGACCTATCGATTTTGGGCCGAAACATCCCCCCGGAAGAGAAAACAAACATCGTGAGTACTGGCTCGCGATTGAAGAACACACTCCAGCTAATTTCCTAATCATAAGGATGGGTCACGCAGGTGTATGAAATTTGCAATTACCTGCATGCAAGGTCTGAGATTGAGGAACTCTGCCGGCTTCGTGTCACATATTCCCTTGGTCCAGATTTTTCTATCTCACGAAATTTTTGTTTGATGTCAGTCAGATCTTTTCTTTCGGCCAGAGAACCTGTCAAAGGCTTTGGAATTGCCCTTTCTTTCGTCACTCGAGTCCGCTTTACAAGGGCTTGTGGCAATTTGAGATCCAATCATACGAACGCCACAGGATGAATCAATCCACTAGCTGGGTCATTGTTGAGGTTCAATACGATCGACAATCCAGTAACTGGCGCCTTCTGCTTCGTATTATTCCGTTCCGACGAGGGGATGTTTGAGCCTCAAGCCAAAAATGTAGTTTCCACTCCGTGGCTGAACTTTCAGCGCAGAGCCTCAACCAATATCTTCAACGCCAACACAAGATGAGCCAGGTGGGACGAAACAGGTGTTCGATCTGCGACGATAACAGCACCTTCTTGGCAGCTGTGATCAGTCGAAGTTGGTTGGCAGAAAATGGTGAGCATCGAAGCCCTCATCGGGGTGAAGAAACCGAACTTGGTTTCTTTTCACCTGTTTTCGATGTTGTGATGAAAAACGGCCATCACATAACCGGCATTTTGCTTCCTCTAAACCTCCTAAGAGCTAGGGAATGGATCCAAGGCATGTTCCCCTGGTATATATTTCCTCGTTCAGCTCCTGATTCTCTCGCAGACAGGTCCCTTTTGTCCGTGATACATCCACACGCCGTGCTTTCTCCTAATCTTCCAACAGCAAACATGAAATTTTTCCGGCAGCCACTTGTTTTCTGGTCGTCGAATTAACTTCCTAAAAATTCTAGAGAAATATCACTGCTTGGGACTGAGATCAGAGGGAAATAATTTTAGCAAATGGTCTACGAAGAGATAGCGGCTGATTCCACATATTTTTCAACAAGCGAAGAAACAGTGTCCCCACAGTCGGAGATAATGGGCAGTGAATGTTGGTTCTGCTTTACCCTATCGCTGATCAATGTGCAATTACGGAGTATTGAGTAACGAAATACCCCTCCTCTATTTGTAAGTTATCTCTAGAGGTCTGATGTTGGCAGGCGCTCCTTGAAGGTTATGGAAGAGAGGAAAATTGGCGTATTTAGACACTTGATCGTCCCTGTGCAACCAAGGATGAGATGGACAGGTGCATAAATATCCCAGAATCCCAGTCAAGTGGCTAAAGGCATGCTTGCTGTATGGAAGCGTCTCGACCGCACCACCAAAGGTTTGCAGGTCATTGAGAGAACATAAACATTTTGTGACGAGATGGTTGATTGAAAGGAAATTGGGAAGTTTATTTGAAGAGGATAAGATAAATGTTTGAGGAAAAATAGAAGAAAAAAGGAAATTGAAGTAGTAATATAATACCGTTGCAGACAATATAATACGCCGCTGTTGCAGCTTGCTTTACACTTTGGCAGCTGTTTCTGATGAAACATGTCTCGTCCATACCCGTATCATCGGTGTCACGCCGTGTAATCATTGATTGATGCCGTATGTCCTATCCCACATCCCACTCCAACTGGCTGTGTAGACGCATTCGTCCTGGAGATCCCAGATGGCTGCTCTCTGGGAGACGCTTGCTTTCTTGATCCCAGCAATCAACAGTGCCCAGCAAGTCCAGCCCACCCAGCGCCGGCCCACGCCGTCAAAACAACATGACGACAGCGACGGGACGGACACAGGGCTGTTCTTGACATACATAGTACTGTACATGTACGTTGGACAATCACTACTCAACAATCGCAACTGCCGTATTTTTTTTAAGAGAAATTAATTACGGTGTTCCAACGTATCGCGGTTGTTGACACGAAACGGCGGCTTCCCTCTCTCGTGATCTTCGCGGATTAAACAAGCACAAGCCTCCTTTCCGTCTATTGTTTGGACATCGTTTCCTGGACATTGTTTCCTGGACATCTTCCTAGTAGTTGTTTGCTCTCAACTCTCCGCAGACCTGGAGCTAACCATTCCTGGCTGTAGAACAGCACGGAACTACAGCAAGACCTGTCGGGAATTTAGCTTAAGGACTCCTAAGTCCTGGCATTCGAGCCTCCTTGAATTGTTTGGAATCTCATGCCTCCTCCGCCTTGGATATCCCACCCCGAGTCGAAGCCTCTCCCGTCGCCGTCTCCGCTGAGTGCATCGTCATCTCTTTTGAGGCGGGTTGATGGCTCAACTCCACGCAACCCGCCGACGGATCGATCCGAAACCCCTCCTTCCAACTCGAACACCCCGCAAAGCGCCTCCCCATTTCCTACGCCATCGCGCGGTACGCATACCCGTTCTAGCAGCCATCCTTTTCCGCTACTGTTTGGTTCTGGGAGGAGACGTGAGCGGCAAGCCGCTAGAGAACACCTCAAGGCTGATGGCCTCCCTCATCATGGGAGAACATCACGATCATTCAGCCCGCGCAAGAATGCGTTGAGTGCGAACGAAGACTACGTGTCGCGGCGGTGTATGACATGCGACCATACCAATTCATTCCCCCATGGAAGAAAGGGCTTTAGATGTGGGAAATGTACCGCAATGAATGATCTAGAGCCATGTATCGAACCGTCTAATGCCCCTCTCAGCAACTCCGAGAGTCCCTTTGGTCCACAGCTCAGAAGAAAAGGTCGGTTTTGTTCCCTGCTGCCCCCACTGTTCACTTCAATTAACGTCTTGGGATAATCTTTACTAGTGCCTTACTTATCGCTTGAACAAACTCGGAATATCATTGACCGATGTCTATCTTCATATCTTCGATCGTTTTTAGAGGAAAAAAAAGAGCGGGATTCAGTCGCTACGCCCCCAATTTCAAGGATGCGCGGCGTCTCTGACGAGACAAAGTCCTATGGCGCCAGCCAATGCAATTCGCGGACTCCATCATGCTCTCCATTGTCTACCTTGGAAACATCACGTTCCCCTGGTTCTCATACTCCTATCTCACGAGTTTCTTCATCGGGAAATCTGAGGTTTTTGGGAGGGGATATCCAAGGAATGTCTCTGTCAGATACAGACAAGCCGTCAGGGTACAGTGATCACATCCACAGATCAGATAGTTTGACTTTACCGGCTGGGAGACGTACCCGTTCACAGTCAAGTCAATCTCCCCGCGGCAACGAAATTGGGTTGAGTGCAAGTCGGTCAGCGTCGATATTTCGTCCCCTGGAAAACTATATCATGGCTTCGTTTAATGGTTGTGATACTATAAACTCGTCCTTTTCGACAGTGAGGACAAATCGGCCTCGAACGGCATCTGACGGAAACCAACCCTCAACAAACCTTCCTGCAGATACAGCCTCTGATCTTTTGGCAAACGCACCCATTTTTCAACTAGACGCAAAAACTCTTTTGCTTAGTGATGTTGTAGAGAATGGTTCCTGGTGGACTGGAAATCGTACCCATGGCACTCGTTCAAGTGATGACTACGCAAGGGACAAAACTTTCGAAATGGCCAGCGGATTAACTAGCACAAAGACCCCACGTATAAATTGGGCTGAACTTGCCGAATGGTATCAAGAGATCATCCATGCTGGGGAATCATGGATTCAAATGTGGGCAGAAATGAAGCCTGATGGAACTGACAGTCCGGGGAAACTAGCGCTAGCCCAATTGTGGGACACTACAGATGTTTCTCTTCTAGATAAGGAAATTACGGAATCGCGAATCCATGCCCAGGTCACCCTGCTTAAAGTTACGGAGAATCTACTGCAGAGACCGAGACGTCCTTTAAGGCGGCCGGACGATATCCGGTTCCTTTTAATCTTACTTGAGAATCCATTATTATATTCTTCGAGCCTGCGCATAAACCCAGAATCAGCACCGATTTCTAAGACTCAGAGAAAGCCTGATCACCACATCCCTGAAGATCGTAAGGGCACTTTGGGAGACAACAAAAAATCTCACCACCGCTCTCGTTCAGCTTCAATGGGTACATCCAGCGAAGTACCAGACCGGCGCCCTCTTATTATCAAGCGGATCATAGGCATACTCTCGAATTTGCCTGTTGACTGTCATCACATGCTGGTTTCCTGGTTTTCTAGATTTTCAGAAAGCCATTTCCGCCGTATTGTGGAGCTCATCGGTAGTTTTGTCACTTATCGCTTAACTAGGGATCAAAAACGACGTCGAGGCAATGTGGGCAAACACAGGAATGAAGATAATTTAGATGATTACGTCCCCACATTTTCATCTGCTGGCAACACCACTCCGGCTCAACTTCACTCTGCTATTAATAGAGAAAACCCCCCGAAACTTTCTCCTGGAAGCCCACAGGCTCTTACTTATAGCAAAGACTGGCAAATCAAAGCAGCAGCAAAAGTTATGGCACTGTTATTCTCAGCAAACAGTGTGACCCACAACCGGAGGTGCGATGGACCACGACCTGGTGGAGAAGAAATATCGAGACTCGATGGTCAGGGTCGTAGACACCTTATTCCCATTAGCGCATTCTACAACACACTCTTGGATTACTCTGACCTTATTGCGGACTTTGAGGCTTGGGAGGGCCGTAATGGTCAATTTTCATTTTGTCAATACTCTTTTTTCCTAAGCATCTGGGCAAAAATACGGATTCTCGAACACGATGCCCGGCGGCAAATGGAGGAGAAAGCGCGGGAAGCTTTTTTCGACAGTATTTTGGGTCGCCGCGGCGTAAGCCAATATTTGGTGTTGAAGGTGCGGAGAGAATGTCTGGCAGAAGACAGCCTCCGCAGTGTCAGTGAGGTAGTTGGCACCGGCCAAGGGGAAATTAAGAAGGGCTTACGGATTGAATTTCTCGGCGAGGAGGGTGTTGATGCTGGCGGCCTTCGTAAAGAGTGGTTTCTTCTTCTGGTTCGAGAAATTTTTGATCCTCTTCATGGTTTGTTGCTTCCAAAGCTTTTGCCCTTCCATAAATAACTGGAGCTGATTTAATTGGTTAGGGCTTTTTGTTTATGACGAGCAATCACAATACTGTTATTTCAACCCTTACTGTTTCGAATCATCAGAACAGTTCTTCTTAGTGGGCGTGCTCCTGGGCTTGGCCATATACAATTCAACCATTCTCGACATCGCTTTGCCGCCATTTGCCTTTAGAAAGCTCCTTGCGTGTGCACCACCGAATAACGTGCCAGCCTTATCCACTCCCCAGCAGAGCTTCAAATGTACTTTAGATGACCTGGCAGAATATCAACCTGCTCTCGCAAAAGGTCTGCGCGATTTACTTAATTACGAAGGCGATGTACAGGAAACTTTTTGCCTGGATTTCGTGGTCCAGATAGAACGATACGGAGAGAGACTTGTGATTCCACTACGTCCTGGTGGAGAAACGAGACCGGTTACTAACTCTAACCGCCGAGAATATGTTGACCTTTATGTCAAGTATCTCCTAGACACTGCAGTGTCACGTCAGTTTGAACCCTTCAAACGAGGGTTTTTCACCATCTGCGAAGGGAATGCGTTGCACCTTTTCCGTCCAGAAGAGATTGAGCTCCTTGTTCGCGGTTCGGATGAAGCCTTAGATATCCCATCGTTACAGGCTGTGGCGGTTTATGAACACTGGCATACAGATCACCCTGAAAAAGAGCCAGTGGTGACTTGGTTCTGGGACTTTTTCTCCCGGGTCTCACCCCGGGATCAGCGCAAAATACTCAGTTTCATTACTGGTAGCGACCGTATACCTGCTATGGGGGCAACGAATCTTTCAATCCGTCTTGTGTGCCTGGGGCAAGATTCAGATAGGTTCCCAACTGCGAGGACATGTTTCAATCTCATTTCCCTATATCGTTACAAAAGCCGAGAGAAGCTGGAACAGAAACTGTGGCGCGCTGTAGTGGACAGCGAAGGTTTTGGATTAAAATAACAGATTAAAAAATATCCATGGTTTCACTCTATTTTTACAACCCCAATGGGACCTTTTTTTTTAAATGGCTTACCTCCCAGTTTCCAGGGCCTGCATGATTTCGTCCTTATTGTGGCTTTTTGAAGCCTATTTATTGTTAACCCATGTTTTCCTTGACGCTTTTTTTTTTTTTTTTTTTTTTTTTTTTTTTTTTTTTGATCACCCTTCAGCGGTTTAGCTCAATCTTTCTTCCGCTGTTCTTATATTCTTTAGTTTATTCGATTTCGTGTGCATTGGGGCAACGCGTGGAGTTATTACGCATTGTCAAGGCTTTGTCCGTTCTTTGCTCTGAGCCTGTTGGGATTGATTTACCCTTCCTTCTATTCTTTGGTCCTCATCATGAGGATATGAGCACAAATTGTTTAGCGTTGGTGTTCTGATATGGGTTGATAGATTGGGAAAGAAGTGATATCCTTGCTTTTGCTTTTGCTTTTGCTATTAGCTTTTCATTGTTTTCTTGCCCTGCCCCTTTTTTTTTAACCTTGTGTGTTCACTTTGGAGCACTTAAGAGCTATGATCGGGTTAGACGGCGAATGGCAGCACTTTTCGTCTTGCGCAATTAATCCTATTACTCGCCCAAGCTTGTCGCTCACCCTAGATACTATGGTCTGCTATCGACTACGGAAGCTTCCACGAGTGCCCAAAAAGTCTAAAACAAAGAACCGGGAAGCGCTTTCGATACCCGGGATACCAAGCGTGCGGATACAGATGGTACCTATGAGGGTATTCCCGACCCAACCCAGCTCTAGTAATGAATCTCGCGAATTGTCAATTGCCAAAAAAAATCTAGGGGTTAGACTTGTGATCAAGGTGAAACGTTGGATTTTTTTTCCAATTAGGAATATAATAAGAACGACAACCTTTTGTTTATTTCAGGTACTCAATTCTTAATTCCCTGTAGGCAGTTGCTATTTTATTTACCGCAGTAGCCGGCCGGGTATTACGCCGGCTATGTTAGCTGAAAAAAAAATTTAAGCTACAATGCCTATCAGCCACCGTTTGCCGAGATCATTGCTGGTTGAATGTTGAGGGCCTAAAAGAGACAGAATGAATTCGCGGGACGGCAACACGAGCAGAGCTATGTATAATGATCCCAGGATCCATCCTTGATTATGGAGTTTGGACACACCCATGCACTTGGACTAGAGTTGTGTTTTAACCTTTTTCTTCGGCCTCAACGCAGGTAGGGCGAGGACCGAGACCGACCGCAAGATCCCCCAAGATAGCTGTCAAGCTCGATAGGTGATTATATGTACTGTACCGGTGTGAGGGGGGTTGGTTTTAAATCGAAGCTAGCGAAGGTCAGGTGGCTCCAAAGAAATTTTCTCCATATTATAAACTAGTTATTTGTATATTTTTTCGTGTATCCGTTAAGTTTTGGCGAACTAGATCCCAGAGGCATTCCTAAGCTTTCATCTAGATTTTCCTGGATTTTTTGTTCCTGCCACTAAGAGCTGCGGTGATGATGGATGCATTTTCCAACCGTCCGCCAAAGCCTTTAATTCTCTGAACGCAAGAGCACGGAAGGGCAGTGTTGATTGATGTCATCACTATAATTCCGTTTGGATCTCCGGCAGTGCAGGCAGGTTAGGACGGGGATTTCCATCGCCGCTTTAACTGCGCTTGGAGGGGCAGTTCAAATCCGAAGGAGGTCATCATTTAGGCGGCGATGAGAACAAAAGAGTTTTCGGTGGCAGGGTGGTTTTTTTTTTTTTTTTTTTTTTTTTTTTTTTTTTTTTTTTTTAAATTATTTATTTATCTATTATTTATCTATTTTTTTGTTTTAAAAAAGGAGACAAAACAAAGGGATCAAGCTTTCTCGGCTGGTAATCTGATATGCGAAGGCCAGAAATCGCAAGGCCTTAGTCGGTATATGCTGATCGAATAATTTGGCGCAGGGTTTTAAAAAACCGCTTCAAATACGGGGTTATGTGTGGTTAAAGATTGAAACGCAGGGTGCTTACTACTATCAATGCTTCCCCGCCTGTCGTCTTGGTTCTTTATCCACAATTGACTCCATAGCTGACAAGAATCCTTGTAGGTAAACCCTGCCCTCAGACCCAGGGACATTGCTTCGGAGCCCCAATCATTAACACCACGAGCACTGATGGCACTCGCCAACTAACAGCCCTCTCCCGCGTGGTGTACCTGGTGGAAAAGACGGAGCTTTCGTATGTCATTTGACTGAGACAGAGGGTATCGAAATCAATTGGAATTGGTTCCTATAAACCTTCCAAATCCAAAGAAAACACGGCCAGTTGAAGCTTTCGTGCCATATGGAATCGCCGAGGCAAGGCTCACAGAGCCAAAAAAATAAATTACAGCTTCACCGAGATGTTGAACGTACCCCAGGTGAAAATCGCTCAACATAATGTAAATTACGCTGTATTGATGACGAGACCTGCTAATTTTTTAGCGGCTAAGTTCACTTCAGTACCTGGCGATGAGCCAACGACCCGCCCCTCTCAACAAGCTGGTCCAGCCATGATGACTTTGATTTCGGGCAGACCTTTCTTACCTCGACTTACTCATCACTTCACCAATTCTTTAAAACTACCCTCATTCCTCCTTTTCCTCTCCTCTCACTTTTCACTCTTTGCATACTCTAATCTTCATCTCACGGCTCAGAATCCCTAGGTATGTCCGCAATTAAGACGATACTAGATGACGGCGAACTCAACTAGCACTTGTAATTGACACTAGATCAAGTAGTGACCTCTCTCAGACAAAATGGCTGCTCAAATCCCCAAGAGTATGAAGGCACTCCAGTCAGTATGGTTCCATTTAGCTCTCATCACTCACCAAAGCGATCCGATCCCTAGTGGGGCTTACCCTTCGAGAAGATCGTGTGGAAGCGATTGATCGAACTTTCCTCCTTCGTCGTTTGCTAACAATGTTTTCAAATTTTCGAGTTTAGGTACTCCAAGGAAGAGGAGTTCGGAATCGTCAATATCCCTGTCCCAACCCTACGTGAGAATGATGTCCTGGTAGGAAGCCACTTGCGAAATCCTTTCATTGCATTCGATATTCGATATGTCTTGTCATTGGTGTTGAGTATTCTTTTTAATTCTTCCGACTCCGCATTTTCTAGATTAAAGTCAAGGCCTGTGGTGTCTGCGGCACAGACCTCCATATCCACGAAGGAGAATTCCTTGCAAAGGTAAGCTCAGAATCTCCCCACTAGATTTGGAGATTTTGAAGTATATTTCGCCGTATGTTCGGGAAGCTAATTTAGTGACATGCATAGTTCCCTTTGGTTCCTGGTATGACACATATTTTGGCTCAAATTTCTCTCAACCCTTGGATTTCAAATGCTGAATCTCAGCAAATCAGGACATGAAACTGTTGGTGTAGTCGCTGCCTACGGCCCCAAGGTCGAAGGTTTCAATGTTGGTGACCGAGTCGTCGCCGATAACTCAGAGACCTGCGGATCGTGCTTCTACTGCCGACGGGGGGAGGAGCTTCTCTGCGAGCACATCAAACTTCACGGTGTGACAATGAACGGAGGTTTCGCTGAATATTGTGCCTATCCAGGTAAGATAAAGTTCCCAACTGCTGAAGACACCCGGTAGTTTAATAAAAGGGGAAAAACGGCTCCTGACATTCTCTGCGTGCTTTTAGCTGGTCGGGTATTTAAGATCAAAAACCTTTCTGATATTGATGCCACGTTGCTTGAACCGGCATCATGTGCTGCACATGGTGTCGATAAGATTGCTCCCAAGATGGGCTCGACAGTCCTTATGTTTGGCGCTGGGCCGACTGGTCTCGTAAGTCTTCACTGATGTCTGAGGAAAGTACAATCTTTCCCCTGACCTATTTTCTCATCGATCTTTCTGCTAGGTCCTTGCCCAAATGCTCCGACTGAACGGCGGCTGCAAAGTCGTAATTGCTGCGCCAGAGGGCCTCAAAATGAATCTGGCCAAGTCTCTCAACGCCGGTGATGAATACATTGCACTCTCACGCAAAGATCCTAGCGCCCAATTCGCCAAACTGAAAGCGGATAACCCATATGGATTCGACATTGTCGTCGAGGCCACCGGTAGTGTCAAGATTCTGGAAGATGCCATCAACTATTGCCGCCGCGGTGGTAAGCTCGTTGTGTACGGGGTGTACGCCCACGCTGACCGCGTTTCGTGGCCACCTTCAAAGATCTGTACGTCTTTTCGTTTTTCCCCTATTTTTTAAATATACTTCTAGCTTGGTTAGCGTTTGGCTGATGGCTGACTCCCCTTCAGTCGGCGACGAAATTACTATTCTTGGAAGCTTCAGTGAAACTTACAAATTCCCTGCTGCTATCGATTACCTTGATACCGGCAAAGTTAAAGTTAACGGAATTGTGAACAAGGTCTTCAAGCTCGAACAATGGGCTGAATGCTTAGAGTCAATGAGGAATAAATCCGCTATTAAGGCTGCTATCACCTTCGATTAAGATGATATCCCGGCTGCACATTTTGTTATGAAATCTTTTCGAAATTCTTCCTTGATTGGTGCGGTTCATCGTTTAATTGAACGGGCTATGGAAATGTATAGTTCCTTTGGATACTGAGTATAGGTTAGGCGGCTAATTTAATTTTTTTTCAAAAGGTACCATAGATATTCGTAGAATAATCGTTCAAAGTGGAAATAAGTATATATCTTCGGCAGATGGTCATTCATTTCGCACATTTTATCAATCCTGGCGTTGGGGAACTTTTAAGTAAGCTCGAATTTAAGGACCTTGGGCGAAAATACCAGGGTAAGTTTTCGATATGGAACGAGCAGACCTGGCGTATATGAGTGATTCCCAAACCGTTCACTGTTAATTTAATTGTTGTTCCATGTGTCATATCTATAGTTGGCAGAGGAGGGAGCTTAGTCGTATCGCACACGTACTGTCAACGTACTGAGTCGGTCCTGTTAACCTAATCAAGTGAGTGACTCTCAATGGACCGAAAGACAACGGGAGAACGAAAAACCACACGTACTGCAATACGTAGCCGGCAGATGCTCAGGCGATAGGTACCACATCCGGCATTATTGTGAACTTCTTTTGAGTTAGTGGTCTTCCACTTGTCTTTGTAGTGTTTCCTCTCGTTCCCCCAAAAGTTAGAGAGCAAATGGAAAATAGATAACACGCTAAATGGAGCGAATGCTGTCATCTCTTTTGAGAAATTTTCGGACACGCATATCAACTTCCTGGCAGCCGAACTTGGTAAAAAGTGGATAAAACGTTTATGACAATTTGTGGTATCGACTTGGCTATATTGTCAAATGTGAAAGCGGGGAAATATGACCTTGTGCCCAAGCTCCACGTGTAACACTGTTTGATGGTCGTGCATGTCCCAAATTCTATCATACACACCGGCAGGGAATTCGGGAAGCTTCAACGGTTAGAGGTGAAAACAGAGATTTGTGATAGCTATTAGTCGCTTCTAAGCGTATGAAGGCAGCGTTTGATCTTCCAATCGTCTGCGGAGTACAACCACAGCATATGTGCGTGCCCAATATATTGAATTATCCTTTCGAGATTGCCAAAATCTCGACAGCATGCCCACGATACATGTGCACAACATCTATCCGGAAATTCCCAACCGGAAAGGGCCTTCCTAATCGATATGCTTGTGCTACTGTTCGATTGGAGCTGAGTCGGGTATTTCATTGCAAACCAAGACCAGTGCTCCGTAGCACAGGGCTGTGTGGGTGCTGACGAGTGTTGAATGGTCTTACCAATTTCTTGCCAGCCTGAATGGAGTCTGGGAAATTGGGCAACTCATCGAAGCCATGCCCGCACACTCCCATACCCAACTCTTCCGTGGAACGGTTGTTGGATTCAGGCACAAACCGAAAATGTCCCACGGGCGGTTGTGATAAGGTTTTGCAGCAGCAGTGGCCCAAGCTTCTGAGACTGAAAAGAGTTTAAATCAAAACAGGTTAGTGGCGAACAGATTCCAGACCTGCAAATACCCACGCTTTGAAAATCGCAGAAGAAAAATCGAGGATAACAAAAACAGCCCAAATAAAACGATACAATGGTCAAACCACTATCCTTCAAAGGCGATAAAAAGCCCAAGAAGCGTAAGCGCCACCAGACCGATACCGATCCCAATGACGAATTTTCGGCCCGACGCCCAGTCCCTTCAGACAAGTCCAAGGGGGTTCCTGAAGAGGCTCTTGCCGCGGACGAGGATCAAAATTGGCTCTCTGCGGACGTTCCGACAGACATTCTTGGTCCAGTTGTTATAGTATTACCGTCGAGTCCACCCACATGCATCGCATGCGATGGTAATGGGAAAGTGTTTGCTCAAGAAATAGAAAACCTAATAGAAGGAGACCCGGCGACAGCGGAACCGCATGACGTGCGACAAGTGTGGGTTGCTACGAGAGTGGCTGGCGCTGAAGGCATCAATTTCAAGGGACATCATGGCCGGTGAGTTATCCCTCATCTTTTGATGCTCTCATCGAATCCTGAGGCAGGGGATGGTTTTGGGGCTTGAATTTCCAGGGAATCTGGCTAATCACTCAACGGCTTTATAGGTATTTAAGTTGCGACAAATATGGAATATTAAGCGCAAACGCTCCCGCCGTATCCGCTTGCGAATCTTTCGTCCCAATTCCCTCTTCCGATTTACCTAGCACATTCTCTTTCCAGGTGGCAGGTGGCGATAGGGAAGCCTTCCTATCCATAAAGGAGTCTGGAGGCTCTTCCGTGTCTGCTTCTGCGTTAACGGTCGAAATCCGTGGCGATGCATCAAGTATCTCATTCAACACTACATGCCGCGTCCGTATGCAGGCTCGTTTCAAGCCGAAGCTCAAGGCATCCAAAGAGTCCAAAGCGTTGGAGAAAATCAGCCGTAAGGAATTGGAAGCTGCAGTCGGGAGAAGATTAGAAGACCACGAAGTGAAAAGACTGAAAAAAGCGAGAAAGGAAGGCTCCTATCATGAGGCGATCCTGAACGCTAGAGTTAAGGGAAAACACGATAAATTTGCCTCATGATGCGGGCTTTGTCCCCTCTACCACTTTATCGTACGAGCCGGATTTCCTCAACCAGGCCAATCCGCTCGTGTGTTTTCTCATCGCTTTAACGAAATATTGAGAGTCCGCTCTTCGTCCCGTACAAGAAATTGCGACTTGAAGGATATCTTGCATGAGTATATCTCTTTCAGGATAGCATTTGTTTTCGCTAAGTCGGGTTTACGTGAATCTACATGTTTGTCCGTCGGGTACATCCCATGCCACTTTACGCTTCTGAGTTTGGCTCTGGATCTAGATACTATACCCCATCCTATCGGAGATCATGCTGTCGGACCATATGACTTACCTTGGTCGAATTGCTGAGAGGGACTATACTCAAAACACATGTTATGGCGAGTAGGATGGAGATTTTGATGCGCCCCTTATTCAGAAATCTTTACCTCAGTCTCCTGTACGCAGGGACTTCGTCCTCCTGGTTCAACGGATTTAGCTGTTAGGGGCATCTGCATGGGCCCTGATGGGGGCAGATATCCCTGCCCCTCTCCTGGTTTAAATACCATCGCCCAAAAATGATAAACAATGAAATGCTTACAATATAGAACTATTATACATTATCATTCCACAGTTCCATATACATTTACCAAACTCCTCAAGGGAATATAAATAAATAATAAAATCTCCAAGTATGACTCACACGCATGTAGAAGCTACGCTTCCGTCCTTCCGCAAAACGAGCATTGAGAATCTGGGTATTTAAGAATTCGGTATAGGGTGAGTTATGTAAAAGGGTAAAGAAGGGGTACAACTTCAGGGAAATAGGCTAAAGAGAAGAAAAGAAAAGAAAAGAAAAGAAAATATGTAAAAGAAACTTGCAGATAGCAAAGAACAAGCAGGTATGCACAGATATATGCTTAAGAACGGGTATATTAATGGTGCTCAAAGTATTCAACTACCATCGAGAGATTAAACAAAAGTTCGGGGGTATCACGCTTAGCAGCTCTCTGTAAATCGGACTCATGCAAAATGAAAATCAAATTAGTTATCAAAAAAATTCGTTTGGTAAGCTTATCGTGAGCTGTCCAAGTATGGCAAAAAGCACGCTGGCATTTAGGCTACCGTATTTCTGGAAACAATAGATGAAGCAACTTGAGCACTACAAAAACACGAATGAGCACGAACGCATTTAGCGCAGACAGAACCAACCCAAGGGCATATAGGTAGGGAGGAGGTAGTTACAGGTTGTGAGGATTTTGGCTGGACTTACATTTTGACCGAGAAGCGTCCTGCGCTCTCTCCTCGTCTGCAATAATAGGTCGATCACCCAGCATCGCCATAGCTCTCCTACGCATTTCTTCCTGTCGCTCCCTTGAGAATCTATCTCTTGTAGGAGGTGGCACGGTGGCGTGGGTGCTAGCTCTCGTCTGCCTGAGCACATCAACAATGGAATTTCGGAGACTGCTAACGCGAGGCTCAGTGGCAGCCCCAAGCGGCGCCAACTGGTTTCCGTTACCCAAGGCAGTGGGCTCTGTCGTGCGATAGCCAGCGTTACCATTTTCTGCCGTTTGCGCTTGCACTGGACGAATTCTTCGAGCGAGTCGTTCCTGACGTACCATAACACGGGTTATTTTTGTGGGGCAATAGCCACGGGGTAGTACGCTTTTTTTGCAAACTGGACAAAGGCTACTATTTTGCAAGAGGAAATTATCTATACATTCGGGATGAAAAATGTGCTGACATGGAAGTTCGCGGACTGTGGTTTCACCCCAATCGTAGTCGTCTAGACAGATTGGACATGTTGTTTGTGAAAAGGTAGGTTGAGCATGGCGTTGCTGGTTGCTATCAGACGTCGTGGTTTGCGACCTTGGAGATGGTGGAGGCGGAGCCGATGATGGAGATGGTGATTTACGCGGAAAGACGGTTTGTGATACCCGTGAAATCCACACCCAATCCGACATAGCTTGAAGAAAACTCTTCTTATCTAATGGTAATTTGGAATGTCCTTCGGGTTCTAGCATCGTTTCCGCAGTCGGAGGTATGAAATGCTCAATTCTACTTGACCCATCGCAGATATAGAGGGGCATTTTATCCAGGATATCTTGCGGGACGTTCAGCCGCTTAATACCCAGGATCTCCAGATCAACTTCTCCCGCTGCGACTCTCCTTTCCAAGGAACGCAGCTGGCGAGTTTGAATGAGCCGCATGCCGAGGGATAAAAGAATAGCAACACAAATTAGAATCGCTACGACAGCCAAGAGGAAAATCCAAAGGCTTGGGAGGTCATCGCTAGGACTTTCTAAATGGACAGGTCAGCAAATTGCTTCTACAGACTCACGTTGGATGTAGAACCAATAGCTTACTTAGCGCAATTTTTGAGGATACCCGAATCAGCTCGTCGCCCCGCAATGTCCTCAGAAGGTCATCTGCGAAGGGGGCATCGGCTAAATTCCCAGAATACTCACTTAGTGCGTGCATTAGAGTGGCACCGTATAAGCCAGGGATCGCGTAAACGGGGTAAAAACTCATATTCTTCCACGCGCCATCGTCTCCTAAATCCCAGACCGGATGATTATCTGGAGGAGGGGTAGTAGTCGACGCATCCGGAAGATAAAAAACCGCAGCTTCGGGAGGGTTTCGGGACTGTACTGCCAAGAAAGATATGGTACATGCAGAAGAGACCCAAGGAGCAATGGCTATAAAGTTTCTTGTACCATTAAGATCAGATAGGCGAGTCACATTGGCCGGTATGTAACTAGCCGTTGTTTGTTGGCATGGATCCTTGGAGTCAAGCTCTGGGACGTAGAGCAAGCCTCGGATGGCGTCGCCATTTCTGACGTTTGTTGTTGATAGAGTCTGGACCTTATCACCTATACTGAGCGCAAAGGAAATGCTCGGCTGGTGGATTTTGCAGGAATAGTCAGCATGTAGCTGTAGAGGTTGTCTCTAAAGACTGGATAGGGGCAGAAATATTCTTCTCACATTGACCTGCACCGTCCCTGTGAACGGCAAACTATCTACTGGTGGGATAGCGAGGACTACAGCATCGAAAGCGTTTGCAGCTAGGACAGCATATCAGCAAAGCTGTGTCAAGTTATTCCCCTGAACAATATGATTTGGCAAAGCTGGCTCGGATGAACCTCTTCTAGTCTTCCATAACTGGATGTGATTTGGAGGAGCCGTACCCATTCTTTGTAAAAAATCTCATTCAATTCTGATGCTAATGGAAGTACGTATTAAAAACCAAATTCCGAATAGTATCTCATAACGACCGCGAGCAAGGAAGAAAAACGAGAATATCGGCCGTCGTCAGGGGGGGGAATTGGTGGCTATAATTACCATGTACAAGGAAGAATGAAGATAATAATGGCCAACGTAATTGACGAACATAGATGCTTCATTCACCTCAGTTAACTGTGAGGCAGAGAAAAACATGCGGGGCTTTGGAAGTCATGGCGCTTTTTGGAGCCAGAGTGGACGTCAGAATCGGACAGGCAGTAACAGATGTAGTTACCGACTCAGGTCCACGGCTGCTTGTAGAAGTTGACAGCGTGGGCGAGACTTCTTCGTTTCCCTCGGAATCCCTCTCTAGTAAGGATGGGTTTGTCTAGAGTATGGAGCAGTCTTGTCTCTAGTATCATGAATCTATTGGCAATTGCTCGGTGATGTGGTCGTCGTACTTGTTACATGGGGGTGTTTCTGCTTGCTTGTCAGGTGTGCATTTCGCGTTGTCTAAGCTTCCCAAGCTCTAACAAATAAGCCACTTAGCCCCACCAGCTAGGAATTCTCCGCACTTCCTCCGCACCTATGCCGCATGTACCTACCGGCTTGGGTCATTCTAGTTCCTGTTAGTCCCAGACTAGGGCTTAAACTCGAGGTTTTGGCTTTCTGCGACGCCAAAATTTAATCCGCCTGCATCTGGATAACGATGCATGGACTTTCTCTGTTGACCTGGGACATCATCTGTTTCGCAGCTCTCCTGCACAGGGATTGTCGTGCTATTTCCGAATCATTTCTAAAACCAAAGGGGACACCGTGTTCCAGCCTATGGTTGCTGTCGCTTTAGCGAGATCTCGGACATTTGTATTTACCTCCGACATAAAAGGAGGTTCAGGTAAGTTAGTTAATCCCATAGGGCTCTCTGGTCATCACAGGTCTGTGGCCAACCACTAAGTGTAGGGAGCGTCTCGTAAACATCTTAATTTCATCTGGTGAAGCGGCGGGTAGGGGACTCGTGAAGATCAAACACTCTTCTTTCGGCTGACTGAAGATAAGCTTGCTCCTAAATTGAAAGTTTTAGATAAGACCAGCGGCATTTTAGACGCCGCTATAAGCCACTAACGGCGGGTGGAGATCAAAAGTAACTGACTTTCTTGAGGCGTCGAACGATGGAACTCCCCTGTAAAATCAGTTGGTCGACCAAATAGCAAATGTACACAGAAAACCAGCAGATCCGAGCCATCTCCAGGCTGAGGAAATAAGACATAAACACTAGTGTAAGTATTCAAGAAGGGAGATACATTCCAGTCCCGGGAACAACAGTTCACTTCGTTGAAAATACCATCAGCCATCAGATAACTCTTATGCGCCCGCCCAACGTACTGTACATAGGAGACCCTGCTACGATAATAAATATCATTAGTCAGAAGCTGATGCACAGGTCATGCAAGTTTCCCAGTGAGCAGTTTTTCTTGGAGGAGAAAATACAGGCATTGCATCTACAGAGCCTGAATGAGCTCAACGAGCCAATCTCTCTTACTGAACACTAGACAAAGATTGACAGAATCTCGATCTGGACAGGAGGCGTCATTCCAATGGTTTTACCAGAATGTATGACAAGCTGTTGTATTAACAAAATACAACGCATAGTCCCCAGCTGCCATCTGTGGCAATGTTGAAACTTGAGCAATTAATGGATTAAGTGTGGAGGTTGGACGGATTTGTTAATTCGATGCAGTAAAGCGGTTAAAAGATCAAGAGCACACTGCTTCATGGAGGCTCCCCTATACTTCCTATTGAGGACTAGCGTACTACCCTTCCAAAACCGACATAGTTGCCAAGACATTCTATGGGGTGCTCGACACGTGATATAAATCAGTCCACCCGCCGTTTCGTTTTCTAGGGTTTCCGGGTTCCGCAGGAGTTCCCAAGGTCGGCTAGGATATGGCGAAAGGATACGTGTGAAAACGCACGGCACAGAAATATAAATCGAAACAAGTCGCTATCACTAAATGAAAGCCGTTAAGGGATCCTGCGTGAAATACGATCCTGTCTCCTACAGGTTTGTCCTAGTCCATTCTGCTCCAACACAACGTTTTGATATCGCCCTTCTCTTCCTGGGCCGTGCGGAAATTTTGATGCGAATGCTAATTTGAACACCTAGGAAATCTCCTAGAGTTAGATGATGCAGTCATCGTCTTTCGAAGTAATCCAAGAAATTTGCATACCATAGGTAACCAATCGCTGTTCCACTCCCTGCCCTTTCCCGGGTAGTCAACCTCCACGGAGTACTATCGAAATATGCCTCCCCCGCTTGCGAACAAAAGCAAAGGAAAGGGCCGCGAAGTGAGGCGGTCCCGCAGCCGTAACACAACTCCTAGTTCCGCCAGCACTAATACTGTCACGGGAATCGGATATCTGGACAACGATGTTTCAAAAATCCTAGTGCCGACGTCAGTACAGTATTCCGATATCCTTGACAAGTTAGGAGGAAGTGGCCATATTCCAGAACCGAAAGCACTTGAGTCATTGGTGGAGCATCTAAAGACCCTCAGTCAGCTTGCTGAGACGAGAGGTGAGGCATGTAATGCTGGAATAAGGGAAATATCACAGAAACGCAAGGAAGTTCTTGAGGAGTTGAGGGAACGCGAACAACTTGATCGAGATGCAGAAGAAAGGCTGAGAATGAAGAGAGAAGCAGACGATGACGAGGATGTTGGCCGAGTCTCGAAAGGAGGAAAGCTTAAAAAGAGGAAGGATAGAGGAATTGTCAGGGACGAGAGACCTTTATCAAACGAGGCCCATGGAGTAGCCAAGCAGGATGGAATGGATTTGAAGACAGACAGTAAGCAAACGTTTTCCCATATCATGATCACAACCATGCTGCCTTTTGTTTCACTTCTGGTCTCTGTGAACAGCAACAACACAGTTTGTTTTCATTCACCATATCCCATCTTAAACCATTTTTGAATTCTAGCTTTTAGCGATCTTCAATCTAATGGATATTTAGTTCCCCATCGTCGCGGTGGGAAAGATTCGTTTATTATGACTTCACCTAACTCTAAGAAAGCATAAAATATCGTATCCAGTACTTCTTCTTTATCGCCCTCACTATCTCCTGCTGCCACTGGTTCTGGGGACTAGCTCTCTACTGCTGACTCGCCTAATTCGACGGATAGCTCAGATTCTCAGCAGCCTGAACCTACCCCTCCTATTCCGCAGTATCAAGTGTTCGGACCAAACCCTCTCGCGTTCGATGATCCCACTATCTATCACATACGAGATGTTACCCCTGGAATGACAGACGATGAGAAACGTGAGATTTACAGTGTAGCGCAGTTTCCAAAGAGTGACCTCAGCCATATGATGACAGGAACTCCTCCAGACAAAGATTTCAGCAATGCAAAGCCTACTAATCAAGTCAGCGCCAACACATTCGCCACCTATATTGAACCCTATGTTCGTCCTCTTACGGAGGAAGACATTGCATTTCTCAAAGAGAGGGTAAGTGCACCGTTATGGATGGTAATTTTTGTGACTACAAACTAAAATCTCTAACACAGGGTGACCGGACGACTCCCTTCCTCTTGCCGCGCAGAGGTAAAAAACACTACACTGAGATCTGGGCTGAAGAGGATGGGTCAGTCAACGTCGATTCCACTGCTCAAGATCGAGAACAGCTTCCATTAAACCAAGGTCGAAGTGGCATCGATCAGATGACAGATGAAATTGCAGAAACCGATCAAATTTCTGCTCCTCCCCTAGTCAGCCGTCTGTACTCTCTGCTTCGTTTCGAACATCGCACTCTTCCGGAGGAAAACACTGCTGGGACTGCTTCGAACAATGAGGATACCAACATGAACGGCATCGTGAATGGGGACACAATGGACATAGACAGTCTTATAGGTGGTGTAGAACCCGAAACCAAACCCCTTAATTCTGCGACAACCTTTGTGGATGCTTCCCCAAACGGCTTCAAGATCCCAGCAGCCAAGCTGGAACACGGGCAGCTGGACGAGCGACTGAAAGCTGAACTCCGCTACGTTGGAATTTTTGGCCAGGATGATAACCCAGACTACGACGCACACTACGACGATGACATCGCTGAACGCTTGCGTCTCTTGCAAGCTGAGTTGAAGAAGCAAATGATTGCCAACGGTGCGCGCAAGGCCCGTCTACTTGAAATCGCTCGCGAACGCCTGGCATACCAGGAGTATAGCACGATTCACGAAGACCTTGATTCTCAAGTCCAGCAGGCATACCTTAAACGTACACGCACGCTTGGCAAAAGCAAAAAGGGCTCGCAGGCTAAACACAAACCTGGTGGTGCGGGAGGTGGCAGCCATCCTGTCGCGCCCAATGCGTCAGGAGCGGGTGTGAGCAGACCCGGAATTGGCGATGTGGCCCGTACGCTGATGGATCGTCGGAAGCGTTGGTCAGATTGCATTGGCCCCGTATTCAAAGATTGCAAAACAACAGTCCCCGGAAAAGATGAAAGTATTTTTGACCCCGCAGTTATGGAGGAATATGAGAAAGCGGAGTTGGAGGGGTGGGATGAGGAACAGGAATAAACGATGTATGAAAATTCTCTCGCTTCTGCTTGCTACTCCGATATCTAAGGTTTCCTATTTCATCAAGGAGGCATGCTGTGGATTGGGTATTATTTTATGTTGCTTGTAGCAATCGTTCATGGTTTCCTTGTTTTCTTTCTACTTCATGATTTTTTGTCTGTTTATACCCGGAGTTAGCATATTCAGGGCATGGCTTTAGGGCGGAAATGATTTTAGGCGCACTGTCAAATCAGGGAATAACGGTTGGGGGTATGTAAGAGTTTATTTGGGGTTTCAAATGCTATTCATATTTTGTTGCAAGCGATCTCAATCTTTTATTTATTCTTCTATTCCTTGATGTGCCTTGACACTCAGTCTAGTCATTATGCTTGTCCATACATTCATCGTCCTTCCCTTCGTGATACGCATTTTGAAGAGCTGAGAGTTACGGTGTTGGAATCCTTACCGAAAAGCAAGCATGTCTCCAACATTGCCTAAGGATCTGGGTATATGAAACACACCTATGGTGATGGCAAATCGCCCAAGCTTAGCATAAGTGTCTAGTACCTTTCCAAAAATATCAGGAAACAGTAACAACGAACACCATAAAATATATCCCATCTACCGGTCAATAATTTGCACTTCAAACGGATACCTCCTTAACCGATCCGTGAGTTCCTTCTCGCTGATTTCCAGCTCCGTACATATCTGATCGAAGCAGTGGGCTCCATCGAGATAACTCCCCAGCGTTTTATCATCAATCCCGACCTCCTCGTCGTCTCCTAAAGCGTAATCATCATCCCTATCGTCCTCAATGGCGCTGTCGTCATTAATAGGCGAAAGTGTCGCGGAATGACCCCCATCTCGCGAGCTAATTGATCGACGACTTTGCGAGGACAAACGGCGCCCTCCTAAGTCTGGGCCACTGCTGACAACAAAAGATGAGGAAGCCGTGGAAGCAAGGCCAGGCCTGTGTTGTCTTGTTTGCTGAGTTAGATATCCTGTTGCATAGGCGTACTTATGGACGCGATACAGGAAGCCCTTTATGACGCCAAATGTTATGAATCGTCTTAAATCAATGTTAGCAAGTTCGTGGATGTGCTCGATATAAAACTGCTTGACAGTCTTTCCCTGTCTAAGGCTGGCGTAAAGCTCAATTAAGCCGACTCCGTCAACGATACCAGCGCTTTTGTTGCCAGTGCCAGAGTTAGCGACCAAAGGCCATATTTCATCATGGTCTACCTCACTGCAAGCCTTCTGTCTGTTTCGAGAACTAGATGATAAGGCAGATTGGGTAGATGGGTTCACAGTTGGTGGCGCAGTTATGCTTGGGGTGGGAGCAAAACGAGTATTTACATATCTTGCGCATTCACGTTGCATATCTTCGTCTATTGCAATGGTTGAACCAAACTGTGCCGTTGGGGCGTATATTGCCGAGAATGAGAAAATGTCTAGGAGAAATATGCAGCCGTAGTAGATCAAATGCCGGATCGCGCTACATGTCAGAGAGAAGTCCGTATCCGCAAGTACCGAAATTATGCGAACACTGTTAACCCCGTTGATAAAAGGTACAACCTAGAAAATGAGTTAAGAATTGTTCTCCCGAGAAGATAGCCCATGACAGGTCAACTGCAATAAAACTTACTCTCTGCATTGTAAGATCCCAGTTTTCATCCATAAAAGCTTCGTATCGAACAGTAAATAGCGGTACGTGCCAAGCTTTGACGATAGGTGGTGAGGGATAAATAGGAAATAACTTGATATTCAGAGTGTTGAGTTCATCTGATGACCGGTGGTATCAGTCAACGATCGCACATTTAAAGGGGCTAAAGTAAGCTGCTCGGAACTAGAGGAGATAGCATTCGTAAATGTAGAGAAGATAGCGTACCAATCGGAATCATACACTCGCAATAATTATTCAAATCTTCCATCAACGTCTCACACAAACTGTAAACCTTGCCCTCTCCACCTTTAGAGAAATCTTTCGACAAAAATCCGGACTGCTCCTCCAGCCCGCACATAAGATCCGCCAGCTTCTGCACCACGCTTTTGAAAGTGCCAAATTCCTCATCTTCCGCCAACACGATGCAGAAGTTGAAAATGAACTCGTTTCGGTCGTATTTCGGGGAGGTCATGCAGACAGGGGAGCCAAGAATACGATATCCACCGGAACATACGTGAATTAGGTTACCGCATAGTTCCTGCCGCGGAATCACAAAGAAGGATATGTCAGAGAAAGCAATTAGGGGTGATTGGTTCGGAGGCGCTGTCGGGGACGACACAATGGCTCCATCGGGGACTTGATGGACAACTTTTGGGCCTGCACGTAGAATACGCGTATTAGTTTAGGGTACAAGAAAAATACGGACAGAGACTATTTGTTATAAATGAGATATAAAGCCGGCCTCTTACCTTCTTGTGTGTCGAACTTGCTGTAGAATATTGCCTTGATCATCTTCGGTCAATGCCGTCAAATCGTGTTTTGAGGCTTGGATAATCATAGATCGCACAATTGTTCGGCCTACCCATGGTCAACACTTAATTGATCCTATTCTTTGTGGGGTTATTTAAATGCATTATAAATACCCTCTAGGGTGGCTTCGGATCGATAATAATGGAGAGATGTGACGAGACCCAAGCTCCAAGTCACATGCTTTCTAGAAAATTGTCTACCAAAGAGCAAATTCCCATTTTCGCACCTATGTTTAAAGGGCAATAGGTGAATAGAATCCCGATTTCGAAAAATAAAGCTAGGGAAATACAGTAGTTATGTTGATTCTTGGAACAGAATCCGACTTATGAGCTAAGTAATCAGCAAAATGCGAACGCGTCAAACATAGTGATGCACAGGAGATGGAATTTAAAACAAATCAAACCCATTGTTAGAGACAATTATACCCTTGAAAATGCGCTACTCCGTGAGCACTGGGTAGAAGTTGGAGATCAGTCCCATTAGCACAACTCTTCCTACTTGGATAACAACAGAAGCAAAAGTTGAAAAAAGAGGGGGCATAGGATCAAACAATGAGAACTAAGTTATATCTAGGAATAAACCGTCATCATCGCTGAATAGCTCAAAAGAAGCTAAGGGATATCATAGAAATCTATTTGTGGGAGCCGCCTGCAGAAACATACGAGATAGAGGAAACGACGGAGATGTACCATAATCTCCCAGCATTAACGCCATACTGACAATGAGATAAGAGAAATATACCGGCGGTGGAAATATACACCGGAAAAATGCATCAGAGAGAAAGGAAACAAACAGTCATCCGTCCAGAGGTAACAAACCGAAAGTATTTAAATTGTAGGGCCTAGGATAAAGTCCGATTAGATGATTTCCGTAGGTACTAAGATCAATGTCGTAAAGAGCCGTAGGAGTCTATCATTACAGCTATCTCGCAGCTTCCGGAGCAGGATTTGACGAGGAGTCAACTGCGGATCTGGCGGCGATGCTAGATCTTATAGTTGTCGACCCGGAACGTCTGTTTGACATTGGAACGGGCCTGCTAGAATTGCTCGCACTGGATGCCCCATGGCTGCGAACGTCAGCCGCGGTGTCTGATGATGACGGCGGCGAGTGTAAAGGCATGTTGGTGAGCGAAACGTTTAGCGGTCGGCCAGATCGAATTGCATGAAGCATTCCCACGTATGCATTATGTTCAGAGGCTTCCTTCAGCCACTGCTCCCAATCTTCATCAAGAGACACATCCGCTCCTTGTTGTCGCGCTTCCGCTGCCTGGAGTAGACGTTGGTTTAACGTAACCCCATAACTTTCCATTTCATCACCGTCATCACTCGTTTCTTCTTCGTCTTCCTCGCGGCTGTGTAGCTCTGATATGATTTCTAATTCCGGGAATCTGTCTTCGTTTTTAAGATCCGGAAGCTGGTGGTTTCGGGGGGTATCTTCTACGTATTTATGTATATAGACCGACGGTGGTAGTGGCGGAGTAGCACACCTAATATTGTCTGTCGTGGTATCCCTAACCTGGACAGCTTTATCCCGTTCGTAACGATCCCTAGCCCACTTTGTACCCTCCCAACGACAAAGCGAAGCGATTTCAGCTTCCGTCAATCCTAGTTCGTCGAACGCCTTGAACAACTTCTGATGCCATGCGAAGCGACCCAACCTCATTCGGTGCGGGGGGAAGGAATAATCGAGCCCAGGATATTGGGCTTCAATACAGTCAAGGGTGCCATAGAAAGTGGAAGTTTCGATGCGAACCTCAGGAACAAGATGTCGGGTGATAAGGGACGCAAATGTAGATGGTTCGTTTGTGCGCGGCCTCGGGAAAATGGCATTGTACACAAGCTGAGACAGCACCGGCTTATGCATGTTGTGGTGGTCGTTCCGTATAATACGCTTGTTCGCAAGAGAAGAATGTGAATTGGAACAAGGTTCAAACGGGGGAAGAGGTCGAAGATTCTTCTTATGAGGTAGTTGGTAGGTTTGGAGGTCAAGTTCGGTCGAGTTACCTGATTTATGGGAGGCAATTCACAGAAATTTGTGATCGAGCTAGCGCTTCGCTTCACCTCACTTCATCACAAAAGCTTCCCAGCTCAAGTGTTGTCGGAGGAGGCTTGTATAGCCGCCGCAAAACCTGGCACGAAGCGTCCGCCTATTCCCTCGGAAGGAACTTCCTGTAGTTCTTCACGGGCTTCAGCTACTTGGAAAGTTTTTTCTTATTCTGGGTAAATTGATATCGCAGGTTGGTAAATTCTCGGTGAGGTTTCAGAGGCAGAATAACGCTTAATAAGGCTCAGAGGTTAGAGTCGAGAGGTAGTGAATATAACCACTGTGTTTATTTAGTCGTTGACGCAGAATCGCTGGGATGTTGCTGCAAGAAAGGCTCAAGGCTCCTGGCCAGCGCTTGAACTGGCGGGAATGGGAGCCGCACGTGAAGGTTTGGATGGCACACGGGTTCGATTTTTAGAGGCCACCATGTGGTTTATTTCTGCTTTTGTTCCTGTTGGATCGGTTGGTTAAACCGGGTTTGCTGGTGGCAATGGTAGTGGTTAGAACTTAACCGTGGAAGTGGTGCCGCAGGTGGCTGTCTGTGTTGTGAAGGTTGGACGTCCTCGAATGGGTTGGCAATCCCCAGACACATCACACCCAACAAACCGATCACGCTGCGAGCAGGCGCTTGAAATTAATATCGCCCACCGGGATGAAACAAAAAATTTTGGGTCGGATGGAGCCCGATGGCTAAACTCTTGCTGATATTTGAATCATAGCTTCGCCCACAGGCTTCCGAACTTAGTTAATATGGGTGTGATCTCCACGTCTGAAACCTAACGGGATTGGCTAACAAGGGTATGATAGACAGCTCTTAGCTCCAGGAACCTGTAAACTTCAAAGAAGTCTCACCTGGCTCATACCTTGTTATATGACGGGGGAAGGGGAAGGACATGGCTGTTATCTTCTATTTATGTTAAAGGCCAAAACGACAGCGTGGTTGTGGCAGGGAATGGTGCCGTCCGACCAACCTATTGAAGCATTGGATAATGCCTCCTGGCAAATTCAAAGCATTCAGGTCACAGCACATGTTCTCCAAGAATGCTCGCTTGCAGCATTGCTCCAATACTGCCTTACCGTCACTGGGGCATAACCCTACAAGCTCTATCTAGGTCACCGTCTCGTACCCAATCATTCTCCCGTTTCAACCGCTCCAGCTGGCTAATCCTCGCATTACTTGATCCCGGCTGAATATGGAAACAGGCGACAGGTCAGAAGCTGGGACGGGTCTTGTCAAACAACTTTCTAGCGGTGACGCTGGCAAAATTTGCCTCTGGAACTTAACTGTGCATACATATCCCCTCACAAAATGGGGCGACCACTCTTAGTGAGTTAGCCAATCTAAGGAAATCGATATCCAATTCTGTCGTGTTTGGATATTCAATTTCCTGGCAGTCTGACAGCGGCCTGACCAGTCGAAAGACCTATTCAACCCTGATGATGCGTTCGTACTCATCATACAGGTCTCCAATAGAAAATGGTCACGTATTTAACGATGCTACTCCAGAGTTTTTCGCGTTTCTGTGAAAATATTACACCCCACGGAATAAATTGGGCCCCACCCAAGCTTGAGGCCCGGGGGATGTGGCCATCCCCATGATAACTACTGTCTAAACTCCGACAACAATTTATTGGGTGATTGGCTAAAACATGTCTCTAGTTTGGTGTCAGTGTTGGGCGAGTACCTGTGCAACGGATGGCAAGCCAGCGCAGTTCTACAGCTAGTTTGTCTCGCTGTACTTTTCCACGCATCGTTATTATGATGTCTGTTTGAGTATCCTGTAATTCCTCTCAAAACTAATAATGACGATGCGTGGGTCACAGCATCGTGGAGGACTGGGAATGCTTTAATTTACTGGATGCTCTCTATTGGATCACACCATGTCCTGCCGGTTGAGCGAGTACCCATTTTCAACAAAAAAACGATGGCCGCACGATCTCTACATTTGGGCGCTTGGGTTTGAAATCGAATTTCAACGTTTGCCTGTTTGTTTTCGAACTGTAAACGATTCATTTAACCCTCGAGGGGAAACAGGTTATCGACTCGTTCATATAGCCCAGTTCACAGTTGGAAAGGGGTTGTGAACGCCCAAGGAAACATCCTGACTCACTGCAATGTAGCAATTATGTGACGCATTTTTCCTTTTCAGTTTTTTATAGGTCTTCAAACGTTGAAGTTGCCCCAAAGCGACTGAATTGATATTAAATAAATCTTCGCCCTTTCTGCTCAGGTTATCTATGGAATGACTTGATCACTATGGTTGCCCCTTGCCTATAACAGCCGTATTGGCCCTACCACCCACATGCAACCCCCATGCCCTCAGCGCAATCTAAGGAGCCATGAATACCCAGCGCTGCCCCAATATATTTGGCTGTCCACTGCCCATCATCTGGAGCGAGAACACACATGCAAGGCTGGACAGGCCCTTCGACCAGTCAAGCACAGCAACGGTCTCACCAAGAGAGGGAGATAAAGTGGAAGAAAATAAGCCTTGACTGGCATCTTCGGAGCTCGCACCAAGTCGTACAAGTTGAAATCCGCGCCCCTTAGTATCGTCATCACCTTTCTTCAACTTTCTCCGCTCGAATGCTTCCAGCGCCGTCTTCCCGTCAGCGCAAACCTCAATGGCAAAATGGAACGCAGCAATATGGTTACCAGTGACAGTGAAGCGCATTATCTCAGTAGTGAAGTGGCAGTCTCCTAGTCGGAGGGGCGGAAGCTGAATATCACTGTTGAGGTTGAAAGCGTTATATGCTACTCGCCCACTGAGATCATTCACCCCCAGCAGCGAGGATAGGGCCATTACTACTCTTACCATTATACAGAAGCAAACCTGGTCTTGTCCTAAGTAGGCTCTTCTTGCTGCAGCCGGCATGAGCCTGGACTGCATACAGACGATCCTCCTTGCCCGCAACACAGGGGTAAAATGGTTTCATTGCCGGGGAAGGCTCCATTGATAATAGGCCTTCATAGTTGAATGGGATGGGGAATATGGGACAGGCATTGCACAACTCTCCTCGTCTGCATGTTCGGAGTAGGCTGGATGGTCACCATTTCTGGCAGGTCCATTGGAAGAGGAGCAGTCAATTTATCTTGGTCGTCCACGACTGGCCGTTTGCCCTCACACAACTATGTGTGTATCAGCTTCGATACACCAATTTATTGCTGGCGGTGGGAAATAGTGCAAAAAGGAAGATTGTCGGAACATCGCAACATCTCTCGCTGCGGCCAATCGTGATATTTATACCCTAGCAAGGGGGGAATCTATTTTGGGAAGCGTCAAAGTATACGCTTTAACCAAGTTAGTTAAACGTCACCAACGCCAGCGCCCCCAATTTGGCATTGTATCACGTGATGTATAGAGTTGATGGATGCCTGCAAGAAAGTTAAGTCAATGTGTGTAGAGACTCTTATTACAAGCGGCTAACAGGCCAATGTTTCAAAATAAAAGCATGCTGCGTTGCAGTCGAAGCGCATGGTAACAATGTCAACCTTCGATGGCATCGTAGAAGGTGAGCTGTCTTCAATTGGGGAATCTTAGCTACCAGATGATTCGGTTCGAAATTTGTTGACCAATATCACAGAGTTTCCTCAAATTCGAAGTAAATAGCCCCACACCGGTGTCTTTTCTAATAAATTATATGAGGCAATATATTGACCTGCGACCCCCTCGTTTGAGCAGTTGATTATTTTCGAAAGAACCCCAATCGACCAGCTCCCCTGGCATGTTTCCTTAGCCATGTTCATAGCGACCATCTTCAGGGCCTGGAATCGTTGAGAGCACCTTTCATATACTGCTCTGCTGCTACGCGAGAGGTAGAGTAACCTGCATCCTTCCCTGCTGACTGAGTATTTGTCATTAACTCTGAACCCAGATCCTTCTCCGCCTTGAGAAGTATCCCCATCGCATTAACTTTAGCAAGGGGATATTGGAGTCAAGGAAGCAGCACTACAAACACCTATCTAAGCTGTTGGTATGCATGGCTCCTCATACTTGACCTTGGATGCGCATATGACTCCGCTTAACATAGGATTCAACTAGCGTCCCATTCCGCTGCATGTTCCAACGGAGATCGAGTTGAGCCCAAGAAACAATATTCGTGTCACCCTCTTCGATGCTAACCATTGTCCCGGTGCTGTTATGTTCCTCATAGAGGGGAATGGAAAAGCAATTCTGTATACCGGCGACATTCGAGGTATATGTTCCATTTTCCATTTCAGTTCTGTATTTATTGAGCAGAACCGCGTTCTGTCATTTCTATCTGGTTCTCGTTGCAGCCGGCAAGACTGACTTTCTCTCATAGCGGAATCTTGGTGGGTTGATAATCTCATCAGAAACCCAGTCCTCATTCCATATACCATTGGAAGCAAGCTGCTTGATAAGATATATCTTGACACAACATTCGCTACGAAATCTGATGTGTACCAAACTTTTGCCTCAAAAGCGGAAGGAATCAGAGAACTTTTAGAAAAAGTACAAACATATCCAGACAATACTCTGTTCTATCTACGCGTATGGACATTTGGCTACGAAGATGTCTGGCTAGCGTTGTCAGCTGCCCTTAATACCCGGGTAATATGCATTATTTTCCATTCATTCAGGCATGGAGAGTAGAAACTGACGAACGGGACTAGATCCACGTTGACCGATATCAAATGGGAGTGTATCAATCCCTAGCGACGCGTGATGCGAGTGGTTTTGGCATTGATGAAGCGCCATTCCTTTGTGGATTCAGGCTTGGTAATTCGCAAATTCCTGGTTGTTTAACCCTCGATCACGGAACTAGAATCCATAGTTGCGAGCCTGGTATGATCTGCTCCACCATTTCTAAAGGCCCCTTCGTATACATTACACCCGTTGTATCACGTTTGAATGACGGTTCCGAGGTTCCTGAATTGGGAGCTGGAGGCGGAAAGGGTGACCTTTACCAAAGCCATGAGTTGGAGCTACAAGATGATTTTACCTTCCAGCAACTTTTGAACGTATGTTCTGAGCGTATTCAGGACGAGGAAATCCATACGTCGATAATAGCGGCTTTGTCAGAAGCGCATAAGTCGAAATCAAAATCGTTGTCACTCGACGCTTACGGGATAAAGGAGGATCAAGAGATCTCAGTCCAGCAACTCGTGAGTATTCTAAGTCGAGGGACACCAGCAAGGAACCTATCAGACCCCAATACCGTCGAAATACCCCTATATCCAGAAGGAGAACCTGGTCGTAATCTCCCAAACACAATAGTAAGAGTGCAATTGACCTTGTTTAACCACTCCCGTATTTCAACGCTTAATGCGTTGTTGTCTTGTGGATGCCTCGAAGTAACATATGAATAGCATTTTCCCTATTCCCGTCACTCTTCCTATGCCGAACTCTGCAATTTAATCAGAGCCTTCAAACCACAGGACATCTTCCCTTGTACAATAGACCCTGTGTCGTGGAACGAAGAGGTATCCGTAAGCACTCTATTTGGCCATCTATGCTCTGGTTCAAATTTTGCCCACGATGAGTTCATGAGAACGATGAGTGCCCAGCGATCTAACAGCCGGTCACTGAAACGGAAACGGTTGGGAAGTGATTCTTCATCAACAAAAAATTCAACACAGCAGACAGATTTATCTATCTCTTTCATCCAAAATAACGAGCTGCCTTCAGTTATCCCATCAATCAGCAGCAGGGAACATGATTCTGACTCGGGTCGCGGACCTGGATTTCAGCTTCAACAAGCTGGTAATTGTCCCGGAGCGACCTCCTTGCCCTCTCAGCAGACGTCGAACAATATAAACCTAGAATCATATAATGTGGACTCACAATCGTCATCCCTGAACTCCCAAATAGTCGCCATAAAACACATTCTGCAAGAAAAACACCGAAATCACGAACTGGAATTCCACCTCCCGTCTTCATTTCCAGACTTCAATAACGAAAATGCTGCCAATGGTGATTCTTCCCCGCGAACCTCACAAGCCCAACCGCAGCCTCAAAATATCAGCATATCCGTTTCCCTCCCGGTTCCACAGCCACAGACCACCCAAGACGATAATTGCCACCAACCACCCACCGACACCAATATCCTTAATGACAACAATGACAGTCTCGCCGACAATCTTCTCGACGATGAGAGCACCTGCTCGCTGTCCCCGTCCGCTGTTGGCTCCGAACAATCCATGACAGACACATATACGACGAGCGCGAGAAGGAAGCGCCGTATGGCCGCATACCATGCAGCTCGTAAGGGCACGTACGAGGCATGGTCTACTCTCTACTCACCTGTTAGCGCAGGCAATAACCACACCGAGGAGGAGGTTGAGCTGTAAACGCTCGCAGCGCGGATAGAGAATTGGGTGTTGTGTTGTGTATGTAATGTATGTATGTTACATGTACATACATGTATATTTATGATCTCCCAGCTATTTTTAAAAAAAAAATAAAAATAAAAATAAAAATAAAAATAAAATAAAATAATGAGGGCGTCAAAGGAGGCGTGGAGAACTAAGCAAAATTTTCCCTCTTAAGGAATTACAGGGGCGGGATTTTTCATTTCTGGATTCTGGATTCTCATGCATGTTCATTTTATTATTTATCTCTTGCAACTATACGTGGGATGGGAAGGTCGACTAGTTGTCATGTACAGTACATTTGGTTCCCTTTTTCAGGACTGACTCCCATTTTTTTTACCTTTCTCCCGCTTTTCTGCTTTTCTGCTTTTCTAGTACCAGCAGCACATCTTCACGAGACCAGCCATTTTCTCCTTTTGCTTGATACCTATATTGGTTGGAGTGGAGTAGATATGATAAGACATCACGTCACTTGATATTAGACTTCTTCAAACGAAAAGGACTTTTATTTATTCAGCCTCGAAAACTGGCCATAGTGGATGTTCTCGAAAGTGACACAAGTATAATTATAATATATGTATAGCTCCCTCGGCTTTAACTATCATCTAACCAGGGCAAAATACGTTATGTGCTGCACGGTCCTGTCCTGTACATCACATTCCCACTATCAATTGCAATGGCTGAAAAGAGGGCTGGTAGGGTAGAGAAGCTGAGAAAAAGCTTAATTAAAAAATAAAATGTTCCTGCGTTAAGGGCAGCTGCGCAGCTGGCTCCGCCCGACAAATTTTACCATCTGCTTCGACAACCTATTTCCGAAAAAAAAAGGGGCGGGGGAAAAGGAAGGTTTTATGTTAGCAAGAGTTTCCATGCACGAATCGACCCCGTTCAAGGGCTTGTGCCCTTATTGGAACAAACCATTCTTAATACGACAACAGGACAGGGGAATACAGGATAAACACTGGCAGGCCAGGCCTGGGTAATGTAGGGGATGAACGGGAAGAATAAACGACTTACATAACTTTCTGGATCAACCCTCATCTTGGGCATCACATCGTTAAATTTCATATCCTTCTTGCTAATATTTCGACAATTCTTCACTACTTCGACGCGCCTTTTGAGCCCGTACGAATCAATGATGCCCAGGCTTTTCGATGCTTGGGAGACAAACATTATGGATGTTCTGGGAAGGTGGGCCTATGAATTTACTATTCTTAGTGATCGAACTACAAACGGGAGACGAGGGAGAGTGAGAGCGAAAAGACAGACGACAGACGATAGGAGAGAAAACTCACAGCATACATCGCCCTCATCAACATGGGTTCGATAGTTGAGATCGAACCGTTCGCGTCGCCCTATTCAAATACACCAATTTCAGATATCACACTCATCCAGAGTCATACTCCATTTCCTTCTGGAGGAGTGACATATCCGGTTTACATACCATCATCGCCATAGCAATCATACCAGATTTCAACACCATATTTGGTTTCGTCCCAAAGTCCGAAAACTTCCACATGACAAGATCTGCAACCTTCCCCACCTCAACACTGCCAATAAGGTGGGACATTCCCTGCGTGATTGCCGGGTTAATCGTATACTTACTGATATACCTTTTCACCCTAAAATTATCCGCGCCCGTTCCTCTATCTTCCTCTAAGGGGCCACGCTGAAGCTTGTTCTTATGCGCCGTGTTCCACGTGCGAAGAATCACTTCACCGCAGCGACCCATAGCCTGGGAATCTGAAGAAATCATGCTGATGGCACCCAGGTCGTGCAGCACGTCTTCTGCCGCAATTGTTTCAGCACGAATACGGCTCTCGGCGAATGCGACGTCTTCACGGATGTTTTTGGAAAGATGATGGCATACCATGACCATGTCAAGGTGCTCGTCTAGAGTATTTAAAGTGAATGGGCGTGTGGGGTTCGTGCTACTTGGAAGGACATTAGGGAATTGGACGGCTGAGATGATATCCGGCGCATGGCCTCCACCCGCGCCTTCGGTATGGTAGGTGTGGATGGCGCGACCCTTGAATGCTTGGATCGATTGTTCGACAAAACCAGATTCGTTAAGGGTATCGGTGTGGATGAGACACTGCACGTCATACTCATCGCAAACCGAGAGACATGTATCGATTGCCGCTGGGGTACAGCCCCAGTCTTCATGTAGTTTCAGACCTGCAGCTCCAGCACGAATCTGCTCTCTCAGACTTTGGGGCTGGCAATCATTCCCTTTACCCGTGATCCCAAAATTTATTGGTAAGCCGTCGCAGGCCTGGATGATATTCTTCATATGGTTCGGCCCCGGCGTACACGTCGTCGCGTTTGTTCCAGTACTGGGACCTGTACCACCACCCAGCATCGTGGTGACACCTGACGCCAGAGCCTCCTGTACCTGATCCGGGGTGATAAGATGAATGTGAGTATCGATGCCACCAGCGGTGACTATGTTTCGTTCCCCAGAAATTACATCAGTACCAGATCCAACAAACATATTCGGATAGACCCCATCCATAACATCAGGGTTCCCTGCTTTTCCGATACCGACAATATTTCCATCCTTAATGCCGATATCAGCTACATAAATCCCAGTCCAATCGACAATAAGTGCATTCGTAATAACGGTGTCCAGTACGTCGTCTGAGCACCTTCCGGACGCTTGGCCCATGCCTTCTCTCAAGGTCTTGCCCCCGCCAAACGTACACTCATCCCCAAACGAAGTTAAGTCCTTTTCTACCTTTATCCATAGATCCGTTGAGCCTAGTCTAATAAGGTCGCCGGTGGTGGCGCCAAACATGCGCATGTACGATTCCCTATCCATCGAATGCGGGTCGATATGGGTAATACCACTTGCTGGCTCAGGTGTATGCGCGAACCCGGCTTTTTGAAGTCGCTCAAGAATTTCATCTGCCCTGGTGAGGTCGACTTTGCCACTGGCCAGGAAATTACCCCCGTGAATCACCTTGTTTCCACCTATCTCAACGAGAGTCACCGTTTTGGAATCTCCAGGTTCGAACCGGATAGCAGTTCCCGCGGGAATATCCAGGCGGTAGCCATACGATCTGAGTCTATCAAAATCCAGATGCGGATTGACCTCGATGAAGTGGTAATGGGAGCCAACCTAAGAAAACCCCCAGCCAGGCAACGCAGGTCAGCATGCGTCTAAAAGAAGCGTGATAAGGAAAATTTGACGAGGCGTAGAAGCCAACGAACCTGAATGGGCCTATCCCCTTTACTGGTTACTTTAAGAGAGATTCTTTTACGTCCCTCATTTAGCATAATTCTGGACTGCTTTACAGGAATAACCGCCCCCGGCATTTTCAAAGGGTGATAATCTTCCGGATCAGGATCAGGGAAAATATCCTTCGAAGGCACGGGCAGGAAACTGCCATACAAGGCCTTCTCCAAATCGCCGTCCTCGGTGCTGATAGGTTCGTGGATGGTTACTAGATAAGTGCCGGAAGGGAAAGTGCCCTCCACAAAGACCTCATGAACGGTGGAGGTCACCGATGGCAGAACATGACGTCGCCCCAGCATCATCTTGCCGATGGCCATCAGGTCGGCCACAGTATGGTGGCCATCACGTATCAGCTGTAGCATGCATGTCAGAGATAAGTTCCGTATGAAATTGAATGTAAATTCGTCATCGAGCAAACAGTATCGAATGGTTAAAACGTACCTCCTGTATGTTTGATGCAATTAATGCCTAGAAAACCCTCTCCCAAGCCAATTAGTCGAGTCAGTAACGAAGCCAAAACAATGGATTCCAAAAGGGATTTGTTTTACGCATGGTTATAAAGAACAAATCTTTACTAACCGTCGCTTCCGCATGATTCAACCGAACTCCACGAGCCAGACGCCGCTGAGCCAGAAAGCCAAGCTGGGAGGTGACAAGCTTGTCAAGCTATAAGGGAGGGGGGTCAGTCAGGGTATATTCAAGTTCGAAGCCCGCAAGAAAATTCAAGGGGAAAAAAAGGAGGCAACGAAACAGACTGCGCATCACAGGCAGATGTAGGCTTCGTAATAATAAATTAAAATAAAAGACAAAGATGAAATATACATAATACAAACGTACTGGAGGAAGCTGCTCACCTCTCTCGGAACAAGCTGCATTTGGTCAGGATTCAGCAAGCTTGTGGCTAACTAAATATAGAAATTAACCAAGAATAGAGAGCAAGAGCAGAGAGCAGAACAGCTCGATATCAGATAATGGTCGTCGCGGTGGGAGTTACACAGAGCAGCAGGACAATATGGGGTTGTCTGGCGAATCTCTATTTACCAGGAGAGGCCAGCCAACGCAGCGCAGAAGAGCAGAAGCAATCGAAAAAGGCAAAAAAAGAAAAAAATAAATGACGATCCAAGATTCTCTCGAGAAGCCTGATCTGTGTAGATGTGTAGTAATTTTCGTTTCTTCTTGTTCCTATTTTTGTAATTACAAATATTTCTCTTCTTCCTATTCTTCCACTTATCTTCTCCTCTTGCCAGCAATGCTGTACACCGAGCTCCAATGTCCAAAGGCAGCTGGGATTGAGCAAGCAAAGTGTGGTGGAGGAAGTTTTGGATAACGAGTTGCCTTGCACGGTTTAGCGTCCGACTGGGCAGTACCAAGGTCATTACCTTTTTTAACCACTGCTGGACTGCACCTTTATTAGTAAGCTAAAACAAACCGCCTTACAGATGTATCTGCCGTCCCAACTCCTTTTGCCGCCTCGCGCCTGTGGTAGAGCTTTCCTTCTACCACTAACATGTAAAGGCGCGTGGAACTGAACAATCGACTGGGCCTCGCTGGAAAGCAGATTGATCGGGTACGGGGACGTTCCGAAATATCATCCTGGCTGGCCTTCTTGAACACTCTTGTCTATCGTCAATCCGATTCGATGCTAGGAGCGTAACTGGGCGTAGCTGGTTGTTTAGCAACGATTCCTCGAGAAGTCCCTTTGCCTTCTCTCTATCTTCTGGTCGCCATTGAAGCGGGTCTCCCGTAAACGCCAAGAAGTGTTGCTTATTCCTTCCTTCGAGAAACTCTTGTGACGTTTCTAGTCTTGGTTTCTGTATATATCGTCCTGAAAAAAGCTCCGTACATAAGTTCTGTTCCATATGCCATGTGTCCGTGATGCATGTGGAAAGAGAATCTCTGTATGTGGGAGCGGGGGAGGGAGAAGCAAAAAAAAAAAAAAAATCCGTATATCAATCATAAACAGATTTTGTCAGCCAGCAGCAGCAAACAATCTCTGTGAAAATGCTACGGAGTAGACTCCCTGGCATCCATCTCCTCACATCACAGAGCCAAAAACTCAAAAATACCATTGGCAAGCCCCCAAGGCGTCAAGAAGCATGAATTTGCTGCATACACAAAAAAAGAAAAGAAAGAAAAAAAACCCCATCATCCCTTCTGACCCCGTAACTCTATCGACAAAAAACCACTCAGTATATAGTTATTGCAGATAGATTAATCAAGTAGGGTGCTCCAGCACGCGAGAAAGAAAATTAAAAAAAAAAAAAAGAAAAGAAAAGAAAAAGAAAAAGAAAAAGAAAAAGAAACCCGCATGCGACCAAAAACCGGGGCAAGACCTCTTTCAGCCAACTAGTTAAAAAATTCGACGGCCTGTTATGGGCTTTGGTTACGGGTTAGCGCGGACACACACAACACACACACACACACACTCTCTCTCTCTCTCTCACTCTCTCTCTCACACCAATGCGAACAGGTTCGTGTCCCCTTGGTGTTCCCCCTCCCCCTCTGAGCTCCGAGCTCTGAGGCTTGTCTCAAGGCAAAGAATCTTCCCCTCCTTAGTTGTCGATCTGGGGTGGCCCATGCATCATATGCATACTGCGCAGATACCCGTGGACCAGTACCTACCCACCCTACCTCGCCACCCTCCTTTCCTCCTTGAAAAACAATATAAACACTGAGCACAAAAGGAAGCAAAAGGTATAATTATATTATAGTAAAAGTAAACTACGACAAACCACCCACCTTCCACCCTCCACCCCCCATCATGGGGCACGCAGCCAGGGGAGGAAAAGACTATTGCACCCCACCATACGTTTGACGCCGGGCAGATGATGAACGACGGTGGTGGTGGTGGCGACAACTTCCAAGGTTCCAGCGGCTAAGATCGATCTCCCAAATGCAAGCTCCAAAGAACCGGGCCCCTTTCCCCCACGCCCCACCCCGCCCAGGAGTACTCCGTATCGGTACGGATAGTTAGTTAAAAGATCATCAATATTTTCTTTTCCTCTGCACATTACAGACGACGTAAAGTAGTTAACCGCGTTGGCTAGCTAAAAGCAACAATGATATCAACACATTGAAGTTTTCCCGATTGCCAAAACAGAATAGAATAAAATTAGAATAGAAATGCAGAGCAGAAATGCAGAGAACCCCATGTCTCAAATCCCAATTCCAGGCTCATAAACTAACAAACGATCAAACCCAATCCGTAAAAGTAACAGCTTTTCCTACAGTACAAACCAACAGTGGCTCCGAGCAAAACATGAGATTGTTAAGAAAACACACCAGAAACAGAAAAAAAAAAAGGAGAAAAAAAGGAAAATAAAATAATGCAAACACCCGCAGCAATTTGAAACAAAATCAGAAGCAACATGAGAGCTTATTAACAAAAAGGAAAACCAAAATTCGAAAAAGCAAAAGACCCACCCCAGCCCGCCTTAATCAAATTGGCTTAGGTCAATCAATCAATCCCCTGCTTCACTCTTCCGCTTCTTCTTCCCCCCTCTCCTCTCACCTTTCGGTGTCTCGTTCGCGGCAGCAGCACCGCGCTTCGGTTTCGCAGCAGTCTCTTCCTTCTCCTTCTCCTTCCTAGCAGCACCTCTCATCTTCTTCTCTGGCGACGCCTTCTTCGCGCTGGCACTCCCAGCCGTGGGCGTCGCTACCTTCGCATCAGAAGTAGCACCGCCAGTAGTCCTCCGTCGCTTATTCGACCGTGGCGGTGTCGGTTCCCGTACAGGCTCTGGCGACGATTCCTCCTCCTCCTCCTCCTCCTCCTCCTCTTCCTCGTCCTCCTCATCAGATTCCTGCTCAGACCCTTCAGACGACACATCTTCCTCGCCCGCCGCCGCCCGGTGGACGCCCTGCTGCAATTGCATAGCAGCAGCATTAGCGTTTGCATTGGCAGCTGCGGTAGTCGACAAGCCATCCTCAGGAACGGGCAAGCCAGCTTTATAGGCGCGCATTTTCTCCTGGTAGACTGCTAGGTTTTCCGCGTAGAGTTTTTTCCAGATCTAAGGGGTATTGCTTATTAGTAAATTGGATATTTGGCAGAGTAGTATTAAGCGGGTTGGCTGGCTTTTTAACATACCTGCTTCTCCTCATCAGGCATCTCAGCCCAACGCCTCGTCCCCTCATCAGCGACCTCCTTCGGTCGCGCGTTCTCCCCCAGCTCCTGTGCAATTGAAGCGCGGTTATGTTGCATGTAGAGGAAATATGGTGTCAAAGCACGCTTGGGCGCATTGGGATCAGGTGGGGCGCGCTTGCGCTTCTTCTTGGCCCCAGAGATGGCATCAACTCTGCCTAGAGTACGGGGACCAGCGGCAAGACCACCGCCGGGGCTAAGGCCACGGCCACCGCTGAGGAAGCCATTCTCGAGTAGACTCGAGGTGATCCCGCCCAGATCGAGAGTGGAGGGACCACGGTTCAGCACCGTGTTGGCATGATTGATATATGCGCGCGACAGGTCTGAGACGGCTGATTGGAGGGTGGCGAGAGAAACGATGACCTGGATGTGTGTTAGAGCTAAGGCACTTCTGTTTGTTGGGTCCTCGCTGGCGGCAATGAGGTCGCCACAAGCAACGTTGATGGGAAGGATGACGCGATTGATGGTTTCCAGCAGAGATGGTGGGGTGAGGGACAGAGGCGGGGCGTGGGTATAAGGGGGAGAATTAGGGATAAGAAGGTGACGAAGGATGGTAGGGAGAGTAGCACGTGAAGAAGGCATGACGGGAGAGATCTTGGTGGCTTTGGGTGCAGGGGAAGTGGTGAGGTGACGAAGGATGGGGATTGGTGGATAAGGAATGGCAAACGCAGGGACGCCAGCGGAGGGCGGGACTGCAAGGCCAACGCCAGGAAGAGAGGGAGACGACCACCTGCGCAAGGGCAACTAACTGGGCATGGAAGAAAAAGGTCGCTCTGTTATG